CCAGCGAGAAACGAGTGTGAGATGGTGCATCTTCAATTTCAAAGTTGTCTAAAAACACAAATCCGGCAGCCACGCCCCCTGTGGTGGCCGCACCGGGGAGCTTCATATACCGATCGATAGCCCTAATTTTTCTCGTTCGAATGATATAAGTCTTGCTGCTGTCGGACGTCGCTAGGGTGCTGCAGGGCTGATCTTGTGTTGGTGTGTGAAAAAGTCTAGGGTAACTCTCCAAAAAAGTCTAGGGTAACTCTCCGTTTTGCGGGCGGCGGCTCACGCCCACCTCCCTCGGCCGGAGCGCAGTCTATCGAGAATTTAAAGATAGGGTTTTGACCGGCTAAATAAGCTCTATCGAATGGTATAGTTTTTATTATCGTCGGACGTCGTTGCGGTGCTGCAGTGCTGACTTTGTGCGGGTGTATAAAAAAGTCTAGGGTAACTCTCTCGGGTGCCAAGAAGTCTAGGGTAACTCTCCCTAGAATAACTTTGAGATTTATTTGTGCCACCTATGGCGCACCTACGGGAAATGTAATGATACGGTTCTAGCGGTAAAAATAAGCTCTTTCGAATGGTATGCACCTCGCCGGCGTGTGGCTAATATTCAGAAAGTCGACTCCCACAACTACGGCGGGTGCACGTCATGTCTAGGGTAACTCTCTCTCGAAATTTCACCAAGTAAAAAAAAAAACACATGTGATAAAACTTTTTTTCCATGCTTAGAATAGCTACTTAGATGGGGGAGAGGAGGTCTCAGGGAAGTTTAAAAGTAAGTCTAAGGTAAGTCTAGGTAACTCTACTTGCCGGAGCGCCAAGAAGTCTAGGTAAGTCTAGGTAAGTCTCTTAAGGCCGACCTCAAGTCTAGGTAACTCTCCACCGCCGACGCCCTCCTCCACCGCCTCAACCCCTCCCGTCTCGACCCCTCCCGCCTCGCCCGGCCCAGCAGGCCCCAGCACTACTCGCGCCGCCGACCGCCCCCCTAAGCCGGGAGCCCCAGCACCGCCGTCGTGCAGGATCACGAGCAGAGTTACCCTATTATTTCTAAAAGAAAAAAAGATAGGGTAACTCCCCGCGTGCCGTGGTCTAGGGTAACTCTCCCTGCGCCGCGGCCGTCCGCACGAGACACCTCCGCCATGTCTAGGGTAAGTCTCCGCGTGGGAGCGCCACGACCAAGGAGTCACCTTATCTCTTTAAAAGTCTAGGGTAACTCTTCTCAAAAAAAGATAGGGTAACTCTCCTCGAGCAAGCAGGCGGGCAGCCCCCGACAGACAAGTCGGAAGAGCTGCCTTATAGCTAGTAATTAACGTTAATCTAAACCTCTTCGAGCCCCCAACCTAATCCGAGTCCTACTTCAACAATGACGCTCAAGCCTATAGCTCCATTAACTGGCGTTAAAAATTACGGCGACGCCCAGTGATTCATAGAATAAGATATTAAAATAGCCGATAAGGAAGTCGAGATCAATGTCGACAGTGTGAAGTACCTCCTAATACATATCCTAAAGGTTGTGGCCTATACCATAGGTCCCTGCCGTATTAAGTGTCTTTCTTCTTTACCTACCCTTTCCGTCCTTTCCGTTGTCGACTGATAAATCATATATGATGGCCGGGTTTGGGCATCGATTCCATTACTGCCGGCGACGGTGGCCCTGTCTTAATCCTTTTGTACCGAACATCTTCCGGTCAGACCATTTCCAAGTCTACTCTACAAGACTTTCAGAACAATGTGCTCGCTGCCGACGATGTTTTTCAGCCTTAGTTCTACCGCAATATGCTATTCTATGGAAGTAAGAAAGAGGATTTAAACATCGAGCCCGACGCTTTTAATTACCTATCAGATTGCAAAACTAAGAATACATGCTTTGTGGTCAGTGAAGCGGACACTCCACCGGGTCATTATACCATCAAAGGAGGACGATGTTGGCAGCCGTGGAGAATCTACCGCGACTTCAACTCGATCTTCATAACAACCTTCAAGCCTGCTATTGACCGTTCAGGGCACCTAGGTGAGTGAAAAATAAATTCATACTAAAGACATACAGGTGAGTGGCTGACCACACCACCACGCTAGTCACCCTCGACCCTCCATATGCTGGAACGAGTGGAAGAGTCATTGCACCATCTCGTTGCTATTAAAGACCGTCCAAAGAGCGCCCCTAGATGGAGCCCGAATCACCGTCAAAGATAATATCGATGTTGCGGGATACAAGACCAGCCTGTGCAACAGAGCATGGCTGGAGCTGTACCCAGAGAAGGCTAAAACGGCCGCTTGCGTTCAAGTGTTAATGGACGCGGGAGCTATCATTCTAGGGAAGGTCAAGCTCCAGGCTATGATCATGAGGGAGGAGCCATTGGAATGTGTCGAGTTTACAGCACCTTTCAACCTGCGAGCCGATGGGTACCAGGTCCCCTCGGGATACTCCCACGCGAGCGCTGCTGGTGTCGCTTCGTATGACTGGCTTCATTTCTCAATTGGGTCTGACAGTGAGTGCTTTGTAATATTTGAGTCTTATATTTTGCATATACGCTCACCACTCTGGCACAAGCAGACGGAAGTGGCCGCAAGCCAGCATCTTACAACGGATGCTATTTCATTCGACCTTCAACTGGTATCATGAATACGGAGGGCGTCGTCGGGCAGTTTCGGTGAGTCTGAACGATTTCCTTTTCACGAAGGCCGTCAACTCACGCTTGATTAAGTCTGTTTGATATGCCCGTTTTCTTTGGCAGGGATCTATCCACATTCTCGGAATTCATCTCCGTGTGGTATGGAGATTCGTCTATGCTTCACACCACTTCCGAGGTTTGTATCCCTAGTTAAAATTATACCAATAATTTCAATCTGCCGAACGTGATTAGTCATCCTTTAAAATCTTGTATCCTCCAGATTAACTTCCTACTCCCAACAAAGCGCAGACGAACCTTATCGAGAAATTCGTCAAGGGCCTTAAGGCATCATTAGGTGTCTCCAGGACAGATATATCATTATCCGAGCTCTGGAAGCTGGATCTTCCTGACGGCCCAGAGCATGACGACATTTCAAAGTACTTGTATTATATATGTGGACTCACTTTCCATCCCCAGGCCCTGCTAAGTAGTCACAGGCTAGGGCCTATCCCTACTATCATGACTCCTACCATAACCTTGCTAGTTTTAGGCATGAGTACCATGAAAAGTTTGGCAAGCCTCCTTTCATACACCACGCGATGCGATGGCAATGGTGAGCCAACCAGTCCATGCCGGTGCCAAGGGAAGACACAGGCTGATGATTGCGAAAGGGACGTTTCCAAAACGATATCTCTAGAAGAGCATGACAAATATTGGCGTCGTTCTAAAATATACCGCAAATGGCTTCTAGATCGGGTCTTTGATTCCGATTCCAGGACTGTAGTACCTGTCATGGTCTTCCCAATACAAGTCGGGGAACCAAACTACCGGGAATCCGAGATCCCGTTAGTCACTATCGCACCTCTTGAAAGTTGAGGCAGCTACTTACTTAAGTACACATTCACAGACTGATGTCCCTGTTGCCGGGGTTTGCGTCACTGAACATGTCCCCGGTTGCCTGATTTGCTGCCTCCGTCTTTTGCGTACTGACACGTCACTACCCTCGGCGGTTTTGACCGTTCAAGTGAAACTTCCAAAGGCAGGATTCCCCATTTCCTCCAGCTGGTATAAGACCGCTACCTCCCATAGTCAATTGCTGCCGGGAAATCTACGTTCAGTGCTGGAGCTGACATATTTCCAGCCAGTCATCGTTCCCCAGTCAACTGATATTACTCAACCTACCGGCGGCAAATATGATTACCATTCACCATTCTCAACAGCCCTTCTGATCCCTTAGAGGAATGGACATGGCAACGGGGAATGGAGAGCGGCCCAAGACATCTGTCATCTGCCGATGCAATACGGCTCCCGCCTCGACAAGGATGTTGCGAGTATCGACGCGCTATTTGGACTCAGCGAGCTAGCTATTCCAGTTCGCTGCAGCCGCGGAAGCGCAGTTTTTGAAATTGATATCTGAAATTGATATCTGCCCGGATTCATCGAAAGATGTCCTTCGTTGGATATTCGAACGTTGCGCACAACTATCCTACCTAGGTACATCACTCCTCAACCTCAAATACATTAAGACACAGCTAAAGCTTCACATGGACAATTTGTCTAAGATTACCAGTACTGTCAAAAATCGTCAAATCTTAGACTGGCCAAAGCCGAGCTAACCGCCAGCCCGGAGCGCCCCAGCTTCGCGGAGCGCACTGCAGTCCTACTGACCCTTGATTTCGAGCACCTGATCCATCGTGTGGGGGACCTAGCATGTGAGTGTGACTTGATTGTAGACACACTGGTTAATAGTTCTATACTAGATAAGTCTAGGCAATTATATTAAATGGTAGTAAAAGTGCAGAGGCTCACGATTATTACGATAATATTTATACCTCTTTCCTTTATATATTTAATTTAAGGTATAAACTTCTAAGAGTTTAAGTTAGAAATATAATTAATTTAGAAATATTTCGCTTTTACTCTACTAATTATTACATTCTCTATAATTATATACACTTAGGAATATTTAATTAAATTATATAGTATATTTAAAGCTTTAACTAGATTATATAAACGTTTATATATAGAGTGAGGTAGTTAGCCTCCTTATCTCTAAGCCCTACACCCTATTATAGCTGGACTACGTAGCTTGCATTCCGGGAAGCTATGATCCCACTTTAAAGACTCGATTAGCTGGGGTATTTCTAGTATGCACTACATGTGTGGTTACTTTTTTCAGACTGGGGCCTGGACACATTAGGCCAGTTCCGTTCTGGGTGGATTCAGTACATTTATTCTACCTCCTAACCACAGTGCCATTGATCAATCATACCTGAGGGGCTGGTTCATTTAACTATGTCTACTCTATGATGAATATATTCAGCGCATGCCCTAAATATTAAGTTGTGAACCCTAGGACCTGAGATATTCCAGAGCATAAAAGATTATATTTATTGCATTCTATATCTTTAATCGCCTAAATGGATGCGCCTCGGTGTTGAAGACAAAGTCGTCTAGGCTGACCAGCCCTGGGTCACTGAAGATTAAGTAGAAGTATTTGAGCGTCTCCCCCATCCAGAAGCTCTCCATTGAATCTGTCCCTGCCGGCATGTCCGGAATCATTACATCTGCGACTGCCGTGTTACCGTAGTGCCTAGATGTGATTTTGGAAATTGCGGTGAACATCTCCCATGCCGTGTCCAAAAGGTCTGCACGTCCCGTCACGCGGTAGAGAATGAAGACACTCTCGATAGCCTCTGGGCGCAGGATGTAACGACCATCCGGCACCTTGGTGAAACCCTGCGGCAGTTTCTGTTCGGCGATTATGGCATCGGCACGGCCAATATCAGAGTTAAAATCGCCGGTGGCCTCCTCACCAGCAGTGTATAACACCTGCTTCTTCCACTCATTTTCGTCCCATGCGCAAGCATCCTTGGACTTGCACGATGCTAAATGTAGCGTTTCAGGCATGACCCCGTGTGGCGAGGCCTTGTATGTCCAAATGCATCCTTCCGTGAGCTTTCTACCGATCTCAACGTCTTCATTTCTCCCATAGAGTTTGCCACCGAGGGCGTACATACCGCCCACGAAGCAGACTAAGTGCTGGCCTTCCCGCTGGGGGCTGATGAGAGTCCCACCATCCTCATGTGCTTGGACATGGCCTGAGATGAGAATGTCTTCATCTGTGGGGGTCATTGGCCGGAATAAGAGCCATTCGCTCGCCACGTCCATGGCTCTCTCATACATCTCCTGGTATTCGGGGAGTTTTCCCCCAAGCAAGGCTGACATCTTGGGCAGATATTCATACAATGAGTCGGCCATAGCACCAAGAGTAAAATGTGAACCCAGGTTGAACACCTCATCCTTGGGATTCACGACCAAAGGCCACATTCCGTGCAAAGAGGTTGTCATCTGTTGCTTGTAGAATATATCAGTGATTCGCTGCACAGCATCAAACCACTTAGGATCCCCGGTCAGTAATGACAGCCTCGTGAACTCCATGGTCAAGCTGCCAATCTCGGCCACAAGCTCACTGTCAGGAGCAACCTGTTTCTCTCCTTCTGCTGCTGAATTCACGCGCCACCTGGTTATGGGCATCCTATTGGGGGTGTCAAAGGCCTTGATGAGCATTTCGCCAACCTCATTTGCCTTCCTGAGCAGTCGTGCATCGCCACTCAGATCATAGGCGGCCAGAAAGCCACCCAGGTAGCGGATGTTTGTCTCGAAGACGTTGATCTCTTCTTGTTGGCTCTTTGTGAAGTCGATGGTGACAGCAGCATCAACAGCCTCAGCAAACTCGGCCTTCAGGCCCATAATCCAGAGCGTGTCGAGGGAGTCGACCAGCGTTGCCCCCCAGCCGCCGAAGGTATTGCGTGATTCGCCGCTGATGGGCGTAATCTCATCGGCAAGCCAGGCCCTTTCCCGATAAGCCTGCCAGCATTTCTTAAAAGCTTGCTTGACGGCGTCGCGATGGAAAACACGGTCGTCGCGTTGCTTTGATGTCTGTGGGAACTTGACAGCTTGGACCCTGGGGAATGGTTTCGACTTGCCCGAGGGAAGTGGCCGTACTGCTGAAGGAGGATAGTGGGTTGGGACCTGTTTCCAGAAGTAGTCGTCTGGGACCCTCCACTGTGAGCTGCCTGCCGCGGAGAAAGTCTCGAGGTTCGCATCGAGCCAGTTGTCGGAAGTATGACTGGCGAGTGTGTAGAATGCTGCGATGAGAGAGATAGCGACGGCGGCGATTAGCCATCTGACACCTCTCCTGGTGGCAAGCATGGTGAATAAGACTCAGCCGAGGTCGATAATGCAGAATAGCCGTCAGTTCTGTGCACAGTGTCGGGCAAGAGAGGGCACAAGGGGCGGGTCGAGGCGAGTTGAAACAAGGGCTGTAGGGCTGTAGGTTTTCGAGAAACGGGACCTAATCAATCTTTGGACGGTAATGGATATATCAATCGCGTAGGCAAGACAAGTAAACCACCACGGGCTTGGCTTAAGTTACGGTGCAGCACACAGTATGACGATAAAGAGTGGTTTGTCTCGCAGGACGGGGTAACAAGGGAAAGGGACGAAAGGTGGAAAAGGCCGCTCTCGATGCTGTTTCGCAGAGGGTGGATAGAGACGAGAGATGGTGCAGGGCTCGAGATTCTCAACGGGCGTTGGTGGCGCCCGCAGACAAAAGGAAGAGACCTACGTACTCGGGCGCTGTCTCGGAAAAACGAAGCAGAGCCCCCCCCTGGTAAAATTACCCCTGTCAAAATTTTTAAAGGTTTATTAAAAAAGTAGTCTTTTTTATATAACTTTTTTAATACTTAACTTAAAAATATATAGAAAATATATTTATAATTCTTATAAATATCTTTATAAAGTTAAATTTTTAAAATAATTCTTATTTAAAGTTTATATATTATTAAGATTATAGACTAATTACTTATAAGACTAACTAATAGGTCTGTATATTTTTTTATTTTATTAACCTAGTAGCCTCTACACCGCTTATAATAAAAACTTAATAATAAATATTCTAAAAATATAAATATATAGAGATTTTAATGAGGATTATAAATATAATTTTCCTGCCGCGGGTGCCTAATCAGGCAACTCTGTGGGTCCTGTGCCGGTTGCCTAATGCAGTAATCTGCGGCGCAGCTGCTATGTACCTGTGGCGCCGCCGCCGCCGCCCGCCCAGGTACCTCGTGTTCCCTGCCTATGTACCTCCCCCGCGCGGCCGGCTGCGTGCCCTGCTCGGCGGCCAAGGCTGCAATTGCGCGGTGCTTAGGCCCACCTGCCTCAGCTCGCCTACCGAGTGCGCATCCGCGCTTTTATGTACTATTCCTGCTATAGCCTTAGGGTGAAAGAGAGAGCCAGAGAGAGAGAGGGAGAGGGAGGGAGGTGCCCTTATTATCTATGGGCCTTATGTCGCAGGACTGACACCTATCACGCGCAACAAAGATGTGGGAGTTTCAGTGAAACAATTAAATTTGTTCTCGAGTTCGTAAGCGCCCAGCGTTCCCCCACTCTTAACTACCAATGTGTTCGCAAGGCAGCTAGCTCTTTGATGAGCCAATATCGACGAAGTCGTCAGGCGTCATCACGTCTGTCAGCGGGTAGTGCGTGTCCTGCCGCTGCATGAGAGGGATCACGTCTGATAGGTGCGCTGGGGTCGGCTACTCACAAGGACCATCGGAGGGGGAGGCCAATCGGGCTGATTTGGCAGAGACGTGTACGTGAAATATCGGTCGCTCCTGTGGATCACGACATACGCCTGGGCGCCAAAGTCGGCACGGAGCTGCTCAGCCTTTTTCAGGAGTCCTAGACGCCGCCTGCGAAAACGCTCAGTCTCCTTCCTTCTTGCCTTCGCCCCGGCGGGGCCAGTTGTGGTCCTGTGGGCAGTTTCCGCTGGCTGGGCTTCGGGCAGGGACGGGCGGCGGTGTGTGGCCGCCGGTGGACCAGTGGCGGGCACGAGACGGCGCGTGTCATACGAGGCATCGGAGATGAAGCCAGAAACGCCGCAAGGCTCATGGGACCCAGCTGTCTCCTGGGTAATCACGCCCGCGGTTTCCGTCTGAGGCTGGGCTGACATTTTCAACACGAAATTTGTTCAAGGCGGTTGTGGCACAAGGGAGAGAGGGCCAAGTGGGAAAGGATGGCCTCATCATTCAGGGCAGCGAAGATCAGACTGGTGGCACTTGGGGCGTCTAAGCGCTATATGCAGCACCATGTTGCTGTGGACCACCCAGTCTCCCATGCGCACCAAGGTTTGAGGGACACCGGCTTCAACATTGGCTTCAGCATGCAATGTCGCAACAGGAGTTGGCACCTGGGCGGTTGTTGCGGTTGTTGAAGTCCTGCACCGGGATGGCATGACGACGCTGGGAAGCTTTCGTGTTTGTGAAGTGTTCTATGTGAGCTGCCGGAAATCAAGCTGGTGAAATCGTGGCTTCGAATTCTCTGCGATCCGCCACGAATTCTTGCACGCCGCCACGAATTCTCTTCGAGCGCCACGAATTGTCCCCATCATTTGCTCAGCACTCCGATGGCCGTTCTCAAACCTTCGGGGGTGCACGGAGACACGTAACAGCGCGAAGTCTATCCCGCAAGGTGCTTGGAGACCTGCAAGGGTGCGGCAGTTGCACAAGGCAGCAATGCCCACGAAGCTTGCCCCTCAGCCCGACCCCCTCTCGCCGCACGGAAAGTTTATGCTCAAGCACGAGCCCAGACACGGTCCTTGATGGGCGGCAAAGGTCCCTGTGCTACTGCGCCGATTACTCGTCGATCTCTTCAGCAGGATGAAGTTGCCGTGGTCCTGCGTTGTCGCTGCAGGCTAGCAGGGTTGCCTCGTCGATTCCTTGGGAGCACCTTTCCAAGATTAACACCCCGAGCTCTTCCGGAGGATTGCGAAAACCACCAGGGGGGGCGACACTCACGATCTGCTCCGCAGACTCATGCAGCAGCTTGCAAAATGACCGCACGCGCGCAAAGCGTGGCCGCTTCGACGGACTGGCTCCCGTCCCAGGGTGCTCCTACGCTCCCGACCAAGAACCTACACCCGCAGTACATCAGAGACAACAAGCAGAGTGACTGGTTCATCTGCCTCGCATGGGCTATCGATGAGTACAAAAACGACCAGGTGCAGAGCAGGATGCTGTGCAAGCTGTATGCGTTCATGCTCGACTATATTCCCACTGGTCTGGCTGGCGACTTCGCCCATATACGCGGCGGCGACGTTATGGACCAATTGCTCTCCCACAACGAAAAAACAGCGTCCCGCCACAGGGTGACGAAACAGGCAGAAATTGTATTCGCCGAACTGGAGACGTGGATGAAAGGGCACAAGTCTTGGGAGGAAGCCCTGCAGCACCCCAGAGAAAGCAGAAAGAGCAATGCAAGCAGAAGACGAGAGCACAAGCCCCAGGCTAAAGCTACTCAGCTGCTCTCACCGGCAGGTAGGCTGCTCGATGTCTCCAGTCCCAGGCTAGCAAGCGCTCACAATTGCCGATCGCAGGTATGATGGCAGTCTTGGTGATTGCATATCCTAACCACAAAAGGTATAAGGACTACATTCACAAGCTAGACATCTCCTGGATGATGACCCAACCACGGGAAAATTTGGAGGTGCGAGGTGGCTTTTGGAAGGGGATCACTATTGAAAACCTCTACACGGTATTCCGCCCGGCTGAGGCTCGAGAGGCCGAGCAGTCGCATCTGGCCGATTACAACCAGCTCTTCGGGCAGGACTTCATGCGCTGCAGGCAGGATCTCAAACCGTATCTCCAGCCGTGGGCTCGGGGCCTGAGTCTCGAGGAGCCCGCCCCAGACGGCGACTCGGACGGTTCAGATGCAGCAGATGGCCAGCAAGGGACCGGCGACCAACCCGGAGGCCGGTTGGGGGAGGGCACAGATAGCGAATCAAGCGAAGATGACAGCGACCTCAGTTCCGCGGAAAGCACCAGCACCGCGGCGCAGAAAGACGTCATTGTACACGTCGCCGCCAGCAGGCACAACACCAGGGATTTAGCCGAGGTCTATGCTGTTCGCAGCCATGTGGACGCTCTCAGTGGGGCAGAGCTGACTGAACTTGTCCGGTGGCTACTCGAGAAGCTCGACTCCGAAACACCAGAGGGCCCAACCCATATCCTTAAGACCTGGTGCACGTACTGGGAGGGCCGGGTTGAGAGGCCCCAGGACGACCCCGGCCAGGACATTGTCCGTGAACTGTTCATGCAGAGCCTGCAGAGGCTCCGCAGTCTTGGTGCGACCATATCGGATGTGGCAGCCGCATACATGCTGGTGGATATGGAAGGGGGGATCCCGGGTTCCTCCCCGCCCGATTCGCGTGCTGCCTTGCGAAATGTGCAGTCTCTTCCCGGGTGGCGTGCACTCGAGGGAGCAAATAAGGAGTTCATCCGCCTCGCTCAGCTCTCGTCTGAGAACGCAGCGAGCTTCATCAAGCAGACCACAGAGGTGCAGAAACGCGTTCTGTCATCACTTGCCCATGAGTCACCCTACAAATCACACTTGGACACCGCCGTCGAGTTCGAGACCAGCCGCACCAATGCTATTATTAGGAACCTCAGAGATCTCCCTGACAAGGTTCTCCGTGGCCTGCCGGACACCACCAGTGCTATTCTAAGGAACGGAACAGTCCGTCACCTGAGGCTTACAAACTGGCAGTTGCGAGGTCTCCTGCTACCAGGGGCAAACTTCCAGGACCTGCTCACTCCTTCTCAGCGCACAGCCTTTGAGCAAGCGCTTAACCGTCCTTCCCCGTTCGAGCTAGGGAGTCTAAAACCCATGTCCAGCTATCCACTGACCCCGACGAACTACCTCCCTGAGATCTCTGAAAAGCACCCGGGTCTCTCTAACCTTTTCCGCCGCAGCGTGCTGGCCAGCCCAGTGCAACTCCCTGCTGGTCATGCCACAGATGCAAGAACAAGCACTGCACCCTTGCTGCCTGTGCCGCGGCGGAGCAATGCACCTGAACGCCCAAAGCCTCCGGCGGCAGACTCGGAGGGTGCACCTGCTATCCACAAGCCCAACGCATTCTCTGGAAGCGTATATGTGCCTGGGAAGCGGAGGCTGGCTTCCAACGGAAAGGACTCCAAGAAGCCGAGACTGGACCTTGGAGAGCTCATAGACGACAGAAACCAGCTTAAAGAACAGGTACTGACGGGGTTTGGGGATCTTAAAGACATGGTATCTACAGCGACGAATTTCCTGAGCGAAAGTGCGTCTCAGACCAGCATGATCAGTTCCATGTGTGGCGACATCAACGCCAGAGTCGGTAGTGTGGAGTCGATGCTGAAATCGAGTTCTGAGGGGTTCAACGCAGAATTAGGACAGCTGCGGTCCTGCACTGATAGTCTGAAGATGGAATTTGAAGGTCTCAAGCGTGAGCTGAGGACAGACATGGAGTCACTGAGACACGAGTCAGAACGACGTGACGACCAGACACGCTCTGTCCTGGACGCGATCAAGGCAGGCCTCGAGGCCTGTGCCCGCGAGGTGAAATCCGTCGGCCGGACAACCAAGCGCGTAAGGAAGGAGCTCCCGTCGCAGGCACAAAGCATTTTGGATGCGTTTAACAACCCAGCGAACAACCCGCCGGCGCAGGTAGGAGAGGATGGATTCCTCGGCGTGCAGTGCCCTGCACCAGACGGATGGAGCCAGAAGGAGTACGAGAAGCAGTTGGAACGAGCAGCCTGGTCTTACATATGCTTCCTAGGCAGCCCTGACGAGGGCGTATGCCCGGATGAGGACGCCCTTGCCACAGTTCAAGATCAGTTCCCCCACCTTGCGGAGGACCACATTGTCTCGGCACTGGATCACATTCACATGCGAATCTATCATCATCCTCTCGGTCGGGTTGTTCGCCAGGACAATGACAATTTCTCTGGGCAATGAGGGAAATCATCGAATTTATTTGAATTGTATTAGGTCTACTAATAAGTTCTGCTTCCTTCCATCACGATGGCTTCCCAAGCGCCTGTGTCAGCCCGATCACCTCCGAGGCCTCACTTCCGAGGCCTCCTTCAATCCGGCTGTTCCCCCCAGGATCGTAACAGTTTCCGCTCGAAGTCGCGGCCCTTCACTGGTTCGTAGAAGTCTGTGATGCGTGTCTGTAGTCTCCCTTTCAGAAGTAGCAACGGGGGTTTTGTCGACCCTGCAGTCGCTGGACTATGCTTGCGCATCAGTCGTGCGCCTCGGTGATGCAGGCCTCGGATACACCAACGATGGGTTGGCCCTCCATAGTCTACCCGCGCGCAAGGGCACCTCCCTTGGGAATGACGTGAGGTTGTCCGAATGGCCAAACCTGCAATACCTGAGCCGTCTGGACCAGGCATCGGTTTGTTGCACCTCTTCGCCCAGGCGGCCGCACAACTGTGGACTGGTAGCCTCCATAAGGATCTGAGCTGGGAAGCTCGCATCCCGTCCGCGGATACGTATCGGACCTCATAATGAAAAGTGCACCTGCTGTGCCCGCCAGCCTTTGGAGTGGACGCCATGCGGAAAGAGGGTAAGGAGGGGAGAAACTGTGAGTGGGAGGGAGGTGGGAGAAGGAAGGGCACGGCAGTAGGAGGCGTGGCTCTTTTATAGATGCGCGTGGGCACTTTGCCACGCCTGAGCCAACAGCCTTCTATGTCTACAGTGAAGTCACTAGGCAGTCCTTGCCGGGCCAATGCCGTAATCTGAAAGGGTCCGAGACTGTTGGGTCCGAAGGGTGGTGGGTTATGGAGGAGACCACAAGACAGAGAGAGGTGCACAGCGCCGACCACGTCCACAGCTTGGACAAGCCTACAGTGTGAGGCTCGCGTTTAGATTGATGACCGATGTGCTCCACGGCCACGGCCAAGAGACCCCAGGAGGGTTGCATCATGGACGAAGCTGCGCCTTGAGAGGATCCTCCTAGGCAACAAGTGGGCGAGTTGGAGTGCGAGAGCCTGCGCATATAAAGCCTGGTCAGGGCTCTTCGAGGAAGGCAAATTCTCCGTCTTTATCCCCATCCTCTAAATGTCCCACGGCTGAATCACCCCATATCACTCACGAATACCAAACATGTGGACTTACGTGGACCGCAACTCGGAGCTCGAGCTCTCCCTAATCGCCCGTCAAGTACACTTATCCTCCAGGGCTATCATAATAACAGGCGCTGGAATCAGCACCGCTGCAGGAATCCCGGTACGTCGGTCTCTTATCTCTTGAAGGACCTTGCTTAGAATACATAGGATTATCGTTCGCCGGAGGGACTGTACGCCAGAGGCGAGCTTTTCAGCGAGACAGCCATGCATGACGAGGCGTCGAGATATCAGCTGCAAAAGTCTGCTCTGAGCTTCTATCAGCTTGCAAGGTCCAGTGAGCCAACACGGCTCCACGAACTGATCAAGGAGCTCGCGAATAGAGGGAAGCTGCTCCGGTGTTATACCCAGAACATCGATATGCTTGAAGCCAAGGCCGGCCTCTCGACAGACCTGAACAGACCAGAGGTCGAGTGCGTTCAGCTTCATGGCTCATTTCGCCTCCTGCGCTGTTCATTTTGCTCCGAAACCTTCCCATTGGAGGCTCACGAGGTCGAATTCTCGACAGAGGCTGATCTCCCTTGCCCTCGATGTATGGAGTACTCTGCGGCCAGAGAGGCCGCAGGCAGACGTCGCGTGTCGGTCGGCATTCTTCTACCGGATATCGTCCGAATCGGCCAACAACAACACCCATCCGGAGAAGGCATCGCGGAAATCATTCACCGAGATCAGGCAGCGAACTCAAATTTGCTCTTTATTGTTGGCACCAAACTCGAGCTCGATGGACCGAAGCGGTTAGCGAAGCTTTTCGCGAGGGATATGAGAAAGAAAGGAGGGATGGTAGTGTATGTGAACTTGACGGAACCGCGAGCCGTGTGGAGGGACCTTGTCGACTACTGGGTCAAGTGGGACTGTGATGAATGGGCAAAGGATCTCGATCAGCGTCTGTTCATGTTCCGGATTAGGCGCCAGATTTACTGGCCTAGTGTTGGTTCGAGCAGCAAGCGTCCCATCCTGATAGATTAACGTTGAGGACAATTCCCTGCATCTTTTCAAAACAACCCGTGCAACATGAGGATACAAGAGGGCGAAACAAAGTGAATAAGCATAAGCCCATGAAGCCAACCACGGACACGACCCAAATCAGTGCACCACTGTCATTACTACCACATCATCGTCCTGGTATAAGCTCTATTCTATTGGTATCCGGACCCACTCCTCATGGTCCAGCGGAGGAAAGACGCTGTCCAAGGATGACCAAGACTTTTCTGTATTGCTTGCTTGAGAGTGTGAATCGACTTTGGTCTCCTGGCACTCGCTGAAAGACCATTTCAAACGGTAGTTGTATATGGGGTGAAGACAGTAGGCGAATGTGATACGGTATAAGTCCGGTGTGTGTGAAGGAAACAGGTCGTCCTGCTTGTAGTAAAGATCATGGTGTACCGGCTTTGTGGTCCCATCATAGTAGAGTACTGCTGTCGTGCAATTTTGCACGTCAATGAAGCGGTCTAGAACAGAGGTGATGGTCGATTCGTATCCCGTAACAAACTCCTGGATGTTGATGGTAATATCAGCGCCACGGAGTCGCACTTCATACCGATCTGGGTCATAGTGATGAGCTTGCATGTACGGCAGCAAACCTTGACGCGTCACGGAGTGGTGGGATGAGAGCCTGCCGGTCCAATCCATGGAAAGTAGAATGAGGGATATAGGCCCGTCAAGTTCTTTATTGTAGAGTTTGTAAACGTCGCGACCCACTAGGACCGGGTTGGCACCCAGCTCAACAGCGCCTCGAAGCCAAGTGGAGTCTTTGAATATCGTTCCCCAAGCTCGAGAATGTTTCATACTAGACTCCTCAATACGTATGCCAGCCTGCCTTAGACGCCATCGCTCTGGTGGCGTCAACTCGTCTGTAATCTTGTCAATCACTTCGTTTGGTTGCCGGTTCATCACTGCTAAGGGAAAGTGTGAGTAGCTGGCAATTCAATGGCGGTCCTATGAGTCTCGCAGGTAAACATATACCCTATATTCAAGTGCCCATCTAGCGCTGGGGTGACGATCCTTTTAGTACTGTCACGTCACAAATAGTCAAGCTTCCTGCTTCCTGTCTTTTATTTGCTGCTTCTTCTTTATTGCCCTTTGCTTCTCTTCTATCGCTTTCTGTTTCCCGTTTCCCGTTTCCCGTTTCCCGCTTTCGTCAAGCGTATTGCGGATAACCGTTCTCAGAAATTGTGATCCGGATCTTGAGCGCTTGACACAGCGCTAGTCAATGCGACGAGGACCTATCCAGACCCCCTGCTTGTCGCAAGGGAGGTAGCATTCTTTGCTCGCCCCCACTATCACTGCTAGGTATCGTCAGTTGGGGCATGTTCCCGCCAATCGTCAGAGCTTACAATGGCAAGTAGCTAGATCAAACATCACGGAGAGAGAGAGCACTCGAATTATCATAATAGGCTGCATTGTTACTTGTGTAGTTTCACGACAGTAGAGAGCTAGAACTTAAGAGCTAATATATTCAGATGTAAGCTTCGGTCTTTATAAGCCTCGCTTAACCCTTTTCCCTGAACAGAGCATTCAGATGTTGAGACAATGATGGCCTATACTAGTAATATGATTTAGTTTCCTATCATCCACTCATTTGAATCTCGGTTCTAAGAAGTTTCTATATAAATAATGTGTTTCCTTGACAGTATTCGACTTTATATCACTATTCACTTCACTGTCGACCTATTCCAGGATTCTTGTAATGTCTTCATCTCCGAGTCGTACCTCACATGAAGTTGAGGGTATTGCTTTCCTTGAAAAGGAGGCAAACCGGAAAAGAAACTCATGTAATCTAAAGCTGCACTCTAACTCCTCTATTATCCTCGCTCTGCTCTATGTTCTTCTGTTTACTGTTGTTATTGGTTGCTATCTTAAGAGCCTAGATCCAGTCGCCAGTTATCGCCGAACCTATGGGCACTCACCTCTCTATGGCCGAATCCATCTTCAACCATATCAAACAACTGTCAACGGCACCATCTGGCCATCTACAGATAGTGGTGTTGCTAGGCGTTTCCCCAATCCAATCGACGAGGTTACATGGGATGAGTGGGAGATTAAGAATATAATTCCTATTACCTCTGCCGAGATTAGGAGAATGGGGAAAGACCCTGCTACAGCAGCCAAACTGGAGGACTCAATCTGGAGTTTAGGTAACGATGCATACGCTGGTACCTTGGATTTGTTTCATCAGATACACTGCCTCAACCAACTGCGCAAGTATGCATATCGTGATTATTACGATGTGAAGACTGCGAATGCGAACCCACAGAACAGGACTATGCATGAGATACACACAAACCACTGTGTTGATATTCTCTTGCAAGCTTTGCAATGCTCTGGCAATCTGCGTCAGTACCCCTTCCACAAATGTCTGTTAGCTTTGAGGCCCTTTGCTAAATAATCCAACTTTCTAGAAATAGCCACAATGCATTGGACTGAAACACAGCTATATCCATTCCCTGACATGAGTATCCAAAGGCAGTGTGTTAATTTCGAGGCAATTGATGAGTGGCGCACGAAAAATGCAATCAGTATGGAAAATTATAAGAACGTCATGAGAAAAGACAGGCAACCGAGACCTGTGAGGGAGCGACCTATTGAGCAGGGCTATTGGGATATGTTTAAGAACTCGAATAAAGTAGAGGACACATTTGTATAGTTCAAGCAGGGCGTACAATGTAGGCGTGCTGTCACGGGTACTATAGATCGCTAGTCACCTTCATCCTTGCATCCCAGTCAACCGGGCTGAGTACTCCCCCCCCCCTCCCCCCTTTTCATCGCGCATGGGGCGACCTAGCGGCTTTTGATGCCAGTGCCTAATCGTGGTTCATGAGAAGAGGAGTATCATGTACGGCGCCACGAGAGTAAAACCGTTTCGGACTCGTTGCAGTCTAGTGGCCATTGGATCACGATGTTGCTGTATCGCCCGCCGCTGGCTTCAGAGTGGCATTGCGCGCCGATGCCATTTCGGCACGGTCCGGGGTGTCCAGGCAGCACTCGATGGGCCAGCCTTGGCAGAGCTTCGGTTGGAGCATCGCAGGCCATGTAACCCAGGAACATTCACTCGGCGCGAGGTTTCTCGCAGCGTATATAGTTGTATCCCCGAGGGCAGTCGATGCGTCGCGTCGCTTTGCAACGCGACAATATTTCAAACTCTGCAGCGCCGGGCACCGTCATCTCGGGCGGGCCTTTGCACCCTTCCGTAATTTTTCGATTCTGGAAGCTTCTTTTCGCGGGATCCTTCGCGAGGTTCGCTGGAGATTGACGTCGCCTGCCACCACCTGGCGCTGCTGAATCCGAGCACTGCGCCGGACCATTTTATCCTGCTGTCTCCATTTCGCAACCGGTCGTTTGCGTGGTGACATTTTTGGTTTCTTCGATATAGCATGCACTGCGCCGGTCGATCCATCCTCGGATAACTCGGCGTCGGCTTGCGAATCAGCGGGTGTGGAAGTCGAACCGCCTGTGGAAGGAGGCGTGGGGCGCGTTGTATCGATGGGAGGTCTTCGCAAGTTCGGTGGGTGTGGTTGTGATGGGAGAAAACCCGCAAAGTATCGTACATATGCGTCGAACGAGTTAGAGTGGTAGATGTGGATCGCGTCCTTCCACCGCGCATCGGAAGTCGACAGCAACGCCGGCGACGCTGCAATCTGGGTGAATGACAACTGCCAGAGATCAAGGAGCTCCTTCTGCCTGAGATCCCGTCGCTCATCGAGAAGATGGAGGAAGTCATCCCTATCGTGTGCCATGGCACTGAGCTCGCAGACATCACGATTGAATGCCTCGACGTCGAGGACGGGCAGCGTTATCGAGTTGCAACGCTTCGCCAGCGTGGTGAACAGCTCGTCTTGCCGCATCCCGAACTTCCACGAGGGCCATCTCCGGTCATAGTTCAGAAGAAAGTAATCCTCAGGTGCGGACGGGAAAAGATCAAAGGCTCGGGCCATTTTGGTCTGCCCTGGGTAGATTGCAGTGGCTCAGGCGCCGAGTCAAAACTGGCGATGGGGGGGTTGCTGGGTGGAGGACATATGGAGAAGGTGGAGCGAGCTGTGGGAGTCTGTGACTACGACTGTTTTTGGAGCTAAATTGGCGCCACCGTCATCCAGATCGGTCCCACCTAATTGGCCGTAGCTCCGGCATTATGCGCGCGTCTGGGCAGCTCTCGCGTTACTCAGATGGTCGATACAGGGTTCACCTAGTTTAGATACCTAGGTAGTTCACAAGTTGCACTCGCAGGTCTTCGCATCTACTAGACGGGGGCTGCTCGGGATGGACTACAATTGTCTCCAATCGCCCTGCCGTGTCCCGCACTTCTGGCAGGGCGTCTTTCTTCCTTGCGTTGTCCCGAGCCTTCGACATGACCGCAATCATGGCTCAGAAGAAAAGAGATTTTACCAAACACGTCTCATTCATATTGCCTGATGCATCCGGCGATGCCAGTCATAATGCCAACAGGGGCGACACTGTCGACCAGCTCAATACGTACCTTGAGGCACAACGGGCCCGCCAACGACGTATGCAAAATCTGGCGCTGGAACTCCCGATCGACCAGTCATATACGGGACCTCTCCACCGTGTCAGAGTCCTTTTGAAGCAGTCAGGCCAGGACAACAATCATCTGACAGTCTGCAATTCGGCATCCGATCCTATTAACACCGAGCTGGATGCGATCACACGACAAACGATCCTTGGGCAGCACGTTCGTGTGGGACTTCTGGCAGCCACTCAGGATCACCTTGAGATCAAGTGCTCATTCGCATCAGGGGAGGTCGCATGTGAGATCTACTTTGACCCTGCATCTGATGATGTCCTTCTTCTCAACACTGGACAGAGTGTTGTCCAAGTCAACCAAACTGTGGGAACTGCTGGTGCGGAATGCCTTCCTCCCGAGGAGCTCAAGCTGCTTTCCCCAGGTCTCTGGTTTGTATCAGTCGTCGGCGCTCATGCCCAGACTGTTGAGATGCTGGTGAGGCCACGCCACTACAGCCTCTCCGTTCAGGAGGTAGGTCAGCCAATCGCGAAGAGGGCTGGCGGGAAGATGCTCCCGCCGCCCCCGAAGAGGATGCAATCTTCGTCTGGCGCCATGGTTACATCAACAACGGCACAGACTCGCGGTGACTCTACTTCCAGTGCCGAGCGTTCTGCGCCACCTCAACTGCGGGCAACCATCACGAAATCACTGCATCCTCACGAGCTGGCCCAGACGGAGTCTGGGCAGAGAATCGTGATGAAGAACACGGACACGCAAGAGACTGAATACACACTTGAACGACTTGGAAACTGGGTATACGGTAAGACTCAGACGCATATGTTCACGGCAGTGCTGCGGAAGGGCGAATCAAGCCCCACTGTCGCGGTCTTGATGCCTAAGCTCTGGGAGAGCGCGTGGAGAGACCTGCCCAAACGTGAACTTTACGCCGCCGTTCACACTGCCAACAGGTGGTGGAGGCAATACGATATGATGGTGAACCTCAAGCACGTCAGTCTGTCTGAAAGCTCCTTTGGATGAGACACCAGCTGATCTTGTCCAAAGCCTAACCTAGTCTCATGTTTCGGGGCAGATCTCCGCTGCTTGTCTCTCTACCTACAATGGCCTGGTTCAATAAACCTTGCTTCAGCTTCCAAGGACGATCACTACACAGGGGGGCCGGATGACGTGCGTGTCATCTTAGCAGATTGCTCGCAGGCCCTCGACTATCTAGCGTCCCATGGTATCGTACACAACTCGGTCACTCCTTGGAGCATCGCCTACAGACCAGGCGACAGGGCCGGAGCAGTCCTTACGGACTTCGACTGTGCGATGAGGCGATCTGGCGTGGACGACACCAGACTTGCTCCTGTCTGTTACGCGGCGCCCGAAACCTTGCAACACAGTGGTAGTGTGTATAGTGATGTGTGGTCCCTCGGAGTGGTGATGTTGTACGTCATGAGACTCAGCGCTCTTCCTGGGACGCCGAAACACGTAAGGACTTTAGGACAATGCCGATTGGATCGATTGAAGGCTTGGCATGAAAATGTGGTGGCGATTCGTGCGACGCTCGACACCTCTGACAACGACGTCGCCGGCATCGTCGCACTCATGCTCATGCCTGAGGAAACTACTCTCACAGGCAGTAATGCAGGAAATGGCAGGATATCTCCCTCGGCTTTGGGGCGAGAGACGAGAAGGTGGGCGTCAACCAAGATATTCTCACCACCAACTCCACACTCAGCAGAAGAATGAGCTGGTCTCCTGTCCACGGTACTGCAATGATAGCGCAACGATTGATGAGGAAATCAAATTCGAGTTTTTTTTGACTATCAATTTACCATCAAACTCCCCAGACGTCCCCTACGTGCCCCGTGTCTCAGTGTTATTCCGTCTCATGGTTTTGATGCCGTGTACTTTTTCAGTATGATTCTGGAGATGTTTCTTGTGAATCAGCGCTACCTTGCAGATTGGACAAACGAAACTGTCACCTTCGCCTTGGTAGTTCAAATGGACAGTGATGAAGTGTTCGCGCAAATGATCCGAGCGAGAAAACGGGTGACAGAGATGACGGAATCTAGGATGAGACCGCCCAAGAATCTCAGCTTTGGCAACACAGAGAAAGCATCTCCGCACGTTGCCAAATGCAACGAGCGTTGCCTCCTTGTACTCTTGCATCTCAGCCTTGGGGGTCTGCTGTGGGTTGGACTCCGAAGCAGACATTGTGCCCCGGACTAGCAGCGGCACAACAGGGTCTTCCTCGCCGCAATATGCAACAAGCGCCTTGATGGCCTCGGTTCTCCGCCGAAGCTGCGCGTCAAGGTCATTGACCAGGGGTGATGTCAGAGCGTCGAACATCCTTTGCTGGACTACCCCCATAGGCTGCACAGAACGCGGGTCCTCGAGGGCCTGGGTGATGTCCTCCCCAGCAATCTGTCGCTCAACGTCCTCGACCCCCTGTGTCTTGCCCCAGTCGTCACGTATCTCGTCAAGCTTCCGCTTCTGCAATCTGGTCCAAAGTGCCTTACGCTTCAGGCCGAGCTTCCTTCTCCGATCTGATCTCGGCACAGCCGCTGTCCACTTTCGATCTAAGCGCTGGTAATTCGGATCCTTTTTGAGCTCTTCAGTCTGTTTCCGCGTCAGGTTGATCGGCCGACGGCGGCTCAGGGAGTGGCCGAGGCTTGTGGCTTGTTCGAGAAGGGCCTGTTGTGGTTCTAGACCACGGTGAATAGCCCACAAATCGGCACAGATAATGCGCTGAAGGTAGTGCTTTTGGAACGTGATAGAGTTGGGGGCATGGTCCATGACCAGATCGCGTAAAGCGCTGCTAATGTTGACTATTTCGTGTCAGATACAGCACTGAAAGCAGGCGTAGCTTCGATCTCGGAAAATGTAGCACACATACCATCGCGGTCCATGCTGTTCCCTGCCATGTAGCGGAGGCCGTACGCCATCGTGGGATGCTCGAAGCCTGAAAGCATACCCACCGTGGAAATACATTTACTTATCGTCCCCTGAGAGAGACGAGCCTCTCCCATACGGTATCCCATTGCATCTCTAATGGGGTTGCGGAAGATGTAGGTGTCGAGAATGCCGGGACGAAAAGCAAGCTCCATCTCTTTTTCACCTGGGTGAATACGTAGTTGTCCAAGTTCATGTGGATTCTGGTTGAGACTGGGTGATTTGAAAGCCCTGTGTCGGAAGGCAAGTGCAAGTAAGAAGACATGAGGACTCAGCAGCAGACTAGGATCACACATAATTTCCGGGACCGTGAATGATTTCCTTTGCCCCCAATTAGCTCTTGCACCATCGTTCCTTGTCTGTTTTGGTTGAGGAGATACTTACCTGGCCTTGGCTCCAAGATATGTCTTGGTGAATTCCAAGCTCAGCCTGATCACAAGCCTGGGACGCCCCTCGGGGTTTCCTGGGTCCCGGACGAGGAGGATGTTGATATCCCTGAATCTCAGAGATAGCACGGATGTAGGCCGAGAGCCCTGGGGAGCTAGAAGGAGAAGGAAGAGAACAGAGAGGATTCGCAATTCCCCTGTTTTAAATGACTTTTCCGTCGTAGAGAGCGTTGTGCTGATGAGAGTTTTCAAGTCATTGATAGTCATTGGTCGGTTGGGACGCACGTTATGTTCCAGGGACTTGCCAATCTCGGCGATACCCTATTGTTGTAAGTTGTGGTTAAAAAGATCAGTAGATCTGGGACAGGACTTACGTTATGCATCAACCCACGGTCAACCACGGCGTCGATCTTCATATTGGTCGCCCTTTGGTACGCGAGGCGAAAATTGCACCAAAAGGTGATGAGAGACTGCTTTGCCTTCACAGGCCGTTTCGCACCGCCGTTCTTGTTTGTCTTCTGCCCAAGATACCAATGAAGGAATTGGTAGGTAATCTTGAAGTTGATGCGCAAGAAGGCTTTGTTGCAGTCCTCCTCCTGCAGAACCGTGCGGCAGTACCTACAGGTGTCAGCTTCCCCAACCAAGCGATGATGCAGTCTCGATCAACTCACAGCTTCCAGTAATTTTTGACACGTAGAATCTGCTTCATGGTTCCTGGCGCGTACACTTTCCTCGTGTATCTGTCCTCATTCATATTCTCGATGCCACTGCGATAGTATTCTGGAGGATGCTTGTTGCCATGATAGAGCTTGTCGAGGTTATCATCATCATCTGAGCTCATTTCAGACATGTTCTCTTCAAATCGCCGAACCTGCTCGTCGATCTCTTCAACCTGCAAGGGATCGAAGTATCCACCGAGCCCATCATAGTCATCGGTGGAGGCATCACTGCCGTCGTCGTCGGTGTCGTCATCGGTCATGGAACTGAGATCCGGCTCAGAACAAGTACCATCGGATTCGTCCGAAGGTGTATATTCGGACCCAGAGTCTGAATACTCTGTGCTTGGGGTGTTTCGCGTGGGCATGGCTAATGCGTTGAACGGTGTACACAAAACGAGGAGACAATGCACAGGTGTCGAACAGGCTGGTTTGAACTAACACATAGAGGAGAGAGGATAGTGGGAATAGAGGGGACAGAGAACTTGGAAGGGAAGAGAGAGTGGAATGGGCACAGTCCGGGCTCATGCGACGGGGAGACCCAAAGACAACGCTCGGGGGGAGGGCAAATGCGGCTGAGTTTGGCCAAAGTTCAAGCAGCCTCGCTCATTCCTCAATGCTAAACGGTCTGGGCCCCAGGCCCACAGTAGTGAGAACTTTGTTGGTGTCGACTCCTCAACCTACTGCTACCCTGTTGATTTTGGGCAGCGTCACAGATGCCGCACATCACATCCCCCGGATGGAATCCATGGCGGCACTGAGCTTAGACACAACCAGACCAACCACACAGGTTGGAACATAGAGCAACCGATCCTTCATTCACCACGATTCAAACACACCTGCGCTAAGCGCCAACCTGACAATAGGCGCGGAGTGGATTTCCTGCTTCAACCCGATCTTGGTCGTATCCGGGCACTCAACCTCTGATGGGACGCCTCCAACTGGAGCGTCAATGTCAGATCCGGCCATGAAGCTATGCACACGCCCCTCCACTACCAAAGTGGTGATCTTTGACCATGTCATAGCACATGTGCTTGGGGACCTGTGAGCCGTTGGCTGTCCTGGTGACTTTCTGATGTTGGGGCTAAGTGATGTTACCACACCTGGGCAGTCGGAACAAGCATAGCTACCTAGGTACACATAACAACGTGTTAGTGTTGTGGTAAGGCATGTATCTATATCATTCCGATATCACAATGCAACCTGTTGCGCTAAGCCCCAAGTACCCCACACACACGTTATCGGATGAAATATACACCCTCCCACCCACCAACGCGGCAAAGCACCAACAGATGCCAATGCAACCCAACTAACATAGACCCTACTAGGCTCAGTTGCCACAGCCTTCCTAGGCAGCAGCACACCACCCCAAGAGGATCCAGAGTCCATTGCCACCCTCAACATACTCGGAGAAGGTTGCCTACCAACGAATTCCAGGAACCGGAACATGAAGTCGTAGGCCAGTTACGGGTCAGAATACATGGTGACAGTCCCTGGGCAGTTGTTCCCTTGGCATTTTGAAGCTCCCCGCTTGTAGTCCGTAGTCTCAGAGTACGGCATTATTCCACAGCTACCCGACACGTACAGAGTGAAACCGCCATGGTCGGCGCCGGAAGCGGTATTTCCTCGCCACTCTGTGTAGCCAGCTGGTAGCGTTACCCCGGCTCGACTCAATAGTACTTACGACAGTTAGCGGCCGGTACAAGATAGTGGTAGATAGATGTACCTGGAATCGTCGATCGCGCACACAGCGCACACATCACACACCACCGGGAGCAACTCAGGGTCGGAAAAATGCCGGTTAATCTGATCCAGTGTACACAACCGCCCGCAAGCCATGAGGCTCGGTCGAGTACAGCCACACAAGTACCTGAACGGTTCAACGACGCACATCTTTTCGGTGAGAGAACGTACAATGCCCATTAAGGGGTGTTGAGAGCCTATCTATTATATCTCCAAAACCGTCTGTGGGGCTGCTCAGTGCGCAGCTCCAGATCAAGGATCTGTGTTCTTGCAAACGAGATTCATCACTCCCTTCCTCCTCTCTGTTGCCCCTTGTTCTGGTACTTTACCAGCCACGGAGGCAATGGGCCAGGCCACCCTAGACCAGGCATTCAGCATAAGCCGGACCACTTCTAAATCACCGTGTGCCTGTGCAAAATCCAGGGCCGACTTTCCGAACTCGCCCTTGATGAAAGGACTAGCTCCGTGTTCTAGTAGTAGTCGTAGACATGCCGAGTGGTCGTACATGAGGGCAAGGATGAGAGGCGTATCCCCGAACCGATTTTGGGCATTGATTCCTTGGCGAGCGGCCTGCTGCGGGCGCCCATCACCAACCAGCAGCAGACGAAGGAGTCTGTAACCCTCCGTCGCACAATCGTGGTTGCGTTGCACAATGTTGGTAGCGAGGTGATGCAATGCAGAGTTGCCTAGTTGGTCATGCTGAAGGGGGTCGGCGCCGCACGTCAACAGGAATTTGACCGTGGCCGCCTTGTCGTGTAGAAATAATGTCTCAGGGGTATTCAATACATGATGCAAGAGTGGAGAACCCCGTGTGACAGTATTGAGGTCTGTATCCGGATCTACAAGGAAGGCCTGAACCATCTCGGGGCCACGAAGGCACGCCTCGAACAGAACCCAGCTGTATCCGTGCGAGAGGGTAATGTTGAAAGTGCCTATGAGCGATCGGACTCGGTGAGCCTGCCCCCGCAGCACGGATGTAGCTACCTCGCACTCCAGGTCCTCGTCGTATGGAGTGGCATTGGTTGCATCGGATTCAACGGTCGGCGATAGTCGATCCATGTTGGTGGTACATTGGCTTTTTGGAACAGCTTGCCCGGAATTTTGGGTCGTCGCAGCTGTTCATTTGTATCTCTGTATTTTGCTCGCGTGACGACTCATCCCGATCTGGTCTTCCTTTGAGAGTCGTCAGGAGATCGGGAAAAGCAATCGCCTCTCCCTTTCATCAGGTCTGTTACAAAGAGAACAGAAAAATACATTTCGAAACCTACGGCCGATTTCGAAGACAGAGATAGATGTAGTCCACCCTGTATGTCAGTGGAATGGGAATTGAGACGGGAAAGTGATGCTGTTTGGGGTGCATGCTGTGACCTTGATTCGGAGTCCACTGAGGGGCAGCCACATCGGCATCAGAAGAATCAGTTTCATTTATCGCTCTTGCTCATACAAGGGGGCTCACGGGATGATGGTGTTGTGTATAGTTCTGTTTAAGTGAAGGATGTTGTGATATTGTCCACACACGGGTGTGGCTAGATCTTGGTGATGTTCCTATCACCTGATGCGAAGTTGACACAGCCTATCCTCCATGTGGTCGATCTTGTCTACAATTGCTACGGACTCAACCGCTTCGTGGCTCTGACCACCAATTTGATCCAGGTCGAACAGCGTCCAAGGGCTGTTACTCAAAGGCACTCGCCCTTTGCCGAGAATGCTATCTATTTCGATGTCTATCATGGTTGTGAGAGACCGCACGAGAATGTGACATTGCCGCAAGAATTCACCCCCCTGCTTTATCCCATTCCACACATTGTCGTCACAAAAGTCGGCTTTCCTCATCGCCTCATCACCCTTGAAGTACATTTGTAACTTCCTGGTCCGCATCCTTTGCAACAACGTAGCGAGATGTGGACTTGGTTTGAGCCTGCATTTGATGCTTACTGTGACCATGAGGGGTGAAGCTGAGTAAAATATGGCTTTTTCTTGAAGCTCAACGTAGAAGAGTGAGACGAGGACACGGTCAGAAACTTCCGTAGGTAGGACTTCGAAGGGAGATTGAAGATTGACGATGATGTTGGCTGCTGAGTCGGGCCACAACCTTTTGATCTCACTGTCGACATAGAGCCCACCACCATCTTCCAGACTTCATTCATTGCTGTAAGTATGAGGTTCAAGTTTGTTTTGCCAAAGAGAACATACCCGCAGGCAGGCAGCTTGAACGAGCCGTGCTGAAAGGAGAGTCTCGGTCCATTCGTTCTCAGCTCGTCAATCTGGAATTTGAGACTGTTTCCGAATCGGATTTCTCGCTTCCTGGCCTTGATGTGTTGGATACCTCCAAGATGGTGCACGCAATCCGCTACTGTCGCGTTCTTGCAAAAGATTAAGGATGCAAAGAAGACGCCAATCCCGGTGGCGACCACGAGATCAAAGTACTCCTCCAGTGGGCCACCTAGCTGTGAGCGCAATGTTTGTAGAAGGTCTGCCAAAAGCTTGGCATCTTTTAGGGAACCTCCTAGGTGCAACACGCGAACACCGGCGGTTGGCGGCTTCAGACTGACGCGTATCGTGTTTGTACGACCGCATAAGGTGCATCTAGGCACCCATGGTTCTTGGTATGATGTGCCAGTCTGCTCCTCGTGGAGCGTGATGCACCTATCGCACAGTATGTGACCGCAGGAGAGGGTATGTGATGGGAATCTAGACAAGCAAGACAAGCAGGCAGTTGTTGCCCTGGCGGCCCATGACAAGTTATTGGCGTTGATGAAATTTTTCCTGCAATATCCATCTGTCTTTGACGTGTTCGCAGTGAGATTTAGGAATCCCTGGTAAACCATGCGGTCGAAGTGTGTAAGTGGTTTCAGGTCCAATTGCGCTTTTTTGAGAAATTCGAGGTAAACTACGCGGAAGATATCATCTGGTGGAAATGCTGCTTTCTTTTCAGTCCAAACATGTCCAGTCTGCTTTTTCGAGAGAGTCATGCGTACAGAATGTGCCTTGCGCATTGCTGTCAAGCAGGAGAGCCGACGCAATCAGTTGCCCGGCGGACCCGAGAAGCCTGGGCTTGCGTGCCACAAATTGAATGATCTTAGTTATTTCACTCTGCAAGCGTTCAGGCATTTCTGGTGAAATTCGCGAGCACATAATCAGGCTGTGTGGTTCCTGAAATGTTGCAGAGAAGCGGACACAAGCTGTCCGTAGGAGATAACTAAGCTGCTTCCCAGTGAACGGTGGGTGCACCTCAGTATTGTGGTGTTTTGCTTCAAGAGACTCGTCGAGTATATTTTGGATGACTGCGTCGTGATCGGCTGGGTGCTTGACCAGCTTCAAAGCGCTGAAATGGCGTCGCAAGACCTGTTCGGCGGACTTGACTGTGTGTTCTCGCGATGGGTCGAAGAATTCGATGAATTCACAAATTAGTTGACTCTCTAAAGACGTGGAGGAGCGCAGCGTCCCATCATCAGGGTTGGAAAATACAAGGACGGTGGGGCGGAGGCGTGGCTGAGAGGACGGGGATGAGGAAGCAATGAACACCCATTGTGCGAGCTCCCGCAAGATAGGCTGTAGCCCTGCATACTCCTCTTCTAGAAACACGACTACGTTGCTCATAGATGACAAGACCTTAGAATACAGATGCCTTGCAATATCTGCAGCTCCCATCAACTTGTCGATGCCTTTGATTGGATGCAGCATGAGGCCGCTTGGAATCGGCCCCGCCTTCTTTGTTGGAATACGTTGGCGTTGGTGTAGGCTGCAGTCCAGAACGACTGTCATAGATGAACCTAGCTGTCCCATGGAAACTATATTGCTGCATGGCCGTTTACTGCCTCTCACCAACATAACGGTACGAGGAAAAGAGTCAGCGTGGTCGTCTAGAAATTTGTAAGGCCCATGGTGCTCTTGCAAGAATGGATTCTTCATACCGCCGGCACCTAGACGAAGATCAAGCCAGGGGGTAGACATGATTGATAGTGAGATGAGATAGAACGTGATCCATGGACTTTTCCACCTCATCATAAATTACACAGACATCTCAAAGATATAAGACTCCTGTTCTTTCAACCTATTCTACCAGGCACAGTTAACCGCCTCGCAGGAATTGTTCCCAATCGTGCCTTTATGTTTTCTCGATTTTTAGAATCTGCGCACCAACAGCGACAACCAGTATCTATATAACAAAGATGAAATTATCATAAAGACCAGAAAGAAAATCACGACTCCGAGTGTCACCCAGGCGGTGGGAGACCAGTTTCCGTTTTTAGCAGTGTAAACATTAATCAGCACCGAAAGAAGCCCACTAAGTGAGTTTAGAAGGCCTGGTCTACCACCATAATTAGCGAGGACTTAATTTCGTGATGTTCTGATTGACCTTACAAAAGCAAATGCGTCAAGATCCAAACATAATTGTTTCTAAACCTGGACCAAAGAAAATAAAGCCCTCCAGCACTCATCGTGCAGCACATGGCGGCCATCGGGAGCAAGGTGATGTTTTGCACGACTTTCTGAACAGCCTGGCCTTGTTGGGATTTTTGCAGATATTCCGAGCCCTCAAGAGATGTGAATGTACCTGGGAGGACAAAGAACCCAGCCAACATGGTCCAGGAAGCTGCTGCCGCCATCATGTTGTAAATGACGGGAACCTCGTTGGATTCAATGATCATTCGGTGGTAGGTCGAAGCCATTGTGCAATAAACTGATTGCGAACGACTGTAAATGGCGATACGTGTGGATTCTTCAGCTTCACAAAACAATGAAATCCAGACGTTGCCAAATCCATTCCCAGACACTGAAGGCAGGTTTTCAATAGAGTTAATCCGGAATTTGGCAAAACAGGCGACCCGCTAATCAAAAGAGTTTATCCCAGCAACGGTGGAACAACCCACCGGTCTTGAAAGATCACCTGATTAGGTTAGATTAGCTTGATTCTCACTTTCCACTAGAGTGTGCCCTTACCTCGTCCTCGCGATGCCCCCAGAGATAAAATAACCAGCCAATCAGGTAGTAGAGAGCTGGATCAGTCGACTGATACATCCAGATAGCTACAATCGCGTTCACGGGTAGAATGACGAGACGGAAACGAAAGCTACAATGCAGGGTTGACCGAGAAATATAAGGCAACGGCCATTCCACAAGAAGTGTGGAGATGCCGAGGAAAAGGTTCAGCATCTGCAGATAGGGCACTGGCGCTACAATGACATCCATGCGTTTACTGACAACGTCGAAGAAGACCTTGGGATATAGAAATCCTTGTAGAGCTGCCCAGCCCTGATCTAGAAAAAAGAAAGATTAGCAAGCCCGTCTGAAATGATCGGGCTAGAATTACCGACATGTCGCAGCAGTTAGAACAATTAATCTAGCTACATGATTCTTAACTAATCCTCCCATTACTTTGCAAGTACGAGGGATTATTCTCCTTATACAATTATCGGCTGGACAATCTTCACTCAGAGATGTCCATCCGGCCTAAGTCGTTGGCAAGCTCTTCCTCGTCGGTTCTCGGCCTGCGAGACTCAGAGAATACAGTGCCAAATCTTGCAAAGCGCACAGTATTCCTTTTGGGTCGTCTTCTAGCAATTCTCGCGTTTTGAGCGGCAACGCGCAGTCTGTAATTGAGTTCGGCTTCTCGTGCCCTGCTGGATTCACGAGAGTGATCTGTCCCCCTCTCAAACCGGTTGAGACGTTCAGGTTCAACCCAGACATAGGGTGTCGGTGGCCTATCAGCGATTGAGCGGTATCTTGTCGTCTGTAATGGGGGTGGGCGGCGTGGGTGGCGAGCTCGGTCCTGCCGAGCTGGTGCAAAATGGCGTCGAGTCATTTTTAGAGGTTGTGCATGTTGTCTGGACTTTTGTCGGCGGCGGTTGCAGCCATTTTATACAGTCGTTGGTCTGCTGGCAGGTGTCGCCATATCCCGGTAGTCTTCCGTGCCGTTCTTGGAAAAAGATGAAGCATATCCGTTCCGAATTTTCTATATTCGTAACTCAGTCTACTCTTTATTTTAAACCCTTTTTCCATCCTGCCAGCAGGGAAGATTTGCCAGCAGACTCAATTCTTTTAAGTACAATGGCATCTTCCCTCTGCCAGCAGTCCGAGGTTATTATAATCTCACTCCGTACATCGTCTGTTGACAGTTTAGACCTGCTAGTAACACCTACATCCGGTAGCTTACCTCCCGATATCCAATCTGCACCATTGCCACTTCCGTATTCTAAACCTCACGCGGCGTCCTTCTCGGGAACATGGGCGAAGAACTTCAAATAGGATTCGGCCAACTGCAGCTGCAAGACTTACGGTTCGAATTAGGCCGTGATGTCACGGAAGAAATCATGCGTCATTTGGTGCCAGTAATGGAACAGCAGTGTCATCCGGATGTGCCTGACAACCATATCCCTGTTGTGCTCTTTCCAACTGAGCTTCATGCGCTCATCGCTTCTTCTGGTATAACTCTCGAGTCTCTATCTCCTTTACGAGCCGGACCATATCCAAAACTCACCGCTACCAACAAGGTAAATTGTCTTCATGGCAAGCAACGCCATGCGGCGGCTCTACGGGTTCACGGACCTCAAATGTGGTGGACAGTCAAAATATTTTGCATACCTGCCGGCTGCAACCCTATGCGACTACTCAGAAGAGAAGTAGAAAAACATTACTTCCAGACAAGTCCCTCGGATGGTGAAGTATTTACGAATGTTCGATTCTACGAGAAGAGTGGGGAAGTAGATCTCGCAGCAGATTGGCGATTACGACTTTCCCCTTACAAGAGAAAGGCCCTGGGCCGACTTTTAGGCAAGGGCTTGTCAAATGAGTTCATGACTGAACATCAGAGGCTGGTTGATGCATTGGACCGGCTGCTGGTTTTTCCCGGCCTGTGGTACGGCCTGGAGTTGGGAAACGTTGAGAAGCTCTTGGCATTACACATTAAGGAAGAGATGACCACGTATCTCGACCATGTTTACTCTGTATGGTCTGGCTTCACACTGTCTAATCCCGAGATTCAAGGCGCTGTTGATTTCGAGACCGTAGAAAACCTTCAGTTGCGAGCGCCTTGGGTTAGCAGCGTTGATCGTCATGAGGTACAGCGCATGATGCGCACAGGAGTCCTGTTCAAACGAGTTTCTGACCCTGCGTCACGCCAGAGGATAGAAGCGAGCATTCTGCATACTACTACTGTGATACCTAGTATAAGAACTTTCCATGAGGATGCAGCCTATCTAGGGATTGGGACAACGATTATAAAATCGCATGTTTTGGGTGGTATTGGCCGAGGCGAATCTGTCTTTCACGCGCTATCGAAAATATGGCAGCCTCCGTCATGTTGCATTCTTGAGTATCACGACGGCGAGTTTCAAGAAACAACATTAGTAGCTTGCCCACGGATAGCTTACCAACAGCTTGTCATTTCTGCACTTAGGCGCTTCAACAAGCTTTCCAACCTCAAACCGCGTTGCGAACCAGGCGAGGGTCCCACGTCAACACCATCGGCTTTGGTCGATCCAAGGCATCTTGGACAGTTACTCCGCTGCGCCAAAGCTCTGGGGTTTCAGTCCGAGCGAATTCAGTCAAAACTGGCAGAGATCCGCGTAGATGAGCCCATATCTCCGCTGGAAGCAGCATTTGCCAGCGGTCGGAGAGAGGAAGTGGAACTGAAGCGCAGGTGTGGCCGTCCATTTACGGCCAGCTTCGAACATATTTACCAAAATCTTTTCCTGCCTCAATTGGTCAATCTAATGTGTCGCCTTACCGAGTTCCCGACTACCATGTTTGTTCAGAGAAGCATAATATGCGCTTTCTTCAAAGACTTCCCCGAGAGCCTCCCACACGCTGCCTCACCTACTGGCATGCCACTTCCAGATTTCGAACAGTTTCAGACTTCCACAACAAATCAGGCAAACCTTCACCAAGATGGCAGCAGTCTGAACAATATGTGGGGAGACAGCCGAGACTCATCCATAGGAGCAACATCATTTTCTCGATACTCGGAGAATGGAAATATGCCATCCAAGCGGCATGGACCCAGTCACCAAACACAGCAACCTCCAAGAACATCCCGTGGCCTGAGGCATGGCGATTATCGCTCGCTGTTCTATCCACAGCAAGCGCAGCCCCAAAGGGCCACAAATGCAAGTACAGCAGAGGTGTTGTCTTGGAACAACTTCAATGAGGTCAACCTTGGGCAAGGCCGTCTTGGAAGTCCGATCCCCTTAAACCCCAGGTTCTCGGCACGTCGCTCATTAGCCAACCTGGATCAAGGATCCAATCCAGAAGTTGAGTCACTAGCATCGACTTCTCGGGTGAATATCAACAACCAAATGCAGTCCTCGGCAATCTGGGCGCAGTATTCTAGGGGGAAAAGACATTATCCCCAAGCGCCATCATCAAATGGTGGATCCGAGACTGCATCATTTTGTCTCTCTACACGTTCAATATGGAGACCGTCGCCCTTGCCGGGGACGCCACGTTATGTCACGACTTGGAACGCTGGAGGAACTGACTCAGATGTGAGACATTAAGTTGATGTGAAAATATAGAGTACACTATTGGAATACATGAGATATAATTTTGAAGCAACCCAGTCATGACTAAATCATGTTTGTGCATCATCAAGCGAGACGAATCTGTCCTGGAGTCAGACACCACCGGTCTTGATCCTCAGTCTGTTCGAACGTCTTTTCCTGGCCGGCGGCCCGTCCGCCTCGACGTGGTTCACGTCCCGCTTCAAACAGTGATCATTAGCCACCAATGGAGGGTTGGTGTTAGAGGCAGTGAAACGGTGTTGATTGACTGGAACGACAGGGCTTGGTAATCTGAATTCGGAAGTGTCTTGCCGTGTCGGAGCTCCATTGATGAGCGACGGAGAGGGGGCAAGACTCTCGGTTTCCGGCTCGCTGTGAGGCCATCGCGAAGCATTCGACAATCCTCGCTGTCCGTGGCTCTCTACCTCAGAAGCATGGCCAAGATCTGAGGAAGAAGTCAAGGGAATGTAATCATATCTTGAAGGTCTTGGTGAACGCGGATCAGGGGAAGGCACGAGGCGGATCAAGGGCGAAACATCCTCCACAACATTGAACACCTCGTGTGCTACCAGGGTCGTGGTAACTCTAATATGGATTTGCTGATCCACGGAGAACTCTAGGGTGAACGGCAGAAAGCGGCGATCCTCGGGTGCTATCTTGGCAGCAGCTGTAGCGCGGAACTCGATGCTCCAGCAGGTGTTGTTGAGAGCGAACACCCGGTCGGGCCGATGACCTTGCGCCATGGCGTAACGGTCATCTGGATACCACTCGTTCACTTCACCTTTCTCATCAGTGGATGAGATGTAATATGGGCTTGGATAATCGTGGCATCGCAAGATGGCAGTCAAGCCAGCAACTGGCCTCGCGCAACCCTGCGCCATGGCTTTGATCCCGGCGACCATGCCCGTCGACAGGAAACGACAGGTGATTGTCATGCTGTAATGATTGTGGCAAGAAGAGTATGAAGCGGTGCCAACTTCACAATAGACAATACCCTTTCAATACGTCTGTCCTAATATATCGATGGCATATGTCTGTCTGCTGACGCACCAGACGCCGTGTGCGTCGGTGATGACTATCTCCAACTCTCTTCCCTGCCCTTCTGAATTGCTCGTGTTGCTGACTTCATGATACCGGAAAACTGCCGCGGGTTTCGCACCATTCGAGAATAGGAACTGGTGGCTTGGTTGTTGGTTGTTGGTTGTTGGTTTAAGGTTGGGTTGCAGTGGCACTGCGAGACTTGGTGTGTGCAACGTTGGTTAGAATGGTCGATGTGATCAATTCCACCGGCGGAGGATTGGAATGCCTGCAAACATTCCAATACAACATTACGCCAACATGTGAACCACGCGGGATACACAGGGTCAGGCATCTTGGTGCCAAGGCAATACCTAGGTACTTTTACATCACTTTTGGCGACACTTTTGACGCGAGCGGAATGCTCGTCTGATGAGGTATCGAGCCAGTATTCTAATGTAACCTCGATTTTGAGTTCAATAGTGTAGTAACCTCAAGGTCGAATGCCCGTCTTGACCAGCCTCCATGTTCATGCACCTTATCAAACTAGTGGTATGTGCCGCCTGCGGCTCAGCACGGCCAACAACACATTCCTCCTAAACAGGAACACACCATGGATGTGGACTCTAGACGGTAGAGTCGGAATCAAAACCGCTATAGCAGACTGTCACCTCCTCTCCCCGGTTGGTCAAGACATCCTTGTAGCGCTGGAACTCGCTGATGATGGTGTCAGCAATATCGGCGATCAACTTGTCGCGGTGTTTTAGCTCCTCGCTGTGCCGCCCAATCTGTTCCGTCGACAAGCGCCGACGCTCCTTCTCCACGTCGATCTTCGCTTCTAAACTCTTGATGTGTCCCTGGAGCTCCCGGTTGAGCAACCTGATTTGTTCGTTCTCATGCTCCAGCAGTGAGATGTACGTGTCCGAAGAGAATGCCTTGGGCGCTGTTGGTCGTTTCGACGACTTGGGCCCCGGTGTGGGCGGCCGTGGAGGGAACGGCGTCTTGCTCTTTCCTGTAGGAAAGCCCTGTTGCGAAAGAGGTGGCGTCTCAATTCTTGGCGCCCCCGTCTCTGTGGACGACGAGATCTCTTTTGAGGAGGAGGGGGTTTTGGATGCCGGGGAATTCTCCATTGTACAATCTGAGGTCTTTACGGAACACTTAAGGTGAACAATCGAGTTTCAAGTGTACCGTGCCGTTCTTTTTATCGACTCTATAGTCCCTGTCCAAGTCACTGTTTCTGAAAAGACAATAACATTACTACAGATTTCGCAAACTGGCTATAGCCCTTCCAAAACTCGAGTGCTGCTACTCATCATGGTGTCTTTTACGTGCACATGAGGCCGTAATCACCGTCTGCTGACGCTCATCTCTATGATCTTCACCATTCTGTCCACCTTATCCTCTACGCGATCAAGCTGATTGCGACGTTCAACCTCTACTTTAATTGCATCAAGCTTCTCATCAAAGTTGTTCGTGCCGTTTTGAGTCACAACCCCCTTTGTATGGTCGTAGAGCTTTTGAATGAGGATTTGGACCTCGTTGATTTTCGTCTCCAGCCTTTCCAATGACCTAATGACTAAGCCTTAGTAGGGGTGGGAGGCAATGGCACACCGGGGTACCTACGCTTGCACAACGTCGCGGGTCAGAGACGGCCCATCGAAGCCTTGATGTGGGGAGCCTCCGTACTGGGTAGGCGCGAATTCCGGAGGATACATGTCCGATTGTCCTGAGGCTTGTACAACACCAGGCATAGCTCGGTTTGCCTCCTGGTAGAAGTTCTGTGGCGCTGCCATGTTGTAGTTTCAATGTTACTGGTGATGATCCTGTGTCTGGCTCGAAATAATTTACTGGACACAGAATGTTGTTCCTGCCTTTCTCTTATACTTTTCCGGATACTCGTCACACTGTTGGTTTCCTCAATCCTTTCGCTTAGATCCTTAGAACTGTTGGTCTCCAGAGTCTGGACTTGGTGTATATAAGGCGGCTTCCATTCGTACTCTACTGTGTGCAAAACGTCATAACCATCACAATGCATCCCGCCAATCAAGTGAGCATGTTGGCACTACTGCTTCTAGCTGGTCCCGTTTCAGCGATCATGGGTGAATCTTTGCCAAGCATCTGTCTCTCCCAACCGCCTGTCGCAGTGGCGGCTGGGGCTCCCTTCACAGCAATGTACGTCTTGAACTGCCACACACGAGGACTCTTTTTTTAACGTATCTACAGGATAGACAACCCACTTGGGAAAGCGTGCGAGGCAGTTGTCAAATTTTCTGATCCTAGCTTTCTCCCTGTCTTTTGGACGTTCGAAGGAACGACGTGCCCGTTGTATGAAGTGGCGAAGTTTTCGATCCCGACAGAGTCCCCCAATGGAGACGCTTACGTTTATTGGTGAGTTAGCCGCCCTGAAGTCAAGGTCCCCCCATTATTAACCTCTATTATCGGGATCAGGCGATGTGCCGGCCAGTCCGCATCCTTCTGCAGTCACGCCATCGTATCCGGGGGGGCTAACGACTCTCTCTCCATCGTCAACGCTCGAAATGGAACAGTTGGTTGTGTCCAGCAAATCACGTCGACCATGACCTCTGTGGTTACGGTGAGTGATGGCACCTCGACTGGCATCTCGACTGCCACTACGTTGACGCCCATCCTTACTACAAGCTTTGTCGCGGGTAGTACTCCCACATCCGCGACACTAGCATCAAGTGTCGACACCCCTGTAGACGCCAAGAGCCTGGTTCCTGAAGGCGCCCAAACTGCTCCGAGTAGCATGAACTCTGTGGGATCTGCGCCCAATACCACACTGCTAGAGCCAACGTCGTCGGCTGTTGGTCTTGCTTCAGTGGCCGGGGTCGAGACCGTGGTTGTCTACGCCACAGTCACCCAACCATGCTCTGCACCACGTCGCGGATGAGTCGGTCGGAATTTCGGGTCAGTGTTGCGGTAATAGGAGACCCTAGCTGGGATAGGGCCTGCAAGACGGCATCGTATTTAGGTCTAGGTTGATAGTGCCCCAAATTGTATACAATAGACCGCCAATATGCGAAAGGTCTGCTTCAGTCCTCAGTGAATCTCATCATCTGCATTGCACCTTGAACTTTCACCATGGAACACTCACAGCACACCTCACAGCCTACGCAACTCGCCGAGCTGCCTGCCCAGGCCATCGACCAGTCCATAATGACTGCACAGCTCAGGCTCAACCACGAGGTCTCACAACACGACCTTACCAAACAGGCACTTGCCACTTCACAATCGAGTTGCCAATGGTGGATAGCTTCGTGTAGAAACCTCGAGGCCCAGCTTAATGCCACCCGGGACCTCCTCACACAATCAAACGCCAAGAATGACGAGTTGTCTGGCGAAATTACCATGCTTGAGAACGCTTTGGTATGTCCTTTCATTCGACGGATTACTGCTTGGGTCGTAACTAAGGCTGACAGGACTCGCTGAAGTCTCAATCTCAAGCTAGCCTACCGGCGTACGTCCGGAACATTCCTTCAAGTCCACCAACCTGCAATCCGCGATTCATAGCACCGAACCCTTCGAATACTGTCATGCAAATTGGAAGAATTCTAGCCGAGAACGCCGAGTCCAGGAGAGCTCACTCGGAGCAGAACCAGCAGCCAGTAGACGATGAGCCCTCCAGCCCCACTCGTTCACTCTGAAGCTTCCTGTTCGCCCTGCTTGTCTTCATTTGTCGCCTCGCCGTCTCTACCTCTCCCTTTCTTTGTTTTCTGGAGCTTTTGAGGGACTTCGAAGTCCATTGGAGTGAGCATTATTGGAAGGGGATAGTAGTTTTCCTGTACAGATTAATTTAGTTTCGCTACAGTCAATCAAGTTTCTTCGAATCCATACAATTACTCCCGGCGCCGGCGGCCAGTTAGAATCCGTCAGGGAAGAGTACGTGAAATATCGATCTCCCATGTGAATGACTACATAGACCTGAGCACCGAAGTCGCATCTTAGTTGTTCTGCTTTCTTAAGGAAACCTAGGCGGCGCTTGCGAAACTTTTCCACATGTTTTCTTCGAGAAGCGGCTTGAGTAGACATGATAAACAGTACCCTAGGGTAGCAAGCAGCCTTGACGAATGGAAAAGGCACCTGGATTTATGCGTGTCCTTTCCAACCAAGTTCGTCTTAGAGGAGGACAAATTCCACTCATGAGAGGTCCTGTAGCACAAGAAGAGGGCCACGAGAACCATCTTTAGGCCGTTACGGATTTTCTCAAAATATTTCCGTAAACACAGAGGAAGATTGATCTCCGAGGGAATAAAGTCGCACTACCCCGGGACCGAGAGGGCTTCTCCTCCGCATCGTCAAGCTCATCACGGGCATCAAGAGCGGCGTTGGAGAAAGCCCGGTTGGCGCTACGGGGACGTTCCCCTGGTGGGGGCTTAAAACATGCTGGATATAGAGGGGGAGTGGCTTTAAAACAGAACTCACCCTAGTCTATCTAGGCGAGGCCCGTCCCGACACACCGGTACGGCATATCCTTGTCTGACTTTCCAGTTTCCAGATTCGAGTTAGTCAATTACCACTCTAGGAATCCCTGTTCGCCTTGCGCTGCTAGCTACATCCCAGAGCTTATAAAACTCTGTCAGTACGCAGGGAGGTCCCTGTACGAATTACCTGAAGAAGGAAGGCCCAGACCTGGCGAAATGAAATCGGCCGACCAGGTGAAAATAAGTGTACTTGCATACATTTGGCAGCCTTTCTCACTTTTACCACGACAGTGCAGGGGATGTAGCGGAGGCGCAGCGCGTCTGCATCGAGTATAAGAGGGACAGTCTTGGGTTCTAAAATATGGGCAACATGTAACCAGACTGCGATATGGGGAGATTCACGATAGCTATGATTTGCATTATCCTCGTCCCGTTCTTCCTCCGTCTTGCGCAGGATATACTCTTCCACCATTCTCATCCCTTACTGCTCCTGTGGGAGGCAGCACGAAACCTAGTCGATAATGAGACAGTAAGTCTGCCAAGCCATTCCTCCTAGTCTAGTCCTAATTGAGAACACACATGCAGTAGCGTCATGAATACACTTTTGGGCGGGAGATTCAGGCGAGGCAACACACCCTCCGAAAAAGTCGGGCCATGAGACCGGGCCGACTATGTCTTCAGCCGACATTAGTAATATACATTATTCAGAATTGTGATGCTTTCTGCTACCTTGATTCGATTGCCTCCCTGCATTCATCGCAAGGCTCTATTCGGGTCTCTGTTGTGTCGATGTAAGGATGCTCTCCCACTCTTTCCGGAGAGCACCTCCGGCCAGTTGCTAGTGCCCATGGGCATGGTTGGATTCTCGCGTTCGGCCTGTGTTGTTCACAGCCGCAGGCATACCGGATAATGTCAATGTAGCACATCAGGAGAAGCACCAGGCAGATTGTTGAGTTTAATGTGCCCGCCGGGGGGGGGGGGGGCATATGCTTAATTTATAATACTGCGGCGGCCATGGAGTCAGTGACATGACTGTAATGTAGGACTATTCGTCGCTTCCCCCTTCCTCCTTTCTTTTCCTCGTCTTTCCACCTGCCTTTATCTGCCCACTTCTCTATTCAACATACAAGCCCTAGACATTACCGTCACCCATCCCTACTCCTCAGGCACCCACTTTCTGGCAATGCTCTATTTATAATTCCATGTCGAAAAGGCGCCGTGTTTGATTAACATGCATTTGCATCGGCATTGCTTTGATGTGATCCATGAGATCCATGTTTGATACAGGAGTCGACGGCCTCTCAGAGCCACTCTCGATGTAACGTAGTTGGTCTGCGACGGTGATGAAGTCATTGGGAGACATCTTGTTTGTAGGTCTGACAGGACCTGGAGCCGTCTCAGGGAAGTTGCTGTGAGACTGGTATGCATGAAGCACGCCGTCCTTCTCGATGAAGAGGGCAACTCTGGCTTCAAACTTGTCGCGTATCTCATCAGCTTTCTTCATGATACCTCGCTTCCGCTGGTTCCAGGATTTCTGAACCTGATACGTGTTTTTGGTACTGCCCATTGAGAAAGACATGGTTTGATGGTGATAATAGTGTTAAACTATGGTAGGAAAGGGAAAATAAAATCCTGAAGTTCACCTACGCCAGGAAATTCGTTTCTAATGAGGGTTGTCACCGGAGTATCAAAATCACTTGAAAGGACTGGGTCTGGGACCGATCGATTGGACCCCTGGATGATCCCGATTAATCTATATTTTCGCGGGGATCGACAATCTGCGTGAGCATCTCTTCTGCTCGTGGAGACTAGAATCATCTAGACAGTCGGTGGGGTTCCAGATTCAAATAGCGCGAATCTTAACAGCTTTTACCAATGTAGAAATCCAGCCTGTACATTTCTCAGATTCTAGTCTCAGGTTCCAGGGACGTAGCTTAGTATAAAGTAACCTTGTAGCCTTGGTACCTGTACATGGGTTTTGTATGTATCTGGTATATCCGTTGTACTTTCAAGGAAAGTTTTCGTTCCATAAGTGGCGAGTTGACCTTTCTCCCTGTATCGAGACGAGTCTGACTACTCCAGAGTAACGAAATCCCTCCAACAATTTCCCGGTACTACAGAACGATACCTGCATTATAGGAAAACTAATCAATCATTCCAGGTCTTGTACCCCTTGTGCTTCTCACCCGTGGCAACTGAGCTCGTACTGATACAGTCCACCCTACTAAACGTAATGATGTTGTTGGAATCCATGTTTTCCTGGACCATATCTTGTATAGCGGTTGTGAAATCCATGGCGCCACATGCTGGTTCAGAACATGTCAGTATCACATGACGATCCGACTCCGAGATGTAATACCCTTACATATGACCATGGTGCGACTTGGTGTACGTAGTGAGTCGTGCTCTATGAGCCTGGAGGCATGCTCCTCAAACATGGCCACATTGTATGCCTGCCAATTTGGCTTGTCTTCATCCAGTTTAAGTTCATCTCGACGCGCCTTGTTGATCTCTTCGGTGTTTGTGGTATTAGGATAAAACTCCAGAATATGCACGTGTCGCTGTATTGCTAGTATTAGAGCGCGGATACCATTGACCGAAGAACACTTACAGCTGCAATCTGCCCCTTTTCCCATTGGAAAATCTCTCGAAGATGAGTAGAGACCTGTCCTGTATGGTCGCCGTCGTGTACGATCCACAACAAGTTCACCTTCCGTGCGACATCCCCAAATGGTCGCTCCTTCTGCACCCGGTCGTGTCGCTTCCGCGATGTTATAGCTAACATCATTGGGAGCAGGGTCAGTATGCCAACACCTTCAGCCACTAGCATGACTGTTTCATACTTGAAAAGCCCCATGTCTTCGAAAAAAGGCCCCGCGATCGTTGGGGTAAGGTTGCGAAACCTAGGTGTATCTGTGAATAGAAAACATTTGATGCCTCCATTCTCGGCACCGGTCCACCACGTGACAGGAACGCATTCACCATGTAGACCATGATGTAAATAGAAGTAAGCCGGGCACATGGTGTAAAAGGACTGTTTGCTGAGCGTGACCGAAAGTTTTCCATCCTCCTCAGCTGCCCTGGCAGGCGTGTAATGTGAACAAAGAACACGGCCGCCAAACATAATGACGGCATTCAGGCCAATGCAGGCAATAAAGGCCCACGGTACTGATATCCAGGGCTGGTTCGCCACCATCAAATGCCATGCTATACTAACAACAGTACATACAGATAGGGACTTGTGTAGCAAGAGAAGGCCATGTCCAAACCTTCCAAGCCTCCATGGTGCAAACAAGCAGCTCAGAACCAAGGATGCTAACACAAAAGTGCCAGACATGATAAGTATTGAGCCTGTGGGCTTTCTCGCCGTGCTAGTGACCGCGTGTACGATAGTTGAGGCCAGAGCCATCAAAGAGACGCACAAATGCGCTCGAAACATTGGAGCCCGACGTATGCGTAAGAAATTGAGAATTGGACTAGTCCTTCCACCAATGAATAGTGGCAGGAGGTTGAATAGGGCAAGTTGCGTGGATGTGTCTGTAGTAGGTGACCCTGCCCAGCGCGGGACGAGTAGCACGGAATTCATGACGAAAAAAATGACCGAGATGCAGACTTGATTTGGACTGATCATCCAAGAGGTCCAGGTGTGAGCCAAGTAACTGTTGTGGAACAAGTGAATGTGTCGTAAGCCGCGCTGGAAGAGTAAGTTCCAAGTCAGAATGATCACAATGACCACTGATGAACAAATGGTGTAAGTCCAGATTGGCTCTAACTCTAGCATGGTGACGGTCAGTAACTTGCAATTCTACCTATGTATGAAGGATACGGTTCTGGGTACGTGCTTTTGTATTGACAGCTATGAGTGGCTTTCAAGAAAAGGTTGCGGAACGTTGAAAGCACATAAATCAAAGTCTGAGGTCGTCATTCTGAGGATCAACCGATAGATTCGCAAAATAGTGAACACAGATGCGCGAAAGGAACTCTGGTCAATAGTTTCCATCCTTGCCATACGTGTTGTTATAAATATCCTAGTTTAAGCCATCTCATCGATTAAACCTCTCCAAACTTTGCTCACACAACATTGTCACAATGGAAAGATCAAAGAAGCGAAGGTCTGCCAATGATTCAATCCTTAGTCAGGGCGAATCAGTAATCATCCCAGCAAGAACGAGAGCACAGTCTCAGAGCCAGAGTCAACCTCCGTCACCTTTGCCACCCAAGTCACCAGGAACACTTAATTTTACAGTTCCACAGCTCAAAGAGATTCTCAAAAATAACGGCGTACCCTTCGAATCTAAAGCCACAAAAGCGCAGCTACTTCATCTCTATACTGGATGGCTATACTCGCAGGCCGAAGACCCAGACTCTTCAACTCCAGCATACGATAATACGAATTCAACAAATCAGGCATCTGGGGGGTACAACGGCATCATATCACCACCTGCAAACACTGTTGACAGTAATCAACCGGCATCGACACACGTTGAAGATGGTATGCCCCAGCAACCCTATGAGGAGGCTCGCGGTAGAAGCGCACAACGAGCTGAATACCAAGAGCTCCATAAAAATACCCCAGGCGGTGAGGGCAGAGCCGCGCAACAAGTTGTGGACCAACAAGACTATCAGGATATACTAGACAGTGGGGGGACAGATACATCAGACACAGTCTTAGCACAAGAGCGCCAGCGTATGGGGGTTGGAAACGATGACATTCCTGTCGGAGAGCAGGTATACGATGAGCAGGTCATGAGAGACCGTAGCTTGAGTCCACCTCGTCTCCCATATGGACATAGTGTACCATTTGGGGGGTTTTACAATACCCAGACTATAAGAGACCCTAATCCACCGGGTCATCAACACCAGTCACTCGGACAACACCCACCATCAAATCAAGCTAGCTTACCAAATCAAGTACCAACTCATACCAACCACCAGGGGAGCCAGCCATTTCAGGGGAGCCAGACATTTCAAACCATTCAGGCACCTCAGACATACCAGGACCCTCGGGCAAACCAGCCTCAGGCATACCAGCCTTTTCAAGCAAGCCAGGCACCTCAGACATACCAGAACCCTCGGGCAAACCAGCCTCCTCAGACGGTTAACCAGGCACCTCAGACATACCAGAACCCTCGGGCAAACCAGCCTCCTCAGACGGTTAACCAGGCACCTCAGACATACCAGGACCCTCGGGCAAGCCAGCCTCCTCAGACGGTTAACCAGGTACCTCAGACATACCAGGACCCTCGGGCAAGCCAGCCTCCTCAGACGGTTAACCAAGATCCCACTAATGATTACGACGAGACCGTACAAGTACCAGAAAGAGCAGGTCACCAATTTCGCGATGGGCGTCTGAGACTGGAGATGCTGGATCCTCAGCTTGGTATTCCAGTAACAGCTCGTGTTGAAGGGAAAATAGCCAAAATAGGTTTCATGGTCTCTTATGACCCTATTCCGAGAGAGACTGGCCGCCCTCGAAGATGCTTTGTCTATCGGGAACTTCCTATCGATCCCGAGCTCATACTAAACTTGAAGCGGGGCACCAAAGAGCAGTTTGAAGCTTTTCAGGGAAAGCTGCATCCACAGGATGCCGGGTACACACTTACGAACTTGGAGGAGCCCCAGCAGAATAATTTCAGATGGCATAGTTTCAACGATGACTTCGGTGTCGAACATCCGGACCCTTCCTTACCAACATGGTTTGCCTTCCAGATTTGTAAGGTCCGCCTTAAAAAGAACACATTAGCCATGTTTCTCAGGACATGGGCATGGGCAGGCCAGCCTCCCCCCCGAGCGCCAAGGCAGAGGGACGAGCGTGCAAAGCTCCAGTATATTGGAAACGAACTGAAGGATGAGGCCTCATTGTCGATGTGGCAACGTGCACGCAGCGAAACACCAGTCTTTAGCAGGGAAACTACGGCTGTTGCATCACCTGAACCTGAATCTGCCCCAGTAAAGTCCGCACTGAAGACTGGACCTGAACCTGCTCTAGTCAAGTCGGTACTGAAGACTCCTCGTGTTAAATTTGAGGAACCCGACACACGACCCAATGGCCGTTTCCCGGTGCGCATTCAAGCCCAGGAGGGATGATATCTACAACAGGACATGGGAGATGGCTTCCTGCTGGCAGAAGGCTGTCGAGGGTGGAATCAGAGTTGCTGCCTGCATTGTTTGATCTGCCTTGCCTTTATAGCTGCGGAATTTTGCTTTGAGTGTCGCTATATCCAGACTGATCCATAGCCTCCTTGTAATCCAATAGAGCACCATAAAGATCATATGTAGGTCTCAAATCGTGTGAACGTTGTCTGCGCCGCCACCGCCCCGTTTCGATCCCCCGGCTCCAGCCTAGCCAGCACAACTACATCGGCTCGTAGCGGAGGGGCCCCTGGGGCCAACATGAATGCGCTCGGAACACAAATGGCTTCACGCCGAGGAGGCAGAGGGATAGACAGTGTGTGCTGGCGCTAACGTAGAAACTGGGTACGATAATGTTGGCAATTCTATTCCAAAGCTTCTCTCAGCTGCGACTTAAGCCTCTCCATCGCAGTATCTAGAGTTGTGCGAACCGCGTCATCTAATTCATCCTCCTCCACATATGCGCTCAACCAAAGATCAACTTCGTGCCTGGTAGGGTAATCGCCGGCGATCTCATCGCGCAGCTCGTCGATCTGCTTGTTTATATGTGATTGAATGCGGTCCGAGATGTTTGAGGACGCGGATGCAGTAGAAGGTGTAGGAGATAGAGTTGAAGCCTCGGAGGCCCCAGGTCCTTTTACACGTTCCCGTCCTTGCTCCACCGACTGCATACCGGCAGCCTCACGCAAGGCCGCCTCCCTCTCTTGCACCTCTGTTAGTAGCAACGTCAGGCTGGCAACCTTTTCGTCTACGACCGCCTCTTTCGCCTCCATATCGGCCATCAAGTCTCTCATGCTCTTCTCTTTCTCAGCCATGAGCCGAAGTAGTCCACACAACATCTTGTTATGCTCTCCATGGGGCAGGTCAAGATGCTCCCACGTATGGTAGTCAGGCGAAGAAGCGGGTGGTGACACCGACGGTGTATCTGTTCGTCTGCGTTTCTTTGGAACGGGCGGTGGAGATGGTGGCGGTGGCAGGGGATTCGGCCCAATATTTGAGTAGGGTGGCAGCTTGTCGCCACCTGGTATTGATGAGAGCCTTGATGGGGGTAGCCGTGTACCAGACGAGGCAGTTGTCGACACGGCCGGGGGAGGCCATAACTCTTCATCACCCTCGATTATCCGACCGCCTGTACCCCAGTACAGTGACTGTAGATTTGCTTGAGTGGGATCTGGGCGTAGGTCGCCTTGGCCAGCAGCCTTGCACAATGCCGTGAACTGTGATGTTTCATAGCCGCTGTCAGGTAGCAAGACGCGCACAGTGCTCTGTTGCGCTATTCTGCGCAGAGTTTCGAGCGTGGTGTAGTCTGCCTCTGTGACAGGTTGTAGTAGAGGTTCCTGGGGAACAATGCGGGTGATACGGGTAGCACGGAAACAAAGGTAAGTAGGTGGGCCTGGCACAAGAGAAAGGCTTTGAATTTTATCAGGCGATATATCGAGAAATAATGGCTTGGGCGAAGCACTGATGACCGCGCGTAGGCGGAATAGAGCTAAGTTCTGGTCCGGATTGAAAAAGACTCGTAAGTTGACAGGCAGAGCTAGCGAGGATGGCGGCTCGGTTTCAATGTAGCAGCCATCGATGCCGGCCCGGCTGAAGCATGGTAGAAGATCGTTGGAGGACGTCGGCGGCATAGCTGCGGGAGGACATGCGTACTATCTGGGATCTTATGGACATAGGACTGGTTAGCACACAAGGAATTGAATACAAGTAAGTAGGAAAGGAGGAGAAACGAGTCCCCTGCATGCCCAGCGGGCACGCAGGATCAGCCCACCCGCCCAGGCTTAGATATAGAATGAGAAGAGAATGGGAGGGGGGGACTGGGAGCAGCCTTGACTCCTGTACCCGCGATTTTCCCGAACGTAGAGTTGGAAGAGAAGTAAGTAGATGCCTCATCAGCCCAGCCTCTGTCGCGCACAAGAAGTTCCACCTCTTGCTCCCCAAAGCCCAGTAGGATCCGAGAGTCACACCCCCGGGATCTGTTCTGTGGCATGGCAATGGGGCACAACAGAGAAGTGTATGCCACGGGGAGTGCACTGCAGTATACACAACTGGTATGATGGTTGACGTGTAGAAGGGGGGAGAGGGAGCTTCGATGAGCAGGTTTGGAAGTTAAGGTGTGAGAACGGGTAGTCGTGCAAAGTGCCAGAAAGAGGAGAAGCACTCGAGCGGAAACCAGTGATGCGGATTGGCATGTTGGGGTCCGCTCGCCTGCAGAGTCAGCCCACAGGCAGCCACGTTGGCCTGGTCCGAGGCCAGATGGTTGGCCAGGGATGTCGGTCATGCAAGGCAATCGTCCGTGCTCATCGCATATTTTACTAGCGCCCTCTTGGCACCTGGGGTGGATGGGTGAATTTTTCTGCGCATCCTTCGTGTCGCGCGGGGTCAGTAAAGTTTAATAGCGCGACCTAAAGTGTGGCCGCTCAGCCGTTGGGGGGAGCTTTAACGGGCGCTGGGATCCGGAATCTTGGATCCGGACAATCAATGCGCGCACAAGGGGCTGACATGGCACAGAACCAGGTCGAGGGTGCACGGAGGCGGACTCATGCAGCCTCGTTCGAAAGCGTACTAGTAGTGCCCAAGTAGAGCAAACGCTGTGATAGGCTGACGGCATGTCAGGCGAGGCTGGTCGTGGGTGGCAGTTTGACCAGATCTCGAGGCTGGTTAACGTGAACTGGGCCAACCCACTGTGGCTATCACGAAACTTCTTTCCGCAACTGTCGGGTACGACGCCCCGGAGTATTCTCATGGACAGCTGTGCATCGATTGACCGGCCCGAAGATGAAAAGGGTGCTTTTACGCAGGTTGTCCCAATTGCGTTCGGCTCGAATAAGATGTTTTGCTCCATCTCGCCTCCGCTATGAAACCAAACATAGAGGTCCAAAGCCCACAGCCCGCCTCGCGCATGCCAGTCACCATGACGATGCAGCAGGTGCGCACTCTGCAAACCCGAACGTTGGAAGCCCTCGTGAGCCAATTCAGACACAAGCTTTGGGACATATACGGGCAGTCGACAATGGATGTGGACGGATGGCAGCGAGCTACCGTCCTTGAGTGGCAGGCTTTGGTGAATTTCCACTTAGACCTCGCGGGATCCTGTTTGCTTCTCCTTCTCATGACCCAACCTTTTCAGTCGTCCATAGGACTGTCCAGGGAGATATGGCAGAGTATCGACGCATTCTTCTATCTACATAGCCGCTCACAGTCAGCTCCCGCCGGGCCTGCAGTTGCCATGGTCGATATGGCAGCTTGCGTCATGGCGCTGCTGTACTTCTATGAGCCAACTGATAGAGAAAATTGTTTCCAGAATTTAAGGGACCTGGGTCGATATCGGTGCGTATTCTCATGCGGCATATATTTCCCTCCGTGGCTGACTTTATTCAATGTTCTGCTGAGAAGACGGGCGCTGAGCACTCAAACTGGAGATATTGCAGAGCAGCTGACCTGGGCCCTCGTCGCTCGCTCGGACGGAGCCTTTAAATTGGATACACAAAGCGCCGTCAAGTCCTTGCTTCAACTGGAATCCATCCGGAATTGTGGCAAACGCATCGACCGGATTGTTGTCGGGTTTGTCTTTGGTCTTTATGTAAATTCGCTTCCGAACAGAGGCTCAATGGAAGGTCTGTTCTTTTCGCCAGCAAATTGTGTTTACAAGTCGGTCTTGGACACGGAGGGGAAGAGCAAAGATGAGGCAGCCTGTACCAATGTGACAACGGTCGGACTGGACAGGAAAGCATCGGGATAGTGCACCCCATATCGATGGGTCGACGATCGCAGCCATCTTGGAAGCAACGGAGATTTGCACTTTTCAGTAGTGCAAGGCAAAATGGCACTTGTCCGGCAACCGAGAGTGATCCATGTGGAGCGCGCCTGGAGTGGTGAGGGTGTGAAGGGTTTCCGAGGTGTCAGGGACCAAACTCAGCTTAGTTCTATGTTGCATCATGCCAAATCATCTAGGAATCCGAGACAGCGAGTCCTTCCAGTGATCCTCGTCCATGCACGATGTTACATTAGGCTGGGTAACGTCCGACCAACGGGCACATGTGCAGCCTCAGAGCCTTCTCCAAAGGATCTGGGGGCCTCGTCGTACATAAGGCTTGCGCAGCTCCATTTTGTCTTCAGCCATCTGCCTAGGTTCACTCTATTTTATCCACTACGTGTGAGCGATAAACATGACGACTGAGCAATCCACAAACTCTGAGCCCCTGGGGTTGGATGATGCCTACTTTCCCCTAACGGCGCCACCGGGCGAGAGCTCAATGAGAGTGGCACAGCCCTCCCCAGCGAGCTGTGAGATAGCAACACCATCTGATTCCGATGTCAAAGACGGAGAGACATCGTTTGAGGGCTCTTGCACAACACAGCCGTCCCCTTCCGTCGCAGGAACTGAGGGGTTTTCCGTTGAAGACCGTGAGACCTTGGGCCTGTCCATGCAGTTCGCGTATATTGCACCCACTGACACAAGAGACAACAGTTCAAGCCCGTCTACAGGATGTTTTCCTGCGTGAAAACGAAAACGAATTTCATCCCTCCGAGTCAGCAGATGTTCCAAAGGCCAAACCGCCCCAGTTCCCGCCAGCCCTGTTCCCCCATCCCACCATTTTCGAGAAATTGCCCCCTGAAGAAACCGTGACTGTCGGTTGTGTGCTTCAAACAACTGCAATTCAAGTGGAGTTTGACCAGGAGTTGTTCATCCCCTTTTCTCAAGACCCTCTCTGGATAACTGTCGGGCTACGTGGCTTGGGCGATCACGCAGTAGTCGACCACGCGTTAAAAGGCCCGACATCTTTCCAGAGCAGACCACCCGTCGCAGGACGTAATCACAATGGATTACGGGTCCTCAAGTTTGTGTTCTTCGCTCATTCTATGCGACTGAACAAGAAAGGCTGCTACCGCTTATTGTACAGCGTTCACTTTCCCGCTGCTCGGGGCTTCATGGCGCCCATCATTTGGCTCAGCTCCGGTTTCATCGCCCGCGATCACCCACGTTTCAGTAAGCGTCTACAATGCTGATGTGCTCAGAGTTCTTGCTAATCTTTTTTTCTGAAACACAGCCTTTGAACAGATGGCGTTCATTGAGGAGCAAGAGCGGCAAGGCAATGTACGACTTCGCGAGGATGGAGGTCTCGACATCCTCATGCCTCCTCCTCCTTCCGGCTACCTAAATGGTTTTGGCAGGAACTAAAGTCCATAGTTTTTTTCAACCCAAGTTATTTTAGGATGGTAAATTGTATTCGAATGTCAGTATTGCTATGGTCAATGGGAAAACAATATTGCGAGGATTTCTGAGCTTAAACCATCGGTGATTGCCACGTGCCGTAGATCAAAGTCAATCTCTAAGGTTTGTGCGCCTGTGATCAAATGCGTTCAGCGATGTGCCCCATAGGGGAGTCGGGCATGATGACGACCCTGCCTCGACGGAGTAGTCCAGCGCTTCCGACCCAGTGTTTGTCAAAATGTCCCGTACACTACTCTAAGTCTTTCATGGTAGCCGCCCTTTTGCTCTTCGCAGGCTGAGCGCGAAGCGTCAATGAAACCATTAGTCTCGAAATGTTGATGCTTTTGGCCTTCCGTGGATGCTTGCTCGTCGAGTAGGAGTAGGCAGACCCAACACATTTTTCCACTTCACACAACGACAAGAGTGCGACTCAGTAGTAGGTCAGCGTAGCATAGATAGAAGACGGGGCCGGCAGGTCGGCCACTGGCCCACAAGGCGACGCCAGGCTGGCCCAGCGTGGAGTGTGACGAGATGATCGTCCTCTGACGGATCCAATCACAATTCGATTGATGAAGAGCACGTCCACTCCGCTCACAGAGGGATCACTCTATTGAAGGAAGCGCTCCTTATTCGAGAATGGCCTCGAATCTTAAATATGCAGGCCTCCTGAAATGTCCCGCGACTAAGTCTGTGTGTGATTTCCGGTCAATGGTGTGAGGCAGCCCAGCTGAGTGGGTATATATGTGTCCGGTGTCGAGCCGCTAGATCGAGAATCAACTGGCTTTTAACATCAATAGACTGGCCCAATATGTCATTTCCAACTTACGATGTAAACCGATACTTGACTCCGCACTCGACCGACGAACAGATCGAGACGCGACAGCAGGCCTCGCCCGTCTTGGGGACTGGGCAAATAGATGGTCCCGGGTCACCTGTGCCACAGACAAGCACCAGCCAATTTAGAGTCTACTTGGATAAAAGCATCCCAGGTGAGCAGATGCTGAACCTTCAGGGCCCTGTACTATGCTGATCTTTTCTAGAACCTTGCTGGGCCTTGTGTAATATGAGAAGTCCGTTACACTTCCTTTTGGTTGCATCCATAATGGTGGAAGAACCTATGCCTGAGAGTCCTGTCCGTTGTCATCAAGACTGCTCTCTGTCCAGCTACGAGCTTGAGTGGCCTCTACCACCTTGGTGTACCGTCAGCCAAGCCACGAGCTACGAGGACGGGGAGGGTACACTGAACCTCAGCACGGTCATGCTTCACGCTTGGTTGACTTTGGATGAGCTTGCTTGGTTTGTAATGCATGGGGCAAGGGTGGAAGTGGCTGAATAAGGTGACAAAAAGTATTTCCGGCATTGTATTGGTGTACCTAAGTACCTAGGTATGGAGGACGACTCGCGAGAGAAGCGGTAGAGCAGTGAAGGCAGCACCGCCTTCCGCGTATTATGACCAGGATATTTGTACTTTCAACTTCATGAGTGACGGGTAGCAATTCATCGACATCTGCAGCATCTTTGATGTTCCTTGTAGTTGCCAGCACTTGAGGTGACAGGGACGCTCACTGCGTTGCCCCGCTTGGCAGATCACGTGCAGCGCTGAGCAGAACTCCAAATTGACGGCCGTAGATTAAGAAGGCTGAGACGGTGTTTCACACTCAACTCTCCTCTCCTGTGTTGTCTCCACATCAAGATGGCAAGACGTGTTTTTGTCAGTGTCTCGAAAAACAGTCCTTTGTTCAACGCTGCCTGGGAAGATCCTGAAATGGTTGTCTTGGAAGCGTTCCGTCTAGTCCAGCATCATGGCCTCGTCCCATCTGGTTCGGCTCCGGCGACTCGCCTCCTCGCTGTAGAGAGGTGGAACAGGATCCATCTCGTCTTTGACATCGGTCATGACGCCTACGATGCCGGAACTGCCCACCTTCCCGAGGAGAACAAGTTGACGGTTCTCGCGGTCCACTTCAGCGGAAAGGGCACACAGGGTACCGAGACTGCCAAACCGGCGCCCGGAAAATTGGCGGACGAGGTCAACAAAGAGATCCAGGAGATCCACGACTTGACTGGTATTGGAAGCCAGCCTCCTTTCATCATCGACCATGCCAATGGCAAGGTCCCAGTCTACTCAAACCCTCGGACAATGAGAAGGAATTAATGTGGTTCATGGAATGAATGCATTCTGCTACCAGCTGGAGTGCAATCCGCTGTCCGTCCTCACTCTCTCAATCTGACCCTGGCGAGGGATACGCACAAGCCTGGCACGTGCCCGTCCTTTCAACTGTGGTGCGTCCCGCATCATCATAAGCTGGGTGGTCGCCATTCCCACAGTCCACCGTCCTCCTTCTTGAGATTTCGACATTACAATTGTTGCATTTGTTGATCAACCAGTTGCACATTTTGATTGATAAGTCAGTCTATTTCGTGCAACACGTATCAGCCTTGTTCTGGCAACCGGAAACTAGTGGCCCCACCTGAAATCCTGAGTTCGTGGTGTGATACGAGCTGTTGCATGCAAAGGAGCTTTGGGTGTGAAGTTGGCTTGACAGAAAATGCGAGGAACTTGAGGGTTGGCTGTCATCAACTTATAATAAATCAAATGCTCTGCGATTTTGCTTCATACTTCCGAATCGTGTTGCTTCCCTCGCCCAGGCATATCCAATGTAACGGTCCACAGGTGTGGTACACAACAGCCACACGTCGGGGGATAATTTACTAGCGCAGAAGCATAAATTACTAGCTCGCTGTCACTTAGTCATCGCCGCCCACAAGGCCCGCAAGACCAGAGTGCGGGCAAGCTTCCGTGACTGGCCCGGTCCGCGCTGACGAGGCCGCAAGATTTCTGCCTGAACAAACGCATGCAGGCCTTCTGTCCACCATGCACCAGGGCCTCTTCGGTGTCGCAAGCGACTGCTAGTAAAGGAACGTGACCTCCACCGAATCTCATCCATCTCCCCACCCTGTCGTCCCGGACATTTGCCCGAGCCAGAGAAGCGCGATTACGCACTCCCAACCACCGACGCGGAGAACAGCCGGGAAGCGACTATGGGTGAGCCGGTACGTTGTACTACTCTCGAGCTGCGAGCTTCGAGCTTCGACTGATCTAACCGCGCTGGGCTGGCAGGACTTCACAGCGCTGCTACCATCCGAAATCGAGCAAGTCTTGAAGGAAGGTTCGATCCGGAAGTGGATAGAAGGGCAGAACCAGGTGGTGCGCTGGGCCGGTTCAACCGTGCAGCTACTGCAACAAAACGAAGATCAACAGTGGAGAGAAGCGAAGATATTGGGGCGCGACATGAAAGGGACGCTTCCACGGGGCTGGGTCCTCGAATTTTCAGGCGGCAAGGTTGTAGAGAGCCGAGGATAACAGATCCTGCAGACTGCCACGGAGGGGGAAAAAAAGAGGGAGTACTGAAGGATACACAGCGGGCTAAGGGAGCTGGAATCTTGATTTCGATGACTTGAACAACTTCTCGTACATCTTGGAGGCTTCCCTCCTTCCCAGTGTGACGATGAGGACGGCACCATCACGCGCGTCAGAGAAGTCAGTCATCATGACGCAGCGAGTGGCCTCATCTACACCGCGATCTGATAGCTCAATCTTGCGCCATGGAGCGGACTCAACTGCGGCTGCCACTGTCACGCCGAGAACATCGGTGACAACCTGGGGACGACACCCGTGGAGCCGTTTTGCCAAGACGCACAAGCCCCCGGGCAAGATCAATTCTCGCGATGTTCCGTTCGTAGCGAGGTACACATTATCGAACAGGAGGGATGCGATGCGCTCAACCCTCTCTGGGACGATCGTAATGGACATGAAGCAATTGACGTCGGCGATGCTATCCCTGGGGAACTCGAATGTCACGGCAGCGGTTCTGGGGACACGGTCGTGTCTCTTGATCGCTTCGCGCAGGACCTCGGGGAAGATCTTGAGTTCGTCTATGTCCGCTCCTGTGAGTATTTCCGGCTCTGCGGATGGGCTCAACTTGCTAGGCCCCTGCGCGGTGTCTGTGAATAGTTGCGAGGCCCTCAAGGGAGAGTCAGCAGTGGACGAGACCGTCAGCAAGGGCTCGCGTGGTTCTATAAAATACTGGTCAGCGCAAGGGCTGTTACGAGGAGGGAGCCGCCGGACCTACGAGGGGTCCAAGTTGGCACGGGTCCGTTCACAGTCGGATCGGCCCGTCGAGCAGCATCAGGAGATACCAGCGCATTGTCGTTGAGCGACTGAGAATAGCTAGGTGATGGGTATGCGGGGGATGACGGTGGAAACAAGTCATCGTGTTCTAGACGACGACGTTTGGAATGTCTCGAATTGGCAACAGCCGAGCCATCTGGTCGAGCTTCCTGCTCCATCGAACGGCTGAGGCTGGCGACCGTCGGGTGGGGTGGCACCTCGTTGACCTTCAAGGCAAGCCTCCTTTTTTCACTCGCGGGCAGGCGGTCCAATGCCTCGAAGTGTCGCCGGCGAGCGGCTTGTCCCTGAGCATTCGCTGTTGTCGGCTTGGCAATGAGATATGCCACCCAGGCGTTGAACCCAGACTCGAGGAAAATGCGAGACGTGTCGTCACTGGGCGCAGAAGAGGCAGCGTGGAAGGTTTCAAGATACCTGTACGGCAGACGGTCTCTTGTCCATGCTGTGGAAAGGGATCCAGCCAGTGACCTAAACAGCTGGTCAACGACTTCTGCGTCTGGCATCCTGTGAAAACATGGCCATGGCGGACCGCCGTCTTGAAGCTGATGGGGGTGTGCCGCTAGGAATTCTAGTACCAGGCAGGTGACAGGGTCTGGGACATCTGCCTTCTCCTGAGGGGTCAGAGAGGGGTCGCGGCCCCGAGGAGGTCGGGTGGGGCGGGGCGGCTGGGCGGGTGGCGAGTCATGGGCAAAGGGGGGCCTGCGATACACAGGTACTTTACTAGCGTCGCGCCTCCCCGGGCTCGTCCAGAGTCTGGACTCCAGACTCGCCTGCCATAGTACCTGGCTATGGCACCTGGACATGCCAAGTCCGACCCACCCGCGCAGCTGCCACGCCAATCTCGGCGTGCCTGAGGGCTCCAGGGCTAAAAACAACCCTGGGAAGCGTCTCGCCGCATCGCGACCAACGTCGCGAAGGGGACTCATTCTCAGCCACCGGTCAAGCTCTGGCACCAATCGCCATCCAACACGTTACTTTCTGGCGGCGCAGACCGCGCAGGCCAGGCGGAAGCGCATTTGCCGCAATCAGTTGGGTCGAAGCCAACAGGACCGGCCATCACCGAGGGACACGTTCCTCGTAACTATTCCGTCTGGACCGCAAAGACACAACTTCAGTCTGTTTCGTGGCTATGTACCTAGAGTATCTGTGTGCCCCTTCATGGAGACCACTTGTTTCTTGCCTGGTCTCGCTACCACCGAGAAGTTGCACCCGAAGAGGTCAAAGTCATATTGCTTCCCTACCGCAAGATTTATCGCCAAGACCACAATGTCCTTTTCCGCCACCTCTGGATGTTGCTTCAACCACCGCTCTGCATGCACTTCGTAGTCTCTGACCAGACGATCAATGAACTCATCCATGGCGTCGACTACCCTCGGCGGCGACGCTCCTGGCTTTCTATCCCCGAGCGTAAACTTGGTCCGAGATGGGTATAGTATCATGAAGGATTGGTCGGTCACAATGGCAACCCGATGGGATCCAGAACCGCACTTTTCAGTACCACCTGTGCCCACCTGTTCAGACTGGGCACAGGAGACCAATCCGAGGTTGGATCTCGATTCAACATCCCTACCCAATGGCTCTTTCCATGTCGTCTCAGGCAGCACAAGAGTATCGTGTGGGCGCGGCTCCCAGCTTTGCTCGCAATTCAAGCAGGAGGCAATAACTCGTTGCATCGCTGGGCAGGCTCCGTCTGCTCTGGCTGTTGATATATCGCCACTGGCTGTGGTAGGGCCAACGGAGACCGTTCGTGTTCGAAGTGGGCCGTTTGGCGGCTGAGATGCAACTGCTGGTCGCTCAAAGGCAGCTGTAGAGAGGCACACGCCTCACAACACTTCCCTTTTGTCGGAGCCTCCGGATCTTTAGGCCAGACAAGGGGGTAGAAACATGCTGCACTACTAACTTGCTCCGGCTGCGTCCTTCGACACCGATCTACATCCAAAATAACAGGAACAGATTGCTGGTCAACCCCCTGAGAATCTGCCCGCTTTCTTTTGGGTCGATGAATCAACGGTTCCCAGGGCACAGGGTTGCGGGGCTGACACTGTGCTACTGGTTGTCAGGACCTGGACCAACTCAATTTTCTTCTCTAGGTACGAGGCATACGTACCACAGGGCTTATCTATGGGCCATGGGTTGACGTGTTCCGCGTTCGGTCTTGGGAAGGGACAGCCTCGCTTCAATACAAAATCCGGACACCACACGGATGCTTGCAAGTATCTGTGCCCGCAGCTGTATTCTAACTGCCAACAAGAAGTCAGTTACTCTGACGAGGTAAAGGTAGGCCCGGGACAGTACCCACCAAACTATACCTGCACATGACCTCAAGTGCTAGGCGAACCACGCTGCCCTTGGATGCCTCTTTCCAAACTTCGGGTCGTTGCCTGAGGGAGACGGCAGACATCGGTGTCGTCTTTTAAAAAGGGGCTGCACAAACCAGTTTGGCAATGCAGAGTGTCGAAAGAGCATACGATCCGATTAGCCTGATGCAGAGGGAGCGGGAAGGACCTCGGTCAACGAGTTCTAGAACCACCGGCATGCGCCGTTGGCAGGCGAACTCTTCAATGCCTTTGGGGACAGTAGAATAAATCGCCTCTACGCGAGCCAAAAAGCAATGACCCCGGGTATATTTTGGTCGAGCCACCTCGCCGATGATCAGGTGAATTGGAATACCTTGGAGAATCAGCGGTATCTCACCTCGGCGATGGATGAATACGAGTCCCTACTACCCGCCCATGATCACGATGCACACACGTCAGAAAACGGCTTACACGGCTGGCCAGCATTTCAGGCGTCACTGGTTTACCACGTCAGGGCTGCCACACATACCATGTGTGATGCCTACGACCGAGTCAAGCACAGTGATGTAATTTCTGCCTCCTGTCAATTGCTGAAGGCGGGAGCGAGGTACCGCGCTCAAGCCATTCCGTGTATTTCCATCTCTTGCGCTTTGATCGGTGTCAACCTCCTGGGCACTAGGCTGGAGCCTTTGGTTCCTCCCCAAGCCCTCCTTGGCGGTTACCTTTTTGCCACTACAGCTCTGGAGTGGCTCGGCAAACTGGCCTGGACGAAATTTTCATGTGCCTTCGACGATTTCATTCAGCTGGAGGCTGCTCATCAGTCCGACGTCCCTGCCGAGCAAAGAACAGCGCTCAGCAAATCTGAAACCTTGGACAGTTGGGGCCATACCTTTTTCTTCAAGTTCGTGCCGACTATAGCCTCAGTAATTCTCATGTCAGCGGGAACTTTTCTCGTCCCACTCCTTGCTCTAGCAACAGTCGGGGTGCTACGGAAAGTGACAACACACCTCGGATTCAGCACACACATGCGTGTCTCGGAAAAGAAGGACATCAGAAACCAGAAGTAGTATGTATTGCGGGAACCCCCCTGCCAGATTGCAGCTGCCTGATGCTACATAGTAAATCCATTGACCGTGATGGTCAGGCAGAAGCCCAATCAGAGTTTACGGCGGCGAGGACTAGCAGGATCATGGGGTGTGGGCTACGACAAGGGTTCTTGGCCACTGTTCTCTTTGGTCTATACCTCACAACTGGATCTACATCGGGGGGCATTGTGGCAGGGATGGTTTTGAAGGATGTCATCTTGTTAGATAAGCACCTGGAAAAACTCAGCAAGAACTGGGACGCATCCCGACGGATGCTCGAGCTCAGCAGGGACACTTCGAAATGACTATTGGTTGACCCGAGATGCGTCCAAGACTCCTGGAGACATGGATCCTGCAGCTCTCTCCCTTGATTAGTTTGAGACGATTCCACGGGATGGAGTGCATCAGATAGCGCAACCCGGTCATTTATGGAATGGATAAACCTGATCGGGATGAATGCGGAGACGAGTGACCCACTTATTTGAAGAATAGCTATTCTTCAAAGTACGGAGAGATGAGTCCCGGAATTAGGCGTAGCCCCGCTTACTTTGAAGAATAGTGTATTCTTCAAACACGAACGAGAAGCTTTGTCTCTGGAGGAGTGAGCAAGAGGACTAGTAGGAGAAATGGCAGACGCGGCCCCGATCTCTCCTGAGGGGGACGGGCTCTTTATATCCGATCTCGAGATCACAGAGGCACTCCAAGTCAGACGGCCGGTTCCGAGGTTACACACGGACAAGGCCACCAGCATCCGTTTCTCAGTGAAGCATAACGGTTGTTGTGCTTCTGTTCGTATCGACATCACCCCTTTCCATCTCGAAGGCACGGTCAACTACGGATTTCGACCCTTTTGTCACGTCACTCCGTGTCAGCCCACCTTCGAAGACGGTCAACTATACGATCAGATCCAGAAGATCTACGATGTCATTGTCCCTTTTCAGTGGACCTTTGACGCCAGCTGGTAGGTACTTGGCTGCTGCGCCTGGCCTCAAACTGATGTCTCGCCCCAGCACCGATATCGTCCGGGAACAACCAAATGCCCTTTGCTGCCAGCTCAATACATCATTCAACTTGACGCACGATGTCCGTCCCAACAAGCGTCAGTCTTCGGCTCTACCGAGAAAACGAAGTCATAATAACACGTCCACCGCATCGAGCGATGTCATCGGCTCCGGGCTTCCGAGCCGGCTCGGAACTGCTGAGCAGGGTTCGAAAAGGCGAAACACACAAGAACGCAAGTCCTGTAAGGAGATGGTCGACAAATTCGTCTATAGAATAGTAAAAGGACAAGATCGTCTGAAGAAGAAGAAGCCCATAGAAACGAGCCTGTCCGGGATTCAGGCGATTCTATCACGATTTGAGGAGGCAGACACAAGACAGGTACTTGATGAACTTTCAAAGGAGTTCCACAAAGAGAGCGTGGCCAAGGATACCACAAGCGATTCTTGGGACTGCTGGTACTTCGAGGGCTGTATGGACTTTGTCAATTGTGGGAAGGGTAAGGCGGCCCCAAGCACGAACGCAGCAAAGGCGATATGCATCATTAACTCGATCGTGAACCAACTGCTCGAAACCGAGGGAGCGGTTGCCACGGTCCTTTTTGGCATCCTAGCCGGTAAGCGAAATGGACATCTTTTTGGGACCACGGCTGACCCAATTCAAGAGATTAGGGCCCGTCTTACCGATATTGCACGTGAGAGTTTTGCGATCCGTGGGCAGTTTGTCGATTCGGCTGTCCAAGCGTTACGAGGGAAGCTACAAATGCCTCCGAGATCATACGAAATGCCCAACGCGCCTGTCTGGGTCACTCTGGTGAAGAGTCGTTCCGGTGGGGACTCGGCGTACGGTTTTCAGGATGCTTGCCGTGACCTGGCCTTTCCCAACTTTGCCGTTTTGGATCTGAAGCCTCAGTGGACAGACAACTCAGGCAGTAAACAGCTCCTAATGAAGGTCGACTTTGCTCTTGTGGATGCGTGTTGGGTGAGGGCACACCCGACACACTCGGCACACTCGGCACGTCAGGCACAGGGCCCCGATTCGAGAACAATGCAGCCCGGCACGAACCCCACAGAACATTCTGCGACGTTTGATAGTGCTGACTCTATGTTGGGCGTCGTTACATGGGATGCGGACTGGGCAAATCTCGATGTCAACATGACAGCAAACATGGGCGGCATTGACTTTGGATCAGCTGAAGCCTTCGGGCTGGGCTCCTTGGATGGTACTATCGGTGAATAGAACAAATTTCAACTATCTTCGGTCTGCTGCGCATGCATCTTTTTGTCAAGTCGGACCAGTACGTATGTGAGCTCTCCCCTAGACACACAGATGCTGGTGTCTTCGTCAAAAAGATATATCTCCGACTTCACTTCTGTGATGGTTACCACCGAAGGCCGCTGGGTTTGTTGGTCGCGATTTGCCGAATGGAATATGATTTGGGTTGGCTCTGCGCTGGCACCCTGACCGATGGGGAGAAGCGCACTGAAATAGCCCGCTATAGAGCCATATCTATGACGGATGACATTGGCGCGCCACCTTATTTCGTCAGTCGGCCATCTCTCCCGAATCAATGTCTTCTGTGTTTGGTCAGCAGTATTGCCTCATCTGAAGCGGCCGTACATACGCTTTGGTTCACGACCTCTTGGCCGATCTGTTGCACCGCTTTGTTGTAAATAGTGTTCTCGATCAACTTTGATACATCCAAAATCTTCTTTTGACCAGACTGGTCATTGTCAAATTGGACGGCAACGAAGTCTTCCTGCTTGATGATCGAACGAAGCTCACAAGTGGCCGCTTCAAGCTTAGGGCTTCCTTCAACGCGTGTTGGCGGCATGCTGCTGAGAATTTAGATTTGATAGAATGTAGTACTAATCTAGATGCCATCTTCACCCTTCTGTTGGTTTTTGAGTCATTTTCACTTCAAGAAGGCTTCGAGGTATTGCATTCAAGCCTGGAAGTCAGTCGCTGCCTCCGCCCGTCAAGATCCCGCTAATCCCCTCCAAGAATTTTTCGGCGCTCGGAGAAACGAACTGCCGAGTCGATCAGCTTGGTCCACACGGACAGGGTATCTATCCTCTTACATTATCGTGGCACTGTTCCTTGGCCTGAACCTCCTCCGATTGAGCCCATAGAGCCTGTGCTGCTGGTACCACTACCTTGCTCCCCTGGGGACGCGCCGCCAACATTGCCCTCTTCTTTATTGGTAACAAGACAACAACCCATGGTACTTGGCATTGCTTGTAAGTCGGAGTTCTGTGCTTACTTAAGTATAGTGACACCCGAGGGCCGATTGTAACGCGATGCCAGTGTATCGTACGGCGATAGCTTGGTGTTGCAAGATATTGAATGCTGTTAATACAGTGGATATATATACTCTCGCAGTGACCGGCCTCCAGAACTGAAAAGCACTCATCGCTCAAGATCCTGCTCGATGTGTTGGATGTGGCCTTCCTGAATTCAGCAGCTACACCACATGAGGCGTTCTTGCTCATCGATGGCTAACACACTAAACCGTACGTAGAATGCGTGGACAACGCCTCCAACGCGCAGCAACGTGCTGCTTCCATGTTCCTGCAGCTGCATAGATGACAAGGGGTCGAATATTACGAATGTGTGATTCTTCAAGGGTCTGAACTTTACGATGTTGTGCGCTTGAGGGAGGGTGGGATACATCATGGAACCCGGCACCCATGATCTTAGGTGAATCCTGCCCGATTCAGACTTAAAAGCTGAACGCATTCTCGGCATTCTAGACTTGGTGTGACCATCTTGAATAGTCCAGTTGGCCTTTTTGAATAACCTCATACAACCTCCCCTCAGTCGTCATCATGAGCAGCTTGAAGAAGATAAATGGACCTCAAGTTAAAGAGTCCGCCCCAGACAGGTACGAGACTAAATTGTGCATAGGCAGTACGGTATGTGCCCGTGTTTCCACCTATACAGAGGCCTTGAAATGCTGACGAGCCATGATAAAGACTATCATGGCGCAGGGGGGCGGGGAAGTCGCAACCTGGGATGGTACCAAGGGTATAGTGCAGGTCCAGGTCGAGATCGAGGTCCATGTGGAAAAGCAAGTGGGCAGGCCGCGGCTTCGTCTCCGCAAATAGATTAGGCGTCTATGTCTGTACTCTTAGTATTGTGGAAGTTTTGTAGCAATGTGTTGTGCAGGAGCGACCATGGGCCATGTGCACGTATCACAAGTGTCCGATCAGCCTTCGAGAATAGCGTCCTTTTGAGTAGGGAAAATTCGAGAATAGCGCCGTTAATCCCTGCGGGTTTCGACTTTAGCGCCAGACGCATGCATGGCTACATCGCATCTACCAACTGTCTCAGCTTTCAGGCGAAAGGAGTAGGGAGTGGGGAGTGGGGTCAGATGTTGTGACACTTGCGGCTCTGCGGGGGTGACTTGTAGTCTTGTCGCCGGCCGTCAAGGGATACGTGTGATGATGCACGCATCAAACATGTCTACATCGTACCGAAAACATTTTCTCCCGCTGGAATCAAACCCGGACGTATTCAATAGACTGATCCGCTGTCTTGGCACCTCTCATCATCTCGAGTTCCAAGATGTTGTATCACTGGATGATCCAGACCTGCTACCCCACCCAGCACTCGCCTTGATTCTGGTCTTCCCTACGACTGACCGATATGAGGAGGAGCGGGCGCGCGAAGACGCGGCACACAGCCATTCCGAGGCAGATAACGAGGACATCATGTGGTTTATGCAAACCATCAACAATGCATGTGGACTCTATAGCATCCTCCATGCGCTCAGCAACGGGCCCGCACGGGATCTCGTCGGTAAGCATGATTTTTGTTACTACTTCAATGGATTTACTGACGTGTGAAGGTCACGGATCATTCTTTGCCTCTCTAATCGGCGACTGCTCCTCCCTGTTGCCGCACGAGCGATCTGTGTACCTTGAGAATTCGGTCGAACTTGAGCGTGTGTATAAACAGGTTGCGGTCGAAGGGATATCAGAAGTGCCAGAGAACGCCGAGGACGAGGTGGACTATCATTTTGTGTGCTTCGTCCAATCTCATAGGAACGGGCATTTGTACGAACTGGATGGTGACCGGAAGGGCCCTCTTGATAGGGGTCTGGTACTCGGGCCCGGAGACGACATGCTCGCTATGGGTGGACTGGGTGTTGTTCGCGAGTACATCGAACGAGAACAGGGCAAATGTACCTTTGGACTCATGGCCCTGGTAAACACGGGACATTCTTCATGAGGGAGAAATGCCACGTGTGGCAGAGGTAGACTAGGTACAAATGTTTTTGGTCAAGGATTGCCCATCGCGGTTCTTCTGAGCCAACTGATCCGCAGTCTCCCAACAGTATGTAAGAAGAGTGTCATCAGAGCATTTTCGTAGAAGTTCCACAGCCGAATCTGAACCCCAAGATGCGGCTATGTGTAGCGGCGTCCAGCCCTCGTCGTCTACTGCGTTGGCGTCCGCTCCATTTTCGAGGAGAAGCTTTACGATCTCCAAAAACGAGGCTCCTCGTTCAGAGACCGGCCCAGCCAAGGCGAGATGAAGCATAGATAAGCCGCCATATCTGCTCTGTCTGACATCAGCTCCACAGCGTATCAAAGATTTCGCGGCACACAACCAGCCATGCTCGACAGCCCAATCTAGAGCCGTCCTGCCTGTGAGATCCCTGGCGTGTAGAATGCTTAGATCCCCATTGTCCAAGACCGTTTTCGTGAGATATTCTTCCAGTGAAATGTCTGCGTTGAGCCTGAGCAACACATTGTGCAAGTCCGTAAACCCTTTCGAGGACAGGTATGATAACCAAATTTCCTCGGCGGGTTTCCCGAAGAGCCCACTCAGCTTGCTTAAAAGCGCCATAAAGGAATGGCCTCTCATAGCAGACTCTACAAGAAAGATGTCGATCATCGTGTCCAATGGGGTACTAGGTCAGTCAGACTTCCTGCTCATGTGATGTTGTTGAGATGGAAGAAAGGGCACATGCTTCCCGAGATTATCCACCCACCGAACGTTGGCACCAGCATGGACCAAAGCTTCGAATGTGGCGACTGAAGTCTCAATACCTCGGTTCCGCCAGCAATAATACGTTGAATAATAGAGCAAACCAAGATTGTACGGGTCGACCGCGTCGAGAGACGCCGAGCCTGACATCCACAGAGCCCTCATTCCCTCGACATCCCCGTTCTGCACGCAAATGAAGATGGGCGAGTCGTAGTCGAAAATGATCGGTATTCGGTAAAAGACTTGTTCGGATTGTCTGTTAATTCGTGTCGTGACGAGAGCCACGTTGCCTTGCGCGTCGTCAGTGGAACTGGCTGGCGTTGACATTGGTGCAGAATAACCGGATGTGACTCGGAGGGGTGCGAGGAGCTTTGTTAGAATGATTTCTTCCAGTGTCTCTGCCTGGAGCTCGCGGGCGTTTTTCGTGATACCTAAAAGTCTCAGTCTATGCATTACCTCTTCTCGCTCCTTGCCCTTGGCTGAAAGCCGGCGCTCCCAGCTATAACTGTCAGAAGTATGTGACCTGTCGGATCTAAGGGAGACCTACATAGTATCGCCAACAACGGTTGGTAGCAAGAAGAGGCATCCAGAACCCAAATTCCGCCTGAGATAGTTGTACGTGCGACCACGACTGGCCCAGTCCCGCCACATCCGTTGCTCCAGCTTACCGAAGCCAGCGTGGCAGATACTTTCAGCCTGAATAAAGAAGACTTTGAAGAACCTTGATCTGATGCGGTCCTTGAGACCGCCCCTTTTGAGGAGGTTAGCATGATGGATTTGCCTGGAGAGGTACCCCGAGAGGTCAATATTGACACCCGTATCCATATCGAGGCCCTCGAAGAAGGTCATCGGCTCTTTCTTCCAACGCTCGAAGTCCCTTCGAAGGTTTCCTGCAAGACCGACATCGGCGGGCTGTAGATGCATGAACGGTCTTAGGTCCTTCCGATCCAGAAGTTCGGAATACTCGGATACCCTGGCCACATCGGGTGAGCATATTTCCTCCGTATCTGATGTTCCCGGGGGTCGCTCCGCTAATAACAACAGGTTCTGTCGGGACTTGTCGGACAGTGATGAGCTATGCATTAACAGCTTCTTGATCACCTATTTATATTAGACATTTCAATCCTGACTAAAATTCGGAAACTCACTTCATCATCTTCCAACATATCATTGATGGCTGCAGCTCTTTCCCCTACAACGGCACTGAGGGTGCAGCCCATGTTGGTGCACAGTAAAGGCGTTGCTCGAGGAAAAGGTTGAGATCTCGAGGTTGGGATTATTCTGGGAAGTTGAAGAGAAATCCGAGATTAGCTAGGCATTTCCCAGGAGACCCTTCTTTAATAAGCGACCGCTGCATGCACTGCCTACTTACCTAGGTACTTAGGTAGGTATGGCACATGCACGCGGGGTTCAACGGCGCAGCACCTACATAAGTACTTGGGCTTCCATGCCAGCACGGCACCATCACACCTGTAGACTTGCAGGATGCCTGCCTAGGTACGTACCCAATGATTCTACAATCTCCTACAAGCGAAATCACATGAACCAACTTTAAAAACGGCAAAAGCTCTATATTAGAGTAATCAACACTAAAATTCAAAGACCACGTACACAGTACCTACTTAAGTAGGTAGTATGGATGGATGGAGGTAATGTGACAGCGTCGAGGTACTGCCAGTGTGCCTATCCGCAAACATTGAAGATTGCCTGCCGCCGCTTCTGTCCGTATCACAGTACGTCCATTAGGTACTCCTCCATGGATAAATCATCTGCCGGGGGCCCTCAATGTGTCGTTTCGAACCAAAAGAGCCGTCAGTATGGTCCTTTCCTTTGGCCAAGTGTGTCATCAGTTCTGCGGACGTCCAAGCAACAGTTTCGTAGGCCTTTACGACCTCTTTGTTCGCCCCCTTAGCAGTTTCACGCGCCTTTCTGACAGCTTGGAACAGCCTCAAAGCTGTAGGGTCGCCAGGTTTAGCTGAAAAGTCAGCTCGAACCACTTCCTCCACTTCCTCCATTTCCTCGTCGTCCTCGTCGACCTCGTCCTCCACATCCTTGCCATCGATTTTCACTGTGATGCAAGCACCTACTTCCTCCCCGGACTCCAGGAGCTCCTTGAGTTTTGCGTGAACGCCCTCACTCTGCACCTGCGTCCGTGCCTCCTTGTTCCTTGTATGGCCTCCTCCATGGGTGTTGGTCCCTCTGTGCGGGCCTGCCGACCTCCGAGCCCGTTCTTTCGCGGCCTTGGCCCCGACGAGCTCTAGATGTGATAGATCCCAAGGATAGTCTAATAACTGGCCCGTCTTCAGTCCGGTCTTCTCCCTTAGCCACCTTTGTAGATAAGGCTCTTCACCTTTTTCAAGGAGTCCGAGCAGGTGTAGCGAGCGCACAAGTCGGATGTATGGTCTCTGTGTCCTGTTTTGGTCCCATACCCGCTTAAGGACGGCCTTGCTTGCGAACTGTCGGTCCTTGGGGGAGACGTGACGAGGCGTTGTGCTGGCATCGTCGTCAGAGAGGCCCATCGCAAACGACCCCATCAGTACCAATTGATCCTCGTCCTTCCCCTGCATCCATTTCGCTGTGATTACTTTGAGCTCATGGAATCCCCAAATACTCCTCGCCGCCTGGCATTCCAGTTCAGAGGGGTTAAAGTCCTGAACGAGGTCGAATATCGGCTTGTTTCTTTCATAGACGAAGGATATGAGCAGACTCTTGGGGTCTACTGCGCCTATGCCGGCCCCGAGGAATTCAAGAGCCCTCAAAATTCCCATATACGAGTCCAGTGTGGAAGGAGCTTGTGGGCCCATAGTCAAGCTGTACACATGGTCGACATGGTCTCTTGTCGTCTGCTTGAGCTTGTAGAAGCTTTGGAGCAAGGCTTCGGTGTAGGTTCTGTAGTGCTCAACTCTGTCCCTTTTGGCATTCATGGCGGAGCACATTGTGGACTGGTTGCAAACGATGTGGGAAGCGTTGTGGTTTCTGTGAGTGAAGAATGGTGTGGATGGGAGTCTTGTTCTAATATGAGTATGAGCTGGGACTTGACGGCATTATATAGATACTGGAGCTGTCACGTTCTCGGATGGGGTCCATGGTCGACCAACAGATCGTGGTCAGTCTCGTCGCGAGCCGCGATCGACGTGCCAGCGCATCATATCGGTCGAGGGCCACGGCCCGCGAGTCCTTTTTCCACTTGGAAGGATGACAGAGGTCTTCGACCAACTGTGAGGCATCCGGTCGACGCGCCTTGCGTCAGCCCCCAATGGTAAACTTCCATCGACCGTCGGGCGCCATTGCTCAGTGGCCAGTGGCATCAGAGTGTGTCCATGATACTGGTGCCTTGACGCCTGCGCAGTTGCAGTAGGATTACAGCCTCGGCAACCACGCTTGCCCACGGCGTAGGAGACCAAGCGGCCGCCACTTCCATGGCGCCTGTGATCCCCTCGAGCGCCCAATGAGCAAGAAGGGACGGAGGGCGATGAGCAGCCCCAACCTGACGCTCTCAGCTTCCAAGAATTTGGGAAAGGATTGAATGGACGGCCGGCATGGTGTCACCAATCATGATAGGTTGGCCAAGGTGACCCAAATTTTGATGACATGCGAGATCCATGACTCCCCCTCCCTGTTCTATACAGCGGATAACTTCTGCTTTCGCCACTGCTGTGCCACAGCACTCGCGGTCCGACCCAAGTCGACCCCTATCCGATCATCGTTCCACCCTTTCTGCTTCAGCTGAGCAAGTCGACGCCGTTCCCTCGATGTCCACTGGCGGAGACGATGCACACTCCTCCTTCGGGGTCGTGTGTTCCTCCTGCCTCTACCGCTACCGCCATTGCTACCACTGCCGTCGCTACCGCTACCGCTGCCCCTTTCCTTGCTCTCAGCCTCTTCCTCATCTTCATCGTCAACATCGTCATCGTCGCCCTCAACACTGCCCCTTCCCTCGACATCGCGATCGTCGTGCTCACCGTCCTCGCTGTCTAGTGTAGCAAAGTCAATGGGGAAATCAAGAAGAGACTTAGGCTGGGAAACTTGAGAAGATGTCCTTGCCCCAGATGTCTTTGACCTGCTGTGTCTCCTGTCACGTATCTTCGGGGTCCGGCCTGACGGCAAATTCCGGGCGGGTCTTGTACGCATTATGTACTCTGCAGTGTGTACCACGGCCTGCATGCGTTTTATCGCCTTCGCCATTGTCTTTGCGATATCTGAAAAATCCTGGTAAAATAAGTCTGGATAGGTAGGTGGCAATTCCCGCGACTTAGCTCGCAATTCGAGTCGGCGGCACTCCTTGCTGCTTCGGGGGAAGACGTCAATCCCACTAACGGCCCGCTCGTCGGCATCATCCGGCCCGTGGTCGTCGGAGACACACTCGATATTGAGCTGTTCAACACTGACATCATGCTGATCGGGCCTTCCTCTGCGGGAGCCAGGGCTGGTGGGGGCGTCGCCAGCCTCGCCCGCCCCGTCTTGGAGAACAGCACAGTTATGGTCACCAGCCCCACCATCGCCAGATTTGTTAGGGTTGCTGACAATGAAGGGCGCAGTGACGACTTTGAGGACGTGTCCAACCTGATGTAGACGGCAGGTCGAACAAAAGTTTGTGTCCGGGCAGTCCTGGCATTCGTAACGCAGGTCGAAGAGCCTCGTTTGACAAGCCTTGCAGAGAGGTATTCGAATCTCCGTCCTAAGCATTTCGCGCGCTTCCTCGTCATCGTAACCCCCGGTGTTCTGCCTAGAATTATCCTCGTCCACAGTGCCGGCGGCTTTGGTCTCTACCTGGCCGGAGAGCCGCGCTTGTTTTGGGTAAGACTGTGTTTGGGCAGGGACACCGACACCATCGCCGTAGACAGAAGACTGGCTCGATGCGAGCCGCATGGAATCGTGCTCCTGCTGACGTGGGCCACTCGTCGTCCTAACCAAGGGCTCCACCAAATCGAATACATGTCCCGGATGTAAGACCGCCGAGTTGATGGAGCATTTGAGGCAGAAATGGATGTCTGGGCAAGTCTGGCACTGTTTCCTTGGCTGGTCACCGACGGGTCGTGAACAGAGACCACAGCTGTACTCCCTGGCTAGAACCGACAGGCCAGATACGGAGGTAGTGGGCTCGCCAGGTTCGGCCGCGTGCCGACTTGTCTTACTCCCTTTTACTCCAGGCTCACTTGTCCTTGCGCGTTTTGTAGGCGTGTGCACATCTCTGCTCGCAGATCCATCCGCAGGCGTGTCGGCGCCGTGGCTTGCCCTTCGTTTTCGAGGTGTCGCTGGGTGGACGAGTCGGAGACTGCGTGTTGTCCACGGCAGCGACCTGAGGTCTTGGAACACCGGCGGGCTGGTTGGCGGGCTCGTTGGAATACTCGACGTGCACCCAGCAGCGACGGCCTCTGACCTAGGCACCCTTGCCTCAGATGTGCCATGAGCCGCGGGGGCTGCATCTACGAGGAGGGCTGACGACTGGTCGGTTGCGGTCTCAATCAGGTCCGTGATGGCGGGTGCTCCTGAGGGCGAGCTGCCTGAGAGCCCCGGGACCGACTTGGAGGATGGGCCAGTGCTTCCTTGGCGCTCTGGTCTTCTCTGCCGCGGCCGTCGCCGGCGGAGCACTTGAGCGAATGAGGACGGGTCATGATTCCTGCTGCTTGCGAACATGATGCCTGACGGTGGTGTTGACTAGTCTGTGGTAATAGTGGACAACTGTTGCTGAGTGGGGCAAACCCGCGATAGTTCTAAGTTTAAGAAGGCCGGCCCCAAATATATATGAGGCGTCAGGCGGTGGCAGGCAGCCTCCATGGTGCATCTGGGGCTGTGGGGGCGGGGCGGGAGGGACATTGTCCTCCATGGAATAGTACTTTCGGTCACTGGACGGCACGCGGCAACGGTACCTAGCCGGGTCTTGGCAGTGTGGCTAGGCCCGGGGCACGCCACGCTTAATGAGGCATTTTGCATTTCCTTATTAGGAACTCAGCCCACAGCAGCTAATAAAAACAGTATAATTCTTATAAATATCTTTATAAAGTTAAATTTTTAAAATAATTCTTATTTAAAGTTTATATATTATTAAGATTATAGACTAATTACTTATAAGACTAACTAATAGGTCTGTATATTTTTTTATTTTATCAACCTAGTAGCCTCTACACCGCTTATAATAAAAACTTAATAATAAATATTCTAAAAATATAAATATATAGAGATTTTAATAAGGATTATAAATATATTTTCTTTATATTTTTAAGTTAAGTATTAAGAAAGTTATATAAAAAAGACTACTTTTTAATAAACCTTTAAAAATTGTGACAGGGGTAATTTTACAGGGGGGGGGCTCTGCTTCGTTTTTCTGAGACAGCGGCAGTTCCCATTTGTTAATTGGTCGCACTCGTCTTCGCGTACATGGCCCGAACATTCTCCATGACCACCAACAAGGCTTGGCGGACCCCTGACCCACACACCATAACCAACCTTGAAATCTCAGAATGTATGCTGGCTTCTTCCGCAAAAAGCGCATGGTTACCATGTGGTACTTTAAGGTGCCACCGCCGCGCCGCATGTATCAGACTGCCATGTGGACGCATCAGCCGCAATTGCTGCCAGCCACGCAACGATACCTAGGTGTCGCTCAGTCTTTATCGTGCTTGTGTCTTCCCCAGGGGTTTGGTTCTCCCGGCTCGAGCTTCACATCGTTGTCGGATGTGGCCTGATTCTGTTCAGCTGCTCCGATGGGGCAAAGCAGCCAACAACAAATAGTTGTTTATCGTCTCGATTATTTGGCTTGTTCTGTGTTGGGAGAACATCGCGCCCCTTGGCACCGGAAACGGTGCGACATAGGGGAAGCCTACGTTATATCTTAGGTTCAACAAAGATATAGTGTCAAATTGTGCCTCAGGTGGTGCTGGGCAAGCCCACCAGTCCTGCACTTCGCTGGGCCCTTCCACATAAAACACCACTTCTTCATTTAAGTGCAATAATGAAAGTAGAGGTGACGGGGTTTTCGATGCCTTCTTTGGCCGCCAAACGTGGATAATGATCTGTCACCTTTTCTCTCCGCCGGGGCTCGTTCGGTTTCCCTTGCCGCCGTACCCTACCCGCCGTGTTACCAACACCCGCATGGTCTGTAGGAGGAGCCTTGGGGCTGATAGATGGGACTGACTGCCTGCGCGAGTTCAAATGATTGCCCAGCTGTCCCCGGCAGGAGCTAGAACGGGTGAATGTTGCCTTCCTCGCGCACCCTTCGACTGATGGCGGTGGCCAGAGCAGACAATCGTCTGCTATTAGTTCCGCAAAACTAATCATGGCAGGACCTCTGACCTCTCTCATTGCTTTACTACTATTTCTCATTTCCACAAGCTCTGCAATTTGCTATTACTCAGATGGTACAACAGCTCCGCAGGACGTTCCATGCAATGACGACACAGACCATTCGACATGCTGCGGCCAAGGATACGCCTGCCTTTCTAATGGCGTGTGCATGGCTACGGGGGACGAGCTTCAGAAACCTGGAGCGTCGAAATACGTCCGCGGCTCATGCACTGATTCCTCCTGGCGAAGCTCCTCCTGTCCGAGTTTCTGTGTCAGCCCTCTATACGACAATGTCGCGGGCGGGAATGGCATGGGCCTGTGGGAGGGGACAACTGATGTCTTGTTCTACTGTATCGACATGCTGTCGTACAATTGCACAACTCAAGAAAATGTGCTAATTTTCTTTGGTAAGAGACCAGCCTATCCATCCAATGCTGAGGCCGCGCCGGCTGCGTCGGGGAGGCTACGCGTGTGCTCAAATGCACTGCAGGCTGACTCTATTTGACTGATACCAGACACCCCATCCGTCTTGACTACCATTGGTGTTATAGCTTCTTCCTCAATCACCACTACTTCAGCACAGGCCAGCACGCCACTCACTTCCGCCACGTCTTCATCGATCTCGACCGTCCTACCGACAAGCATTCCCACAACCAGAGCAGTGACCTCATCCACAATCTCACTCCCTACGGCGTCAACCATGGAAGAAGACTCCAGTCAACCTGGACAAGGCACTATAATTGGCGCTGCCATTGGTGTCTCCGTTGCAGGCGTTGCAGCTGGGGCAGCAGGCTTGTGGTTCTTCCTCCGAGCCCGAAAGAGAAAAAGCCAATCCGCAGCTGGAAATCCAGTTCACGGCGGGCCCACCGAATGGGTTTCAGCGGTCGAGCCCCACGGACGAGGACTCGGATATTGGGATCCCTTGAAAACCGATAGTACTAACAATAATCTGGATCCACGAGCTTCCGAATTGGACTCGACTCAGCGCAGCCACCAAACCTCAGAGTTGGATTCAACTGTCATGGCCCAGTCGGTACACGAGCTTCCGGCTTGGGGAAGAGAAATTAGATACTAGACTGGCAATCCTTGTCAATGAAAAGGCTGACTTGCGCGTGATGCGAATAAAATTGGCCGATGGATTTCGTCCAGGTCATATGATGAAAGATGAAGGAGCTGCACATAGGAGGTCGCGTGTGTCTGCAAATATGCTGTGAATGACATGATTACCTGGATAATTAATGATACCCAGAACTACTACTCACTGGAATTGTTTATATGCTGTCATTCATGTGCAAAACTATGACCGAGGAACTATTACTGCTATCCTGATTTGGAACTCAGATATGTACTCCTGATGCCTGGAAGGCCGCAAGGTTGCTTCATAATAACCCTTCAAAAATGGCCTTCACTCCATGACACTTGACCATAGCCTACGATAGACTACAGCAGAAATGCTCTCATGTAGAGTATTACGTATTACTTTAACCTTTTCAACCACCGGGTCTTGAGTGCTTACCACCGTATGAAGGCGCCATATATGTCCTCAAACGTATACGGAATGGAAGCGAAACCACAGAGTTCTAATTCCGCCCGAATACCTCAACTCTCCTGGATAAGAACAGCGACCATCGATCTGGGCCTCCACACCATGTCATTCGACAACACAACAGTTCATTCTTAACTACAACCATTTCCTCATGGATGGCAAAGGCTCTAAGCCATTCATGAAAGGATGGGCGAGCGTCATAAACGGCAGGCAAGCTGATGTTGTCCCCCTGGCCGGTGCTTAGAGCGGCCCGCTGGACGTGGTCCGCAAGGATATCAAACAAATGGGGACGAGAAATTTGTCTTGCGACACCAAGTGATAGATACCTGGGCATGGAAGACTTCCTACCCGAAGACAAGGCCAACTCGATGCAGGATCCAGTTTGGGACATACCGATATGTTCATCCCAGTCCCGATGGCGGGTCAGTTGCCTGACGCCAAAGAGGCGGGTGTTGTTCCGAAGCAGGCAAGCGCTACACTCCCCTCGAATCCCCTGGCGACCGCAGACGGCACGATTCGCAGCTGGTTTCCGAAGACCATAGCCGGCTTCATCCCGTTCGATAGGCCCTTCAATCTGATGCGCCTGTATAACCTATACCGCACCCTGACCAAGGCCGCCATCTTGAAGCCCGAGACTGCATATATTCAAGACAATCACCGCATAGCTTGAATCTTGACACCAGAAGCCAAAGAGCTGACAAAAGCGCCGCTGAGCGAGATGGAAGTCGATCTCTGCTGGTCTTTCCCTGCGCGCGGCTTGTCAGAAACGATTATGCTGAAGACGCGGCTGAACTCGGGCAGGACATCGTTTGTATGGAGACCTCAAGGGCACGATGTTCATCACCATCACCCGAGTCAAAAACCACGACTGGAGGACAACTGACTTCTCTGGTCCAGCCAAGTGCAAGTGTGCCCCTAGATAAGAGGAAAACCATGCGGGTGATAAGCATGATCACCACGAGGCGCTTGTCCGAGGTTCCGGGCCCAGCCTCGGGCCCGAATTTCATCTAAAGCGCGATCGACTTGCATGGAAATAGGACCATTTGCACCTTCTTGTCAAGCGCAATGTGGCCTGGGATGGAGCAACTACGCCCAACACGACATCATCCAGGCATCGGCCGTTGCGGACGACGCACCACGACATACATTCTCTCCTGACTGCTACAACTCCACGACTCATCAGATTTTGGACAGTCTCTCTGCCGTAGTTGACTCAAACAATCCAAGCCGGACTCCGTTCATTCCCCCTTTGCCGTCAATACTCCCGTACCAGCAGGTCTGGCGAAGGAAAAGAAACTCGGCACAATTTCTACTCGGCCGGACGGTCCCGAGAAACAAACGAGACGAGACGAGACGAGGAAAACAAATAAGAACCATGAGCGTGGGAGCAATCATCGGCATCGCAGGAGGAGGCATCTGCATCACCGTCATGCTTATCGTCCTGCTGTGCAGGATCGAGGCATGGAGTATTTGCGACGCGCTGCAGAGGAGACACCTTGTCTGAGATCAAAGCTGTGGGTTGGCGTTGGATTATCAGCAACATGCGATGCCGAAAGCATGGGACGACATTTGGGTTCGTGGGTCAGCATCTCACATGCACAAAAGGCATATTAGCACGCACGAGAGACACGGTCATCACGGTTGAATCTGAACGGTGTGAACAAAACCAAGTGTTCTGGTGGCTGTAGAGTGTGTTAGCTACGTTAGTTAGCCATTGTAATACTGCAACAATATAATCTAAGTTCGATGTGCAAGAATGTTTCGCCTCACACCCCGATCCAGCTTGATGGCTGAGCAACCACAGCAGCTACTGCTCCGCGGCCGCTTCACCGTTCAGGTGTTTCGGTACCCGCACGGGCACTCCTTCCTCACCGTTCCTTCCGCGAGAACTCTTCCCCTTTCTCTTGCTTGCCGATGGCTGCGGGACCCCCTCCGCAGCGCCCACGTCTTCCTGGCCGAGGTCAGGGCTGCCCAGTCTGGGGCTGCGCTTTCGCCCTCGTTCTTGATCGGCGCCGCGCGGAAGCCTGAGGATCTCGCTGGACACCTTCTCGCGGGCGCGGCTGCTGGCACGGCTACTTGCGCTGCTCGAGCGCCGTTGTCTCTCCCTCACAGCCCGGGGCTCCTGAGATGCGGTCCGCCATAACTTGCTCCCGGGAGCCCCATTCACGAGTTTCTCCTCTGCTTGGTCATCTGCCTGGTGATCTTCGATGAGTGGCAGGGACTGTTGGACGTTATTATAGTTAAGCAAGTATCGAGCATTAGTCTCGACATCCTGCTCTTCGTGGTTCGGCACTTGTTTCCGTAGCCGAAACCAGACCAACTTAAGGGTGGGGCGCCGCCATTTCTTCCTGAAGCGCTCATCCACGAGCGACTTCCAAGGAATCTTGGAGTCACTGGCAGCGCCCGAATCGTGTATTGCCTCGATTAATTGAACTTTCTCCTCGTCGCTCATGAGACGGTAGTCCTCTCGAGCGTTAGCCAGAGCCTCACTGACGCCATTGATAGTCCTGGACTCGGGGGCAGGCTTGGGAAGGTGTTCGTTCTCCTCCCCGACGGCGCCCTTGTCTTTCATCTCCTGCCATTTCCACCGGCATTGCTGCCGGCTGCGGATGAGCCCAATGGCTGAGCTAATCTGTTGCCAATCAAGCAGTGACTCGTCATCTAAGCCCTTGGCGCGTGGTCTAGGACGAAACTGGTCATTGTTTTCCCGCTGGATGCGAATCTTGTGGAGTGCTTCTTCGACCGCTTGTTTGAGCTTTTCGGTCTCATCGGACTTCCAGTAGTACTTGCGCTGTTGCTCAAAGACGACGTAATGATTACGCCAGTAATCTCTGATATCCTTTTGATCGCGGTTGATCAAGCCAGAAATCACAACGAACTTTGTGCCGTGCTTTTGGAAGAGTTCGTGCAACTCCTCTTTCTGGACTGTAGTCCAGCGGCCACGACCGACGAAGTTGTTGTACAGTCTTCGAGTCCGTTCAACAATCTGTTTTCTGCTTCTCTTCGGAATGGCCGCAACAGCACCCTCCCAAAACTCCTTGTGCATTGGGTTCGTATATTGAGGGCGTTCGTGAATCATAGCGTTGACTTCTTGTTGATCCATGTCATAAGACCTTCGAAATTGATCCACGACCTGACCCAGAGCCGTGAGTTCCTCCGTAGTCCAGGGGCCGGTGGCCGTCTCGCCTTGTGGCAGTCTCTTTCTTTTGGGTCTGGCTTCGGTCCTCTCATCATCGCTGGCGCCCAGACTTTTGTTCGTCTTCTTGGACTTCTTCCGCCTGGACGGGCCTGCGAGCAAGTTTTCCATCTCATCCTCCGAGACTTCATTGGTGCGCCGTTTGCGCTTCGGCTTGGACTGTTTCGGTGATGGATCAATTTCCCTGGGGCTATTCGCGTCCCCTCGCATGACATCTTTCAGCTTCGACTTTTGTGACAAGGATATCCGAGACTGAATGTGGTTCTCCCCTTCGCCGAAATCGTCCTCCAGCTGCGAGAGCGAGAGCGAGTTGTTTGAATGCAGGCACCGCTTCTTCTTGGCCTTCTGGGGCTGGCCCGCAGACACCTCGGGTTTGTTGACAGCAGGTGGCTCTATGTCTTGAGCACCAGCCTGCTCCTGAAGCTGTGATTGTATTGCCTGCTCCATGTCGCCCTCATCCTCATCAACAGTGTGCCTAATGGCCTCTGCGCCCAGTTCAACATCATCATGGTCGGACTCTTCAATCACATCCACATGCGTTCTCCTCCGAGCAGGCTGCGCGAGCCAATCTGAGACCTTTTCCACACTCGTGCTTGATGTTGTGTTCTGACTTTGATGCTGGCGGCTGGAACCTTGCTCGGCATCAGTCGTCTCCGCAATCAGGAGCTCGATCTGCTGGTAGTTCTTCGGCTTCCTGGCGGACTTTGGTCGTCTGGGTTGTTTCTTTTCAGGACTGGCATGTCCATTGGCGAGGTTCGGAGCATCCACATCCATTGGATCACCGATTACCGGGACGTCCTGCCTCGCGGACGACCGGGTTGAGGCTCTCGAAGCCGGGCGAGGTTCTTGGGTCCGAGCTGGGATGCTCTGGTTGGAACCAGTTGACGACCGACTAGGAGCAAGGGATGGGGATCGGCCGCCGGCAAACGGCTGTATAAAAGAGGTCAGTGGACGAGGGGAGACCAGCGTGGGGGTGGAACCGAGACTCACATTCTGATCGGTGGGCTTGTTCAAGGTCGGCGGGCGAGACACGGACCTCGACCTGGATCTGGAAAGCCTCGCCAACCTAGCTGCGCTTGGTGATGCCAAGTCGGACTCACTTTCTGACGACGGTGGCTCTGGCTTGACCTGACTGGGCTGAAGGTGTGGAAGGGATGCTTCGTCATCACTGTCGGGTTCAGGGTCGGGATTGTCGGCGATGGACATTTCCCGCTTGTGTATAAACGGGGACTTCTGGCGAGCGCGGTACCCATCCACGATGCTGTTGTCGGCGATACGGAAGGGCAGCTCGTTATCCGGAACGTCGATGTCGGGCGAGGGCGAAGGTTCGACGAAGGGCTCAGTTTTGAGCTGCCTTGGACTGACTTGGTGCAGACTGCCCATACTACTTCCGGCGGCCGACTCTTGCTCCGCCGCTTCGTAACTCAAGGTTGGGGGTTGCTCTGTGACTCCGTTGGTGATGGGCAGTTGGGCGGACGGTGGGGAGCCTCGGGCTTGTTCACCGTCGGGGCTCTGGACACCGTTGGCCTTGTTGGAGCGCGACTTCTTCTTGCCCCTGTGCTTCTTCTTGTGCTCGCGAGAGGGGGCGTTGTCGGCATCGGCGGCATCGGCGGGATCGGTTGGTTCGGCGGGGTCGCTGTCCGTGTGCTTGCGGTGATGCTTCTTCCTCTTCTTCTTCTTCTTTGGCGACTTGGGGCTCGCATTGGAGGGCGGTTCGCGGTGGTTGGCGGGGGCGTCGGGCTCTGGCGTTGGCGACATCGGAGAACCAATGACCCTACCACCGCGCTGCAGCTCCTCCATGTGAGCTTCGTGCTCGCGCCGTTTGGCACGAAAGCCGTTCAGGAAGTCGGCCATGCGCGAAGGAAGACCATGCGGGCGCAAGGGGAGCTGAGTGGTCAAAGATGGGGTGGCGAAGATGCGAGAGGGGGGGAATGGAGGCGGGTCGCAAGGTGTCGCAACAGGTTGGTGAGAGAAAAAAAGCAACAAAGAAGGTGTGACAAAAGGGAAGCCTGCATGCAGCTCGGTCGCAGGTCGCAGACTGTCTCTCTCGCACTGTCAAGTCGTTTGGTTTCTGCAGCAGCGACGAGGCTGACAGGCAGTGGGAGGTTTTGCAGCCCCGCAATTCCCTTTGCTGGGCCAGCGCCCCACGGCGGAAGCCACAGGGTGCACCTAGTGTAAAAGGCAGAGCAGAGACCCGCCCGACAAGAGCCACGGCAGGCAACCAGCCGGTCAAAATGAGGTGCACTTGTGATGGTGATGACAAGAAGATGGGCGACAGAGAAGGATGTTGCGGTTGAACCCGTGTTTAACAAAAGGAATGCAGGACCAAAGCCTTGGCAGGGTTGGAAGCTCAGGGCAACGCGCCAGAGTCGCGACACGCGAGGGGAACGGGGAACCTTAATTGTGAGGGGGAACCTTTTGGAGAGAGGCACATTTGAAAGCGACGGTCTGAGTTGATTGGCCAATGGCGCCGAGGGCAGACGCGTACAAAGAAGCAAGCGTGCACAGTACCAGCCAGGTCAGGTAGGCAGGGTAGGTGTGCTTTGATGGTCTCGCTGCTGCCGCCCAAGCTCCAAGCTCCAACAAGCTCGATCCTGCCCGCCCAGCAATTGTCCAAGCAACGGCAGTCGCCCTGGTTGAAAGGTCAACTACTTGAGTTCCCAACCTTGGAAGAAAGGAAGGACCCTAGGTGCGTGCTGTCGGCAACGTACCTAAGTACCTAGGTATCACTCATTGGACCTTCCCTTCTCAGCTGCACGGCACAGGTGAGAGGACAGGCTGATCCTCCCGCCCACTTGGAAACAGGGCCCGGCCAGGGTCAAGCAAGCCTCCAAGCCTCCAACCGCGCCCGAGGTCAGCTTACTACCGATCTAGATTAAGCACAAGTTCCTGTTTCGTAACACCGAGATCTAGCATATGTGACAGTGTGTGGCTTCCCCAGGTTTGGGTGGAGATCAATGCCTGCATCCATCCATACATAGGTACCTGGGTAATATTAAGCAACAAAATAAAATACTGTGTAAAAAAATGCACTTCTTCAGAAATGCATCTGATCAGCTCCCTGGGGTGTAGACTGCCTCCTTTTTCCGCAGGGACGTTTATTAAACACTGCACAGACCAGCCTAATCACCACCCAGACTGGACAATGTCACCCCGCATACAACACTCTAAGCAGAGATACATTGGTGGTATTAATATCTCTCAGAACCAGGGGTCCTGCCCCCTTTTGGCTCCCTCGCCAGCAAGGCCTGGAGGTCCGCAACCTGCGCGGCCAAGAAACGGTTCCAAGGCCCGATGTTGGTGGCCGGCCCTGGGAGAGTCTGTCTATCGTGTACACTCGGTACTATCAACAGGACAGCTTGACTCTTTGTCTGTACTCAGTAAGTAGGTAGTCTAGTCGCACAACAACAGCCCGAGCCCGCCCCTCTGCCAGCCAGCCAGCCAGCCAGCCCGTCGCCCGCCCGCCCCTTTGGTTGGCCTCACTCGGTAGCTTCACTCAGTCTAATCTCATCTTCAACCCGCCCTCTCCTTTCTCATCAAGAGCCCTCACCCTCACCCTCACCTCACCCGTTGTTCATCTACGCCAGCATCCAAAGAAAAAAAAACCCACCCACACCTTGCACCTTGGTGAATTTCTTCTCTCCTGTCTTTTCCAATTCTAATTTTATTTTGTTTTATCTTAATCTGCTTTATTTCTCGGCTCATCCTGTTCAATCTGAGCCATGCACGTGCTCTCATAGCCAGAGCCATCCATCCACTGTCCTCCTTTCCTCTTCACACTCCCGTTGTCACCCTGCGTGTCCGTCCATGTCCAAGGCCCAGGAGAAATAGGCGGCCAACACACAATCCCACATCATGGCCTCAGGCCAGCGCGTGTCCGGTGCCGTCCTGAAGCAGCTCGTGCGCCCCCGTGCACCATGCAGGGCCGCGCATTACCATCATGCACATTTGCCGCCCAGGCGCCTGCCCATGCGGCAGTCAGACGGCACGGCACCATGCACCACCACCACCACCACCGGGAATAAGGACGCCCTGCGCAACTTCTCGACCGGGCGATCATTACGCAAAGAAGAAACTCACATCAACCACAGCACCAGCACCAGCGGCACCAGCAGCGGCGGCGGAGGGGGCTGGGGCTGGGGCAGGGGCAGGAACAACAACGGCGGCGCCCACGGCAGCGATGAGCCCTCGCTCGGCTACAAGATGCTCGAGTCGGCCGCCACATCCCTCGCCTCGGTGCTGGTGCTGGCCGTCGGCTTCGCGACCGCCGCCTACGCCTACCACAAGCTGTACAAGAGGCTGCAGCTGCAGAAGATCGCAAACGCCTTCGAGCCCGGCGACCCCGTCCTCGAGCTGGCCGCCCTGGGCAAGGGCCGCTCCTCAAAGGTCCGGCCCTCGAATGTCCACCGCAACGGCGACGACGTCGACAAGGACTACTGGGTCCACCGCCCCGAGCAGGCCCAGATCGATGCCATCGTTGGTGGCCATGAGTACGGCCACTACCACCTCCTTCTTGGGGAGAAGGGCACCGGCAAGAGCAGCATGATCATCGAGGCCATGCGCAAGATTGATGGCGACGGAGGTGAGTCTTTGAGCTGCGCACTCCCTGGGTTGTTGATTTGCCCCCTGTTCTTCTTTCTACTTCAACTATTGTGTGGGGGATCACACCAGACGCTCCAGGCCACAGCATCAAGAATTCGCTCGTAAAGGGCCACGGGTCACGACCAAGAAACAGGCGGGTGCAGTCTATGAATCCTCTTCGTAAGAACACTATCGCTACCGAGTAGGATGCACACTTGTGCAGGGCCGTTCCGCCAGTACGGCGCGAACAACTCGGAACATTTCCAATCAAGATCCAGGCTTGTTGAGGCTCTAGGGAATAAGCCTACTATTCTGTCCCGGCTCCCAGGATGATACTTCTTGTTGCTGAGACCTGGACCGAGCCTGGACCTCCCAGATCCATTTCAATTTCATACCGATAGACTGAAGGGGTTCGAACAATCATGCTAATGAGATCCAAGTCGCCATGTTCGAGGCACACTCAGACCTGGAAATCTTCCGCATCCGGCTCGGCAAAGCTTTGGACTACGAGTTCCACGAGGACTACATCGGCGGCTACTTCAGCGAGAAGGGACCACGGGATGTAAGTAACGACTTTGGTGTGAGGCTTTGATGCTGCATGGAACCGACCGTGCCGCCCAACCCGGGAAGGATGCTCTCAGGAGCCGCGGGTGGCCGTAGAACCTGGGAGATCACCTGCGCCCAGCTTGAATCAGCACCTTCTCCACTGCGGCGTGGCTAACCGATGCCCCTCAACCATAGACAACCGCCCTGCTCGACATCGAGAGGGCCCTTAACAAGCTCGAGAAGGTCGCCCTGGAGCGCCGGGCCCAGGTCGGCCGGCCCCTGGTCATGATCATCAACCAGATGCACCTCATCCGGGACGACGAGGACGGCAAGGACCTGTTCGAGCTGCTGCAGCAGCGCGCCGAGCAGTGGGCCGCCTCGAACCTGGTCACCATGGTCTTCAACTCGGACGACTACTGGGTCTACGAGCGCCTCAAGCAACTCGCCACTCGCATGGAGGTCCTGAGTGTCCAGGACCTGCCCAAGGCCCCGGCCACCGCTGCCCTCAAACGCTACCGCTCCCGCTACTTTGGCGAGAAGATTTCCGATGATCTCGCCACCCAGATCTACGATAGGGTCGGCGGCCGTTTGACCTTCCTCAACCGTGTCGCCAAGAGCAAGGACATGCTTCAGACGTGCGACGATATCAAGGAGGTCGAAAAGACTTACTTCTTGAACCAGTGCTGGATCCTCGGCGAGGAGATGGACGACGACGTGATGGACCAGCAGAAATGGGCTGTAAGTGATCGCGTCCCTGGTCTCCAGTATCATTGAGACATGTGGGCAAGCTCCGCCAGGGGCCCGCTGCCCTGTCGCACTCATCATGTCGTGGTTTTCACTCAACAACCGGCGATGAGCCTCATGACACACACCACACCAAAGCCCTCTTACGATCCCCATGAAAAACTCACGTTACGCGAACCACCCGGCTAACAACCTCCAGGCGGCAGCGATGGTCCTCGCCCTGGCCCTAGTAGACCGGGAGCGCGAGCTCGACGACGCGCAGACGTACGACCCGGTCAGGGGCCACATGCTCCCCTGGTTCCCGATGCACAAGGCCCAGGAGATCCAAACGCGCGCCGACTTTGTGCGCCAGCTCGACCGCATGAACCTCTTCACCATCACGAGCAGCGCCCAGATGCGCGCCTCCAGCGTGCCCATGCACCTCGCCTTCCGCGAAATCTGCGCCATCCCCGGGTTCCGCGATCACCTCGAGGCCACCATCGACCGCATCTCCGCTATCGAGAGTCTCGGCCGCACGAGGGAGCTGGTGGCCAAGGACCTCGTGCTGGGCGGCAAGTATGAGATTTCCAAGGAGGGCAGCGGGTGGGGTAGCAAGGCTATTGTCTCGCTGAGGCAGCCGCCCGAGGATGAGGGTGGTGACGACAAAGGTGACGGCGATAGCGATTGAATCTCCCGTGGGGCCCGTGAGCCCAGCGCCAGCATTGGCATTGGAGGCCGGGGGCCGGCCGGATCGGAGCCGGGATCAGACGGCCGTCTGACCCGGTCCGAGGCCACCGACATCTTCGCAATAGCCGACCACCACGGCAACCGCTCGTTTCCCGCAACTTGGGATCCTAATTGCCCCAGCCCTGGCACAGGAAAGCGCTAGGCTAGAGCCAAGGGTCTCACCGACAAAGGCCTTCTTCGTCACTGCCCAACGCCACGCGCCGCATCGTCGACGGCTAGAGTTGCCTAGTAGCCTGGGGTGGGAGTAGACACGAGGCTGGGCAAAATTGACTGGCGTTAGGGGCCTTTGGAGGTTTGGGCGTCGAGGCGTGAACATGCAGGCCGTCCGAGCGAGGAAGAGGGAAAAAAAAAAATCAAGGCAATAGGCGGTGAGCAGGTGGAAAGGGAGAATCCTGCTCTCGTGGACTGAACCTACCACGTGGTATTTATGTATTATATTGTGTAAGATGAACTTGAATTGTCCAAGATCCCGCGTCACCATTGCATTGCAGCTCACAAATGCAACGGTCGGCCGATGGTGGTAGGCATATTCCCTGTGCCCCGGTTCCTGCCCCTTCCCCCGAACCTTCTGTTTGTTCCAGGCACCAAATCTTGAGCAACATTGCGGATCGACAGAATACAGACAGATGTCGGAACAAAGACGCAAGGCTGCAGATGCAACGGCCGTTAGAAAAGCATGACTTCATGTACGGGGGACGCCACATCCCAGTGTCCTGGATCTCGGTACCCCAGAGGGGAGTACAGCACAGCCGGAGTCCGGAGTAAGCAGGTGTTGGAAAGGAGTATAGAACATGCATGTGTTGTGTAACACGAAAAGAAGCCTCGCAAGCCAGGCATGTTTCTGCCGGTCGGTAAAACAACCGGGGTTGTCGAGCACAGCAACAGAAGATGCGAGGGCGCAGTGCCTGCCCAAGCTGTGCCGTGCCTCTTATCTCCCCACAAGACAGACGGGCTCCCGAATGACACCTTGATGGGTTGCTGGCAAGATAATAGTACAGATCTGCAAACCGACCACATGACCGGCACCAGGGCGTCAAGGTGTCGAGGGTTCGCTGGTGTCGGACGCGGTGGTTACCTTGCAGTTTCGGATAGTCCCCGCTGTCGTGCATCGGACCATGACGGGTGGGTGGCAGGCTGGCGAGGGAAAACACACAAAAATAAATCAACAGGCTGGCAGCTTGGCGAGGACGGGCAGACGACAGCTCGAAATCTTCGTGTCCCTGCGCGCAAGTGGACAGGTGGAGCGGTGCTGGGGTCAGACCCCTCCTCCCCTCCGTTGATGCTGGCACTTGCACTGCATCAAGGGACCCTCCTGCGTGGACCATGGCGCCAGTTGGAGGGGAATTGTGAGATGTGAGATGCATGCACGGAGGAAGAAAAGATGGGTACCGAGTACAGTAAAGGATTTGACACAGAGCAAGCAGACAGGACGGAGCCCGCAGTAGCAGTAGCGGGCAAGACCCGCATCTCCTCTTTTCCAGAGGGGAGCCCATCGTCGCACCAGCATGCACATGTGGTCGACGAGCTTCGGTTCAACTGGCCGAGGATGCCAACCGCGTGCCCACCCTCCCACTCCCTGGCCACCCGCACGACTGCTGCTGCGGCCGCTAGCAGCAGCTGGAGCCTGGAGCAACTTGAAGATCAAATGCGCTCGGTTCCCACTCAATGACGGCATAGGCGTGTGTGTGCCCTTGCTCCAGTCGGGACCCGCTTGTCCTTGCTGCAAGTGTGCGCAGTGATGTGCAGCCACAGCACCGCGACTTGGGGCCGCGATCCATCCTGTTGCGTCCTGCTGGCGCTGTTGGAGTCCAACATGTCCACTGTCCCAGAAGCACGGGTAGGCAGTGCGCGTACGCAGTGCGTGGGATTGTGCGATATCGTGCCCGGACGCCAGCCAGCCCGCCCTGCCCAATACCGGATTAGACCCCATTTGTGCGTGGGCAAAGGCCATCTTCCTCGTCAATCAGTGGGGACGATACGCGTGCTGAACGGTGACTGAGTCGGTCGACCAGAGTCCTGAAGCTGAGATTCGGCCCCCGCATGCAGAAACCGGATGTTGTTGGCGAGGCACGGCACGGGATGTGGCGAAACAAAGAGCGACTCCGACCGACGAGGGCTTGGGGGCCGGAGGTGCCTGCAAAGCTCCACGTCGCACGAGTCAACCTCAATACTCCGTAGCGTGTCAGTAGTGCAGCACCACCGACCGACAAGACTCGTCAAAAGCAGCCGCGTTGCTCATCCTAATCAGAGAGGCGCGCGTGTGTCCACGGGGTGACGGGTTTGCTTGTCGGCTGCCTGCTATCTGACTTGTTCGTGAATGGGCCGTGATCGCAAGCGCCGATCGGCAGACCCAGTAATCGTACCGCTGGTTACCGCCGGTCTTCAGTGGCACCTTTCTCCCGGAATTCCCATCACAATAGTGTAGCCCCTAATGAAGAGCCCGCGCTACGAGTTCTTACCATAAGTATCGTGGGCGGGCCAACATGCGTGGGCGGGAAACTAGACAGAGTGCATAGGATAGGATTGCGACAGGCCGGAGGTTCACTTGCCGGTGAACGATGTAACCTACTTGTAGTTGTTTGCTCATCTCGTGTTGCGAACGGGAGACATGCTGGTGTTGAGATGCCCTCGACATTTGGGTGGTTTGAGGGGACGGCATCAGGCAAGCGCTGGCTACCATGGACGAGCCGTGATGGATAAATGCATAACACCAAATATCGCACTTGCTGGAAGTTGGCCGAAGTACAGCCCTGGTACCCATCGCGATTATCCTCAGATGACCTATACTGAGTATGGCGTAGTGTCTGAGCCAGGTGGGCTGGCCTGAGTAGCGGCTTGGTTATTGGCCGACGTACCAAGGCATTGGAAACTGTAAAACCCAGTCGCCCCCTCCCTCGTGCATCACGGCCCATGCTATGGTTACATGACCACGACAAGCAGCAGTTCGCCAGCTATCGCTTGCTGTTCCAAATTCCGCTGCTATTAGGTCGTTCGGCAACGCGCCGTGCGTAGATCATGGGATTCTCGGCGTAAATCTATTTCCAATTCTCAACTTAACACGCGCCAATCCCTCACCAAAACCTGACCTGACTGCCAGACAGCCAGACAGGTTCGGTCGCGAGCGCGGGAAACGGTCAGAGCGCTCACATGGTCGACCGAAGCGGTTAGCAGTTGGGTTTCGTGGCCGGCAAGGCATTGACAACAGGGTAGAGAGGGGCTGGCGCGCACAGATGCTGGCTTCGAAGCTGTTGAGGTTCGAGTGGAGCCGTCGGTCCCGTCGGTTCGCCCCGTTTCCGTCAATCGCAATTATGGGAGACGCTCGACCCCTCCTTCCCGCCCGTCTGGGTATAGGGTGGTCCGAGCCCAGCATGTGCGAATTTGAGAACGTTCCTGGAGGTGCTCTGGCGGTCTTGTGTAAAGACGGAGGCTGAATGCGTGCGGGCTCACATGTGTCGTGACTCGCTCTTCTTCGACCATGTGTTGGTGTTTCATGAGTGCTGCGGCCGGTCAGCAGCACGGGTTTCTCCACAGCTTTTCCCGCCGCTACGCGCTGGAAATGCTGTCAGGCTGTCAGCTGCAGAGTAGATCGCATATGCCAGCCAGCCAGTAGTATGTCGAGTGGTGATCCGACCCCATCTTAGAGAATTATTAGTGTACATGTTTCCCAGTGAAACAGACTGGGTCGCTGAGCTGCAGTGAGCCGCGGCGTGTCCAAGCCTTTCCCCTTTGGGCAAGCCGACCCAGTCACACACAGAGCTGTCCTTCCCAGCGCGCTGGGGGACGACGCGGAATTATGTAGTGCATCTATACTCAAGATTTCTGCCTTACTTCCACCCGATGCTGGATGATCTGTACGCACGCATCAGGGGCGCCGGTCCACAGGGATCGATATGTCGACAGTTGTGAGATGAGGGCCTTGGCAGCTGCTTTTTCGTGGTTCCCCGGAAAATCGAAGAAAAAAAAGCAAGTGAGGCGACCGACCATGCCCGTTGCAGGCCCTGCCAGGACGATTAGCTCTAGATCAGGGTCCAGTTTCCTTGAAAGTCCCGGCCGCCCGTGCCAATGAGCCATGACGTCTGGTCAACGGTCGTCGGCCAGCTTCGCTCAAAATACGGTACAGTACGCACATGGGCAATTGCCGTCATAAATGCTCGAATGCCATCACGAAAGAGAAGCCCGAGGAAAACCCAATTCGGCTCCCGTTCGATGTTGACCGCACCCCCTCTGTCAATGCGGCTTTGTACCGCAGTACTACTATCTTGGGGCGGAAGCTAGGATCCGCCCTGTTGGTGTCCTGCACGGCGTGGGGGCTCGTCATGCCACTGCGTTGGGCTTCTCGCGTCCTTCGTCATCGGCAGCGGCAGTCATATTGTTGGTGACCAATGCCGCATAGCTTTGAAGGCCCAATCGCCAGTCATGAGGATGGGTTCTCAATAGTTTGAGATCAACGACGCAGGACTCTGCAACAGTTGCTTAATCGAGGGCGGACTGGAGCGGTGAGCGTGCTGCAGGCACCGTCCTTTCTGACATCCCACCGATACTCTTGAAGCTAGGAATATCCCAGTTGGCTACCATCGGTCTAGACTTGCACATAACCGATCTTGTAGAACCATGCAATGACGGGCAAAGTCGATCGACAGATGGCGCCCCTCGGTCCGTCAAGCCCTAAATATCTGGCTAGTCCCCAGCCATCTCTGACTTGCCCTGTGTTCGCAGCGGCCAGCACCAACACTACAAGACAAGTAGTGCCGTGTGGAGGGCTGGTGACCGCTAATGGCTGGTCAGTTGAGCAGTCGCTGCCGACCTGGCCATTTGTCCTGTTCAGACCAGCTGCATGAGATGAGGCTTTCGTCCAGCTGACAAGGAGAAGGACTAATCGACGAGCCCTCAGAGCACACAGGCGAATAGGTAGCCTCAATTGCTGTTTGTTTGACTAGGTCGATCCCAGAACAGATTAGCCCGGAGTCAAGGCCGATCCGAACGTGCTGTAAGCTCCGCCGGGCCGCGACTAGCCAGGAAGACGGTTGTTGGGCAAGACCGAGTGACATCGGTAATGGTCGGTCGTCCTGATGCAGGTGCATATTTACTCGGCCGACTCTGTATGGTGAAAGGATTGTACTGTGTAGAGTTGATGCAGTCACAATGTGATGCCTTGGTTCAAGGCACGGAGTCTCCGCAATGGTGTGTTCCGCCGCTTTGGGTGCTGCTTATTAGTGCTGCCAGCGGATGAAGCACGAGTCAAGCTGTGTGATGACAGGAGTGGGATCCTGGGATCCCCATCCGCGTGCACCAGATGGCCCGAAAAAAAAAAGTTGCCAGTCCGATGGCTGGACACAAGCATCCCTTTCTATTTGATGCGAGACTTGGAGGCTTGTGGCACTGCATGTTGCGGCAAAGGCCCTGATGAGGTGAACAGGCCAGCACTCCAACTAGTGGGCAGGAGGTGACGAGGACAGACATGTTGTTTCTTGTCTACGATCGCGATGTCCACCCCCTTCAGGGTGTTCGGTAGTCATTTGGTCCCAGCATATTACTACTGTGTCTGGTACATGACACATCACATTCCGGAGAAAAGCCGCAGGCTATACCTTGATTTCACATCTTCCGGACGAAAATCCATTGCTGGCCAAATGCCGCGATCCTGCGTGAGATGCGACATGGCGACGAAGCAAGCTGGCTGCAGCCTCATCTGCCAATTCTCAGTTGTGCGGTGAGCGAGGTCGGGTCCCACTCACAGCCTGAGACTGCAAAGTTGCTCCTAGGTTGCCCTTCTAATATTACGACGGAAGCCAGCCAGGAGGCCTTGGCCATAACTCAAATCTCGGGGCGTGCTGCGGTTGATCCAGTCAGGCGTGGCGGCCTCGCATGCATGCACATCGGCCTGTTCCAGAGCGCATTTTCGGACGGGTGCCCTGCAGGTCGAGAATGGTTGTGGCGCGCGCCAACATAGGCATCTACCAGTCCCAGCTGGCACGGAAAGAAGAGAGGGTGAGTCGGGGATGCGACTCTGGTCATCCGGTGCTGTCGTCGTCTGGAACTACCACGACGTTGTGCCACCTCAGCATGCGGTGCCGTTTAGAATATAGAGGAGCTCTTTTGAAATGCTGGTTCTCGTGCACAAAGTTGGGAGGAGTGATATCATGATACATGGAACTTTTTGCAGCACGTCACACCGCGTGGAAGGCCGAGGCGTCGAGTCAGTCCGGAAGAAGGTATGGGCAGAGAGAGAACCTCTGAGGCTGCAGAAAGCCCAAAGTTGAAAGCTGGGCTGTCTCACGGGTCCCGCAAAAAGGAGCTGGTGCGTTAGTGATGATCTGATCCTTCCTGATAGGAATGGATCAACTTTGAATGAGAGAAAAACGTTGTGGCAGGCCGAGAGCGTCTGAAAGACGTGGTTGGAAGGGCGCGCCCCGCCGTTGATGCACTGAGTTGCTGTCACCGAGGTTCCCTATGGGGTCGAGTTTCGGAAACAGGGCGGTACTCCTGGCAGGCACATCCACTGGAGCTTGTCTCTCTGGCGGTGCCGGGTCGTCTATGGCACCGCCCATTGGGGTGTTCGCTGAGAGACAAAGACATAGCGAAACCGTCGCCAAAGCTCCTGCAAATGCCTAGCTACCCAATGCAGAAGATGTGTCACAGTTCGTGCCCCAATGAGCCCCGAATCGTGGCCTAGGGACAGCTTGCTCCGGGAGGACTGTTATCCGTGGCCCGCCCAGCTGTAGTGTATTGTACGAGTACACTACTGCGGTAGAGGCTCAGTGGGCTCGGGCATGGCCACCTGGGCAGCGCACGGAGCGGAAACTGCACCGATGCCTTGCCATCCTGCCATCTCGTTGGGAGGGTCGCGCACCCTGGTCGGTGGGGCCATCTCAGTCTGCAGCGGAGAGGGAGGGTCTTGCATGAAGGGGTCGATGTAAATCTACGACAAGCATTAGCACAGCCAATGGAGGACTAGGTGGGGTTGGATGGGGGAGGCCACAGGCTGTCTCTACCGCGTGTGAGTGCGTTGAATGTGTGCTGCGAGAGACTGTAGCACGTACATTGAGCGACAGCGTTGGGCCAGACATGAAGTGCTCTCTCGTGGGTCTCCAGTTCAGGCCTGCTCTTGTCGACGCGGCTGGTGTTAATTGCCATGTCGGGCGGTCTCGGGCTGGGCGAGTGAAGGGCCATGGAGAGAAAGTTGCATGACATGGCGTCGCGTGACATTGCCCCGAGCGATGAATCAGTGCTCGGACGATGACTGATTCCCAAGTCAGGTACGCTTGACCGTTGCCTGTCACGGTCTGCCTCTTTCTGCCCGGCACGCACGACTGCTCGATGGAGAGTGTTTAGCCGGCAACCCTCGATTGACCCTGGATCACAACACACTATGTAGTGCAGTCATGGTACATGTCCTCCACATGGAAGATCCGCTGGGTCAAACGGGTCCAGCGAGCAGTGCTTGGCCAGATAGAGGCTACCTCTTTGAGGAACAGAGACAGCCAGTCAGTCAGTCAGTCAGCCTCGGGTATTTTGACAGTGTCCATATCCGAGGCCTAAGCTGGAACGAGAACGTCGTGCAGCGTAGATCATGCGGCCAATAACGTAGCGTTCGATCTAAAATGCTCCAGGTGTGGATGCCAAGCGAAGGCGGTCGGCACGGTCCAAGGGCCTGGTCACCCCAGTCACTGTGCTTGACGTGATGAGAACGAGGATGGGAGGATTTTGGCTTGCACGTGTTGACCGAGAACCTGTGTCTTCTTTGGTCCTGGGTCAAATTAGAGTTGGCGGGAAATATAATTGTCCATGGCCGGTGATGGAGAAGGAGCGTGGGAGGCGTGATGGTTAATGGTGTCGTGCATTGGGGCTGGTGCTACGCTGTTGTTTCGCTAGCCCCAGAATGAACCCCTCGTCGCTGAAGAGATTTTTTGCCTTCCTCTGTCAATGGCCACTGGACGATTGGAAGTCAATTGCTGACACACTGGAGTCGTGGTTAGTCGATTGCAGCCGTTGCGGGTGCCGATGGAGAAAGAGACTGGAGCCAGCCCCAGAATGACCGGAGTGACCAGAGTGATATGAGTGACATGTGGTGGCCCGTGCACCCGATGGTGTTGCTCTCCCTCCTGCCCTCTCTCTGCCTCTCGCTCTCTGTGTCTTGCAGGTCACACAAGACACACCACCTGAGGTGCATGCCCGTTTTGGACAGCTGGGCCCTTTACAACAAGCAAGTTTGCACGGTGCATCCTGAATCCATACACTACTTCCTGCAGCGCAGCTTGCAGCTCGCAGCTCGCAGCTACCAGACACTCACTACATAGTAGAAAGGGACGCACAAAATTGCAGGACACCAGGGCAGAGCGGAACGGAACAGACGAGCCCGCTTGCATTTGCTCTGCCAGCTTCACCATTACGATAGGGCATGCATGTACGGAGTGCTTTGTACGGGACAAGCGAGATGGTGTAGATGGTCAACGGTCGACCGTCTCCACACGCAGGAAGGATTGGAGCACAGACTGCAATCGGAGTACGGTCATGGTGAGCCACCGTCGCACGGCGGACCCCACTCACTCACTCTCTTTCCCTTGCAATTGCACTTGCACTTGCACTTGCTCTTGCTCCCCCACTTGGTCTGGGGCGACTTATTACTTGCTCCTGCACTTTGCGCCTGCGCCTGCACCTGCACCTGCGGCCTGCACCTGGGGCTCACTCTCCCGTGCCCTCTGTCGCAGGGGACTGAAGCAGCTTGCCTCGTCGCCTAATCGTCCTGGCAAAATGCAAGCACCACCACCATCACCAACATTGTCGGCGCCAACCTTGAGGGGTCCCCTGCTGTCCTCGCCTCTACCCACGCATCATCTCCTGGGATTTGTGGCCAGCTGACGAGTCTGGAGTAGCAGTCGGACCCCTCGTATCAATTGCAGTGTGTCTGAGTGTCCATCCATCTCTATCCAAATTGTGGGCTGTGGACACACACACAATACGGTTACGGCCAACAGAGGAGCCTCTCCCACTCTCTCACCCACACCTTTCCCCCACCATTTGCTGGGTGATATCGACAGACCCTGTCCCTTTCTCCATCCAGCACTGGTCCAATCCCCGTCCGCCGGCCCATGATCAGCAGGCCACCCCTGCTTGCCCGCTGTCTACGGTCTAAATGAATCGCGCCCAGGGCCTGACGCTGTCAGTCTGTGGGCAGTCGTTACCGACATCTCTCTATCCCGTAGATTGATCGTCTGTCTGCCATGTCTGCCATGGATCCCGACCCCCCATGCCCTAGTCGAACCCCCATGCCCACGACACGATTAGACACTACCAAGCTAACACACACACGTACACAGCTCAAAGCACACAGCTGCCCATCTTGACAGGGGCAGGGAAGCTGGCACTCGCGATGGCACCGGCAGGGACATGGGAAGCTTGAAGAATGGGTATGGACCGGGGCTCAGGAGGGGGGCGGCACCCTCTCAACACCACAGAGGAGAAATAAGACCTACTCTCTCCACCTCCCCTCCAACCAGACTACGACCACTCCGACAAACCCCTCCATCCCGCTGCCTGTGAGACTGTGGTTGACTGACCCATCGCCGCAATATTCAACCACCTCTCACTCCTCCTTGTCCTCATCCTCATCCTCCTCTTGCCTTGTGTCACCTACGTGGTCACGGGCTTCCTCGAGACTCCTCTCCTCTGCATCAGTCTCGGCCATTTCCCGACCCCTTCTCGCTCTATCTCTCCCTTTCTCTCCCTCTCTGTCTGCTGAGGGCTCAGCTCAAACGGTCGCTTGCTATCTCGTAGGTGGCCTACATCACGAGGAGAGAAGAGTCAACTCCTCTCCTCACCAACTTGCTGCTGTGTGTATCTCTGTGTCTGTCTCTGTGTGTACGGGTGCGTACGTGGGTGCGGCACGCCAGAGTGCATGCATTGTGTGGAGGGAGGCTGAACGGAGCCGAGTCGAGTCGAAGCGAGGCCGAAAACTCATGCTTGGTCGCTGGCTGCTTTGACTCTCATCGTTCCTTGGTTGGCCCATCTCTTGTTTGAGACTAAACACACACATACACCCCCACAGCAGGTGAGCACTTGACGCCTGACGCCTGCCGCCTGTCGCTTGATGTTATTATCCGACAAGCCGTATACATACAGTACTTACTGTCTGTCTCCCTGCTCGCCGACACGGGATTCCCTGCTGCTGGATCGTCGACTCCTCACTTGCTCCACAGTATCCATGCACATCCCGAAGTCTTGCCCGTCCTGCTCCCGCGCTCACAACCTATAGCTCCCAGGGCCCGGACAGGCATATCGTGATCGACCACCCAACAACGTGTGCCACCTTTCCATATTTGAGCGGCTCGACTGCATCATCCATCTGTTATCTCCATTTCCGCTCCCTGCATCTCTTCTGCCACATACCCAACCAGTTCCACCTATCACCCACCACCCGCGGTGCCTCACTTAAGCTCAACTTCAACTTCAGCCTCAACTCAACCGCCGCCCGGAGCACCCCCTCGCCATCTCGCCTCACACCACGCTCGACCACTTCGAGAACCAGCCCTCTGTCTTCTCGTTGGCATGCCCAGTCATTCCACCCCGGAGCTATGGAACATTCCCTTCATCTTGGTGCCCAAGATAGGATCTTGTCGTGGTCAGCGTCCAACACCGTCGGAAGCCTGGACTCAGACGAACGCAACCATATGATACTGCCACAATCCCCCCCATGGATGGACGCCCTGCATCATATCCACCCCGCCTCCATCTCGCATAACACCACAAGCTCGTCTTGCGCCTCCGCTCCTCCGTCCGCATCGACTGCGTCCTCGGCCACCGTACGACACCCGTTGAACGGCCAGTTGTCGCCCATCAGCACTGGCATGGACATGGCTGTTGGCCACTCACATGACGACGGGCAGTGTCCCTCCACCGCAGAATCGGCCACCGCTCGTCCCATGTCTCAGTCAGAGTCGTCGTCCGTCGCAGATTCTTGGAGCATGATCTATGGGGAGAATGCAGAGGATGTCAATGTGACCCATGCTGTGGTGGATCAAGACGTGCATTGGGACCAAGGGTCCGACGACGACGTCGCCGTTCCCAAGGTTGAACCCATGGATGAGGACATCCGTCTCGACGAGATCAAGGAGGCCCCTCCGACCCCTGTTCCAAGCAACACCAGCCCGACATCAGCCCAGCCAAAAGCCAAGCGGCCTCGTGGGAGACCGCGCAAGCATCCCCTCACCCCAGTCGTCGCCACCAACAAGATCACAAAGGGTCGGTCCAAGACCGGATGCCTGACCTGCAGGAAACGCAAGAAGAAGTGCGACGAAGCAAAACCTAGATGTACGTCACGACATCCTTTGGGTCCCCCCCCCTGTTTGCAACCTTTCTGACCACGCCTGGCAGGCATGAACTGCGAGAAGAATGCCGTTGTCTGCGAAGGATATCCCGAGAAGCAGATATGGAAAAGCGGCAAGGAAAAGGCTGCCGAAGGTATTAGACGAGATCTGTGGAACCATGCCTTCGCAGCGCTGACGATCCTTTCCAGGTAGCTTGAGCCTCAGCCAACCACTACCAGTGATAACGATGCAGCCCATATTCCACGGGCTCGAGAATGCCGAGGACATGATTTTCTGGAAGCACTACCACGCCCATTTGAGCACGGTGCTGACGGTCGAGGGCGAGCACAAGAACGCGTTCAAGGATCTGCTCATCCCAATCGCCACTAAGCATCGCGGGCTCATGCACTCCATCCTCGCCCTCTCAAGCAAGCACCTCGACTTTGAAACACCGTACGGCGCAAAGATTCTGACGGACAACCCAAATACGAGTCTCGATGCCCTTCAGCAGCGATCTGACTTCCACCATGAGAAAGCAATGGAGAAATTCTACGAGGATCTTGCGCGGTCAGGTGCAAATTCGGACAGGGGTGACAACGAGTACTCAACGATATTGTCTGCTCGGTACGGCCAGATGATGTGTTTGCTCCTTGAAGCTCTCGCCGAGGGCAACCCCCGCGGCGAGCACCGGGTCCATCTTGGAGGGTACCAACGTCTGATCCAGCACTCGCCGCCCGAGGACCCAGCGTTCCTGAGCTTTATCACTGAGTTCTTCCAATACCACATCTTCGCCGACGAGCTTGTTCGTTACCCCGACATGCACACTCCACGTCTGGCATCCGAAGACTGGACACCCAGCGTCTCCATCCACCCGCCTCGGCTATTGGGCGTTGCCGATGGCCTCTTCAAATACCTCTGTCAAATCACATCGCTCAGGAACACAATCAGGGCCAACATGGCTGCCGGGGTGGAACCAGCTGTTGATTACACGGGTCTGTACCGAGCTGCCGAGATCGACGCGGCGATCCGGGACTGGACGCCGTCATGGCCCCCCGGGGATAGTCGAGACCGCGTTGGTCTGCTGTACAAACAGATGATGTGGGTGTACTTGTTCCGGACGATATATCCACCGTCGCCCATGTCCCCGCCGCCTTCGTCAACGTTACCGCTCCTCCACAATTCGTCGGTTCTTGGCGGCTCGACCAACACCCCTCCACGGTCCGCAAACAACAGTTGCGCCTCATCACCTTCGATGCGGCCGCGCACCTCCGCATCCAACATCCCGCATCAGCCCGTACGCCGACACACCATCGCAAACTACACCATGTCCCAGGTACCCCCGCCAATCAAACATCACCAGCACACTTCCAGTCTAGAGTGCCACTCATACGTCGCCGAATCCTCGCCGCCAGTTCGTCAGCCGCCCAACTACGACCCTCGCGTCACCCTCGCTGTAAATGAGTCCCTCAACATCCTTGAAACGTTCAAGCCAAGCGATCCCTCGCAGAAACTCCTGTTGATACCGTGCCTTGTGATCGGCACGGCATGTTTTGCGCCGGAGCAGCAAGAGAGAATACGGACGGCGGTGAGAACCGTCAAGGGATATACGGGCTTGCGGAACACTGAGAGGGTCACCGAGCTTCTAGAAGAAGTATGGCGGTGTATGGAGCGTGGTGAGTGGGTGCGCGTCTGGGACTGGCAGGCCATTGCCAAGGGCATGGGTTGCGATGTGCTATGTTCGTGAGTGCATCGCGACTCATGCTGGAAGAACCCTTGGTCCGGTCCGGCTTGGGTGAGGTCTTGGTCTCGTGGAAGCCAGCTTCGACACCTCTGCCTCTGGCACGTAGGCTGTTCAAGCCTGTGGGCTCACCTTTGTGCAGGTCACAGCTTATGCACATCATCGAGGTTGTGATGATGGGAAAGATAGCCAGCCGTCCCCCATTCGTTTCTTTCCACCTTCTGTTCTTTGATTTACTCTCATTCTCGTGTACCTTGGCCAGGCCTGTATCCCGCTCGGTTCAGGCTTTTCATATACCCCGTTTCGCTTCCAATTGCTTCGGCGCGAAGGTTACCACGACCTTGCTATCTCGGACCTCGAATGCTTGGCATGTTGTGTGGCTGGTGGGGGACACTTATCGATGGAATTTGGGGACGGGTAGCGTTGGGTCACTTCCTTGTTTTGTTTTTCGTCCAGCATGTGCGGCGTATCTTGGTTTGTCTCTTTTTTCACCTGTGTCTCCTCTGTCTTGTTACACATATCCACTGTTCAGCATTCGGAGTTCAGTTTATCCGGGCACAATGTAGGCTCAGGACAGGGCGGCTGCTGTTGATTTTATTTCCGTGTCTGTTTGTTTTCTGTTCCATATTATTTCCTGTTTATATACTTTCCTCGCATCTACGGAGGCGCCATTAGAGGACGGCGAGGAGGGGGTATGTGACGTGCGTTTGGAGTAGTTTATCACTCAACGGGGCCGGGCTGAAATGGAAAACACTTGCCGGGCTGCTCGGAAATATTTCCGATGCCTCGGCACCCAACACAACACTTTGTCTCTCTCATTTCGAATTAGTGATATGTTTCATGACCAGTCGTAGCTGACCACGACATCACGGTAGCTACAATGTCTCAATCCATCCCAAGCTAGGTAAGCATAACCATGATGCTTGCCTCCGAATCGTTGTGAACAAGTGGGCATTACATGCATCCACAAGGTCCTATTCTAGCGTCATACCTAGGTATCCTATCAAGCATGCTGAGGGCATAAATTCCACGATGAGGCACAACCTCTACTATGATTGCAGGGCAGGACACACTCAAGTGGTCGGCGTACCTATGGGCCGCAGATATTCCTCGTGACAGCCGGTGAAAAGGGCCGACGCAACCAAAATTGCTTCGAAGTGACGACATGTGAAAAGGAGCATTAGGCCCTTCGCGACGATACTCCGCCAGTATCTCGTTGTTGATGGCATCCTAGTAAATCCCCCGCTTAACGCAACGGAGAGCCCAAAAGGCGCCCTTGGTTTTACGCTGCCCCTCGCACTCATAAGTGTAGCGCAAGCATGCCGCCATGTCTACCACGGGTCGCCGAGAGTGATGATAGGGATCCCATCCCGCTCGGGGATGTCCTCCCATGTTATGAACAATTGCGAAGTGGCAGGGTACAATGAATATAAATCCGGACGAAGCGTCGCCTAGCAAGTGATGTTGCGAATCTGTAGCGGGTGGCCCATCAAGATAAGCGCACTGCGGACAAGTCTTAAGGTTGCAGCGGTTCTAGGGATTTCAGCCCGCCCGCACAGCACTGTCATAGTTGGTTTGTCAAGTTCATGGTCTCTGTCATTGTGCGGAAGCTTCGTCGTGGCGTTATCTCTTGGGTCATTAAAAAAGGTCGCATCACCTGCAGGTCCGACAGTAGAACCCCCCTGCTCGTTATCGAGCAGCTCGACTGGCCATCTCTTGAGTGTTTACGTCGCAACCGCATGCCTGTAACGAGGTTTTAAAGTTGATGACCTGGTCGTTGAGGACTACGAAAACCTGTTGCGGTTCTCGAGTGGCTGGCTTTTGGGTTTGGTGTGCTACTCCGGTCCTTGTCTACCGGGGTGGGAGCTAAGACGAGTCCCAGCCCAGGTGATCATTTGGAAGACATGTTGATTCGGACAGGGGAACAGTTTCTCCGTTGAGGTCTAAAACGCATTCATTGGCTGTATGCAATCTCTCCGGCTGGGCAGGCCGTCGTCGGATGTGATTTGTCTGCGGGCAGCACTGAGTTGCTGGGAATCTGATGGAGTGATGCAATCAGGTCGAGTGACTCTGACCACCAAGTCTTTGGATAAATGTTGCTTGAGCTTGGTTTGAAAATTTTTCAAGGGAACAGGTTTCTTGTTTGGAACAAGATCGTGCCACAGAAGCTCGAGGTTCTACAAGTGTTGCGTTGAAGATGGCCCGCGCTATGTGAGATGCATCTGGTAGAGACTTGTGTATGTTTCAACCCTCTTCCACAAATCTCACAGATCAGATACCGGAGACTACAAAGTAACTGTATATCGTATTATAACTATTGTTATCGGCATCGTATTCTTTCCAAGCGCTGGGTCTTGAGTGCTTACCACCGTATGAAGGCGCCATGTATGTCCTCGGACGTATACGGAATAGAAGCGAAACCACACACAAAGTAACTGTGTACCTAGGTACCTATAATTCATCCGGCCTGCACTGTGGGATGTTCAACGGCTACGGGCAAACGTCATTCGCTGGGCGGGCAGACTGATCGAGCCGCATTGCTACTACTAGGTATTATGCTTGCATCCTGCGCTAACCTCCATTCGCATTCGTTTTCACTCTATTGTGGCATTGTTAGGCCGCCGGCGCAATCCAATGCCTAGCCCCAAGCCTTGCCGTCATCCATCAGTACCTAGGTACTAAGTACCTAGTTACATATGTCAGTTATAAGAACTTGAAGGGTGTCTGAGCAGACAGACTGCGACAAGATGATCCCAATTCATATCTTCGATAATATCTTTACTCTCAAGCCGAACAAGAGCCATCAGCACCCATTTGCCCACTCGTCAGCCATTCGTAATCAGCGTGGAATGTTTCAAAATGGTCGCCCTTGACAAGGTTCAGCAGTCAAATGCTCAGATCACCACGACCTACCCGACAGGTCTAGTTGCGGTCTTTGCTGGCGCCACAGCGGGGATTGGCGAGACCTCACTCCGCGAGTTCGCAAGGCACACACACAGGCCTCGGATATACATAATCGGACGCTCACAAGAGGCCTGCGGCCGTCTAGACGCAGGCCTCAAAACTGTCAACTCGGAAGGCCAATACATCTTCATCAGGTCCGACATCAGCCTGCTCCGCAATGTCGACGACGTCTGCAGGCAGATCAGGGACAAGGAGTCAGCCATCAACGTGCTATTCATGAGCCAGGGGACACTTAACTTCAGCAAACGTGGGTAAAGAAGCTATATTCATTGCGCATATGATTGATCACGAGGCTAATATGTCCACAGAGACGGAAGAGGGCACGAGCTACCTCATGAGCCTGACCTACTTAGGACGAATGCGGATGGCCAAGAACCTACTTCCAAATCTGCAGCGGGCGACCGGGCTGCGGCGCGTTGTCTCCTCCTTCACGGGCGCCAAGGAGGGCAAGGTGTACGAAAATGACTGGCAGGGCAATGAAGGCAAGCTCCCATTCACAGCCGCACGAGGTCACGGGGCAACAATGATGACACTGGGTCTTGCCGCGTTGGCGAGGGAGGCTCCGACGGTCTCGTTTGTCCACGCATTCCCGGGAACTGTCAAGACAAACATCATCAGAAGCGACGATGGTGCCATCTTGAGGATCGTAGACTTCGTCTCCAAGACCTTGTTCTTCATGACTGGGTATACGCCCATTGTGGAGGTCGGAGAGAGGCACACATTCTATTGCACAAGCGCGCGTTTTCCTCCCAAGAAAGGTGCAGAGGATCTAGGCTCAGCGGGAGTAGGTTTACCTGCTGGTGTGAATGTTGCGAACGGTGTAGATGGAAGTGGCGCCAGTGGTGTCTACTCAGTAGACACATACGGCGAGAGTGCCGATGCAAAGATCGAGGAGCTCCTTGCAGAATACACGAGTGATGGGACGGCAGACAAGTTGTGGAGATACACTGAAAGCGAGTGGAAACGAGTCACGGGGGCCTTGTCTCTGGAGGGCTGAGTTCAATATTGACAGCCTGGGCAGAGCGAGTGCATATCTAGACCGTGTTGCTAATCCTCTATTGATTCACAAGTCAATTCTCATATTTGGCACAATGCCATGTGACGCTTCCAAGGTTCTCACTCACTTGAATGCCGACCAAGTAGAGCCCCAAGGTTGCTAGTCGTCTTGTGACTTGCATGCCCAGGTGCTCGCCCTTCTGGCGTTCAATTGTCGGGGAATGAGTGGCATATAGCTCTGCATATGACACTGGCTTTATTCAGTCAAGCGCGTCTGCGGGTTGCAACCCGGCCAGGACTCATCTTTGTCCGACAGCTAGCATTATCGCAAGCGAATCAATCGATCGAGCAGCATATCAGCGAGGTGCGCTAAACCCCTTGTGCAGCAAATGGTGGCTAGGTCTTTGCCGTCAACGGCCACAGCTCTTGATATAAATGCACCAACTCAAGTGTCGCCTCACTTTTACACAAGAGAGACATGGTCATCACTCACATCTGACCCAACTGAGACGAGAAGGTTGTTATGGCAGCCCCAAATGAGCCCTTGTTTTCCCTGCATCCCGTAGTCGAAGGAGACATTCCGACACTGACCGCACTGTCCGGCCTCACCTTCGACAGCGACAGACACACGCAACTCAAAGCAGCCCATCCGACCAAGCCGTATGACCACGCAGCCGGAACTCCTGATGCTATCATGCACTGGCTCAGCCTGCCTCAGAAAGTAGAAGTCACCAAGGCAGTCGACAACGCGACCGGTCAGATCGTGGGCTGTGTCGGCTGGGTGTTCCGAGGTTTCGACAGAGATCCCAGCGCGACGGGCGCGGCTGCTGAGAACGCGCCAGAACCTACCAAGCCGCCTGCCCACTCGGTGTCGTCGGACTACGCCAAGACCGGATCAGCGGACCTCGACCCCCTGGAGCAGCTACGTGGGCTCACGGACGACCACTTCGCCCGGTTCATGAGAAAGATCATGCCCCCGGGTACGCGATGCATGTTCATCGCCGGCATCCAGGTGCACCCTGAGTATCAGGGAAGAGGCATCGGGCGTGCCCTCGTCCGGAAGGGCACCGACCGCGCGGATGTTGAGGGGGTGATATGTTGGGTACACTCAAGCGAGGCCGGGGCGGTGTTGTTCCCGAAGTGTGGCTTTAAGGTCGATGAATCTCTTGAGATTGACCTGGACGAGTGGGCTGGAAGAATGGATATCAGGCCACCGGCGGGTGATGAAAGATGGGGGCAGTACACGTTCAGGTATTTTGTGAGGCAACCTCATGCGTCCTGACATATGAGACAACATATGCGACTGTCATCAACAACGTTGCTAATTCACTCATTGTACAACTTATGATCCCTTGGCCTCTCCATCCTGATCCCTGCAACACGCTGTTGTTCACCTGGGCACTCAGGCCGTGTCATTCTCATGGAACACCAACGCCCTGACCTCAATGCTCTCCCGAGCAGGAACATCCTCCCTGTCAGTGTCCGGATCCACAAATGCCGTGTGCGGCACCCGCCTTGCTCGCCCGTCCGTCTTGGAATCAAAGCACTTGATAAGCAGCACCTCCTCCGGGGTCAAGCCACTCTTGTAATACCACCGATGCGCCTCATTATACTTCACCGAGAGCGTCTCGCCCCTGCGCGGCCTCGGTTTAGTATATATCAGACCAATGGGGACGAGATCGGAGTCAGGCACGGAATGGGCGTCCGCGACGGCAAGAGGGTCTCGGAGCACAGTCGAGATGGGTCGCCACACGTTGATGATCTGCATCCGGCCCTTGAGCAGCCGGCCGGACTCATCCGGGAGGTGGTGCGGGACTCTCGAGAGCGAGGCGGAGTAAGATTGGTCTATGTGCACCCGCTGGACCGGCCCTCTCAGGCTGCGGGATGCTGTGTCGCCGCCGCCGTAGGGCAGCTGGCGGCGGATGGTGTGGTCAAATATAAAGACTCGGGTTGCTCCGGTCCTAGATAAGAGTAATTCATCAGTCGACCAAAGGTCTCAATGTGTGTCTCATGGGCACTTACACGTCCTTGAGGAGCTGCTCGGTCTCCTTGTAGTACCCTTGCTTGATCTGCTCGTCATCAAGGAAGTCTTTCTCATTGGCAACGTGCCCATGGAACTGGAATCCATTTCTGTCGAGAGAGTAGTCATTTTGGTGCCCACTGACGTCTCTGACAGTCACAGAGTGGCTTTCGAATGCTCTGTTAAAAGTCTCAGGCCTGTCGACATAAGTAGGTTGAGGAGGAGACCCATCCTCATTCTCTTTGTGGTAATTCAAGATTGTTTTGACGTCATGAGGCTTCAAAGATGTTGGCTTCGATATGCTGCCGAGCTGGGTCTGGAGTTTGTCCTGGTCGTCAGACCCGAGCCCGATGTTTGTGTGTATCTGTTGGATCGCCGTGGCTGCCATATTCACCTGGCCTTTCTAATATTCGGAATAGTGCTATTGAGTGTGTAGTATTTGACGGTCTCTGCTATGTCTAGCTTTCATCTGTTGCAGGCGGACCATAACTCTTAAAATACACCTCCCGGCGACTTTTGAGAATCGGGCCGTGTCTGGCTGACACTACCCCAGTTCTCCACAGGAGCACGCAATATATTCTATCATCAAGATTGATAATAATACCCTACACCGGTCAGCTTTGGAGATGTCTGACTCCAAGACTCTCCTCCACAGTCACATGCAATCCCGGCGGAGTGATTAGAAATACAAGCCCCGCGTATCCCTAATACGCCCAGCCCGCGCGCCGCAGTCCGTCCAGTGAGACATGACGGGAAGCTGCCAACAGTCCAGCTGACAAATTCAGCTTGACTCACTGGAGTGCTCCTGGTACCAAGAAAGGGAAGGGTCAGCTGGTCACATTCAATCCAGCATACGTGTAAAAAGTTTAAGTACTGCATATGTAGCTCTCTTCATCCAACGGTTTCTAGGTACCTAGGTAGTGAGTCCTCCATGTGTACTTAATGCGGTCTTCACGTCGTTACCTCTGTTGATCAAGATGCTTCAAATGTTTCCCAGGGTTGCTAAGGCAAAATTCGATTGATAAATACAAAAGCATTATATGGTGGTGTCCTCTTATCTAAAAGCACCACCAACAACTTCTCCAAAGAGACTCATTAATAGGGGAGCAATGAGATGATTACTCGATAAAACTATCACACACTTCTCCTTCACCACATAAGAACCTAGATTTGAGGAAGTAGGTATAAAGGAAGTCATTATTAAAATTTTACCTTTTTTCTAAAAAAGAATTACAAATAACTTGTCTAAGAATTAGTCGCTATATTTAAAAATGGCAAGGGACAGATTTTAGGAAGAATCTGGGATATGGCCAGCATCCAAACCCTGTCTATTTTCTATTCTATGGATTATATCCAGCAATGTCCAGTCTTAACGAGTGACTATAGTGCACCGCCACTTTCAACTACCACCATATCATCAAAATACCTCTCATCACACATCTGCCCAGAGCACTGAAGTCCTGCATGCAGTGCCCTAGTTCCTAGTCGGTCAGCTCTGCTACCTGCTATTGGATGTGAAATTAAGCGGAGCCGTTGAGAGCATTCTGGATCTCCTGGATGTCCTCGTTGGAGAGGTTCTGGAATAGCATGGAGTCTGTGCCCTGAGGGACCGGGTTGCCAACGTTGAACTCGCCAGTGATGACAGTGGCAAGGGTCATGCAGGCAGGAGGCATCCCCTCGGCCACCCAGGTGGGCGGCATGAACGCCGAAAACGGATGCTTTGGCGGCGCAAAGGCGTACTGCTGCGAGCCTCCCAAGGCCATCGTGCCCCGCGGCGACGACGACCCATTTGGGGGTAAGCAGAACAAGGAGTTTCAGTTCCTCCTCGAGGGCTACAGGGAGAACCCCACGTGTCCTGCCACCATTCTGAACCCGTCCGAGGGCAGCATGTTCGGCCACACAACCGTTGCATTGCATCTCGTGGCCCATGCCAGTGGTGTAGTGCTGTCCGCCTGTGCCAGATCCTGCGGCGACGGGATGGCCCTCTGGACAAAGTCTCGCATGCGGAACCCCCAGACATCGCACAGCATGTAGGCAGCGATTGAAGGACTCTGAACGACCCTCGATTTGACGTCAACGGGGGCGCCACCATCGACGAGAGTTCTCGCGAGATCGGCCACCTCCGCTTCGAGATCCGGCTCCTGAACTGCTGGCCACGATGCTAAGGCGTGAAGGGCGGTCCATCCCTCGTCTGTCACGGCACCGGCACTGGGACCGGCACCATTCTGAAGCAGAAAGTTGGCCGTCATGCACATGTCATGCGTGGTCTTGCCCGCCGTCGGAGACAGGGCGCAGAGGAGAGGTGTCCATCCGTTGCTGCTGGTGGCGTTGGCATTCAGGCCGGCTTTCAACAGGAATTCCACCGTGGCCTCCTGCCCTCCTGCTGCAGCGTAGTGCAGTAGTGATTCCCCGTGAGAGTTTCGTGCTTGCATGATCTCGGCTTTGGGCGTGTGGCAGTGCGAAAGTAAGAGTTGTAGCTGCTCATAAGTTCCCGTCTTTGCGGCGGCGTGAAGCGGTGTCTCCCCTGCTTCGTCTGGGAGCTCGGGAAGCGCGCCGTGCAGAAGAAGAAGCTCAGCAGCAGTATTGTCAGGGCCTTCGCGACTGAGTGGACTGAATACGAGGTGAAGAGTCGTCTTGCCTCGAGCGTCTGGCCGATTGGGGCTTGCCCCCTTTTCTAGGAGGCCTCTGAGGCCTCCGATGCATTCAGGGGAGAGCACTGTGGTGTGAATGAGGGGCTGGCGAGACCGGCAGTCCTCGCTGTTTGGGTCCCCGCCTGCGTCGATGAGACGGGCGACCACTTGCCGTTGGCGTGTTGTGTCTGCAACAGTTGGCCCTGGTTCTGTTTCGTACTCGGGGAGACTCATCCTCTTCCCGGCCGCCCTTTTCAGAGCATCTTGAATAATTTCCTGCCCGTATGTAGCGCCGGGGTGGCCTAGGAGAACTTCCACAACGTCGTTGCACCAGACCGATGCTGCGTCAAGTAGCGCTCTGTCCTTCTCTTCATTGTCCCAGCCGTTCCACACGTCGAGGAAGTAGGCAGTGAGATCCGCATGATTATTCCTCGAAGCCACCTGTAGACAGTCAGGGCCAGGTCGGCCTCTATTTTTGGGAATGAAGCGTCCGTCAGGGCCGACTCGTTCCCAAAATAGACGTGCCATCTCGAGTCTGCCGTACTGCGAAGCGGACAGGAGTGGTGTGAAGCGGGGGTCCTCCTTGTCACGCGTACTGGGGTCCACGCCAGCGTCTAGCATCATCTGAACAGCAGCATCGTCGGCGTGGGAGAGGGCCCAGTGTAGGGCCCTGCCGATGTCATTGTCGGGGTCGATATCGGGACTCCATGCTTGTAGAATGTGTGCCAAGTATTGCCGATCTCCTGTCTTGTTTCCGTGGCTTAAGTACGGTTCCACAACCTCATAGTAGTGGTCTAATGAAGACATTGTGGTAATAGGGTCAAGGTAAGGAGTGCGGAAGGAACAAGAGTGGCCGTGAGGATGGCTTTTAATGTATCATTCAAGCTCAGTGGCGACATGCGCGGGGTCCTGCGCAGGCGAGTGTGAGCGCATGCGCGTATGTGGCCCCCACTGGTTGCCTAAGTAGTTATCCAACATTATGCTTATAAAAGGACTAAACTTATTTAGCAACTTCCCCCTACATTAAGGTGTTGAAAGTAAGCATTGGGTGCGTCGCCCGCCGGCAAAGGAGTGTGGATTGATAATTTATTCATGTTATGGGGGAGAAAAGCCCCCCCCCTCCAAAAAAAAAAGACCAGAGACGGCCTCCGTTTAAACACCCAGCCGTCAGCCTATCGCACCTTCCTGCCCACACACCCACAGTGTCTTCTATAAGTTATAATAGTGAGTAGTGTAGGATAGAGAGAATTAGTGTGAGATACCTATGAAAGTGGATATAGTTAGCCGCTAAACTAATCCCACTTGCTTACTACCCGGGGGTCAGACCTTCGGTTGCCCCCTACGCCGAAAGGCGTAGGGGGTGCCAAAACCCCCACACAGCCAAAACCCCCACACATTCAAAAAATCCAACTTTTAGTACAAAAACACACCAAAAGCCAAACTTTTTCAATAACAATCCACCACCCATACTATAACAAAACTATATATATCTAATTTAGTAAAAAAGAGGCTATATTAACTATTCTAATTTAAAATTAAATAAAAAAATATACAATCCCTATTAAAATTAAACTAATAACCTTCTATAAAATATATAAATTATAAAATAATAATTAAATTAAATATAAACACTCTATTAACTAAACTAAAAAATTATTAACTACTATCCTACTTATATACTCTAAAGAATTTTAATAAACCTATATAAATAATAATAATAAAAATATATTAAATTAATTTATTAATATACCAAATAATAATCTATACCTTTAATAATCTCACTCCTTTCTATTAAACTAAATATATTATTATTAAAGCTATTACTATAATTAAATTTAACTAAACTACCCTATAAGTAAAGTATTTAAAATATTTCCTTTTACTTAATATAAAAACTATTTATTAACTCTAAATCCTATTAAATTAATAATTAATTTAAACTAATAATAAAATAAAGTAGTTTAATCTCTATTATAATTTAATAAAATATAATTATTACTTAAAAGCTTTAATTTATTTATACTATCTAAATATAAAAATATATCCTTAAATTAAATAAATATTTATAATTAAAATTATTTTTAATTATTAAAAATAATTTTATAAAGCTTCTATTAAACTAATTAATCCTAATTATTCTATTATTTTATAAAATAATTAATTTTAAGCTATTCTTTCCTTATAATTAACTTCCTATTATACTTATATTTAACTATCTTCTATTAATCTATATAAATTTTAAATATAATTTAAATATATACTAACTTAACTTTATTCTCTTAAATATATACTTAATTAATAATCCTTAATTAATACTTAATTTATTAAATATTCTCCTTTTATTTAATAAACACTACCCTAATAATAAGTTTACTATATTAAATTAATATAATAATATTCCCTTTTAATTTATATTCCTTTTAAATAAACCTTTACTTATTATAATAATATTTAAAAGTAACTATTTAATTAATATTAAACTATATAAATTAATTCTTATAAATAATAAATTTTAATACTATTAATAAAATAATTAATAATCTCTTTTAAATATTATTATTAAAAAAATAATTATAATATATAATTATATATTATAATATATAAACTCCTTATCTTTTATATACTTTTAATTAATTAAATAATAAATTTAAATATTTTAATATAAAAACTTCTTACTTTTAATTAATAACTCTTTAATTATAACCTCTTATTAAAATAACTAAAAACTAATTCTTTTAAAATTATATATTATATAACTAAATTTAAAAGCTAATTTAATTATTAAATTAAATACTTTATAAATAAAATCCTTTTATAATACTATATATTAGTCTTTATATACTATATTCTATAATATATTTAAATACTTCCTCTTTAAATATTAAAAATACTCACATTTATAAATTATAACTTATATATTAAATATAATAATAAAAATAAAAGAATATTAAACCTATAAATATATATAATTATATCTATATTATAATAAATAGTAAAACTATTAAGAAAGAGTATTTATTAAATAGAGCTATTAAAAACCTACTTTTATTAATTATCTTTAATAAATCCTTATTATCTTTCTAATTAAAATAAATAAAATAATTAATTTTAAACTACTCTTTAAAAGTAACTTTATATTACTTAAAATATATATAATACTTAAAAATAATAATTAAAATAATAAAATTAATTAAATATAATATTACTATTTAAAAACTTTATCTTTAACTAATTAAATATAATATTCTTATATAAATTTTATACTTTAATAAAATTATAATTAAACTAAACTTTAAATATATAATATATAAATATAACCTTATTAATAATATTATTATAATTTATTAAAAGTATTAATTTATAGTTATTTAAATTATTAACTTTAAAGTTTATAACTAATTAAATATAAATAATAATAATAATTAAACACTTTTAAAACTTTTTATTATATTATTATATTTATTATTATTTTAAATACTTAAAAAATAAATTAATATATAAATTTAACCTACTTAATATAATTAAAAAGAAATTTATATTACTAAATAAAACTTTATAGCCCTTATAAGCTAATTTAATAAGCTTAATATAAACTTTCTACAATTTTAAATATTAAAAAAATTAAAAAAATATCTCTAATAAATAATTACTCTCTTAAACTATAAAGAAGGTTAACTTATTTAACAACTATAAATACTATTAAACTAAAACTATTATTATAAAGAAATTAAATATACTTAACTATAATATCCTCCTCCTATAATAATAAAATATATAAATAACTATTAAGTTATAATAATAATATTAAATATTTTATTATATTATATAATTAAATATATATATTAAAAGTTAAAAGGAAATTAATAGGTTTTAATAAAAAACTTATATAAAGGTCTTTTATAACTTTTTTAACTTAAAGTTAAAAATATATAAAATAGTTTTAAATATATATCTAATAGAAGTACAATATTCCTAAACAATATAAAGTACCTTCCACTCCTTCTTAACCTTATCCTCACCCTAATAAAATTATAAATACTTAAAAACCACCTTAATAATAGCTAGACTACTTATATTAACTTAAAGTAATTAATAGAATATACTCCAACAATAACTAATATAAAGCATAAATCTATACACTAGAGCCAACAAATACTATAAATAACTAATCTTAAAGCTAAAAATATATAAAAATAACCTCTAATTACCTAAATAAAACTATTAATATAATATACTTAAATATATAGTTATAAATAATAGATTTTATAGTTAAAATCCAACTTTTAGTATATTTTTACACTAAAAGTTAGAATTTTTAAATATACAGGGGTTTTAACCGTGCGGGGGTTTTAGCACCCACTACGCCAGCAGTGGGTTCCTCGGAGCGAGAGCGAACCCACGGGTACTATCTTAGACTGGAGCCCTTCTCCTCAATCAAGATTATATTGTCGCCCTCGAGTCCGCCCATAGCCCACCAGGTCAAAGTTCCGGGTCAAGTCTGTGGTCTTAGCCCTGCAAGTTGCATAGTAATTTTATTCAGTGGCCCGTTCATCACTTCCTCTCCAGCTCTTCAACTGTGTTTCTTCCTCATTCCATCCGAAGCCGACCCACGCTCAGCCTCCTGCACTACTGACTTCTCCTGCATTCCATGGTGACCTTCCTCAGCATCATCGTCAACCTCGTAGAGCGCGGGAAATCGCGCGACGTCCCGGCGCAGTAGATACTTGTTAGCGTACCATGGCGCCTTCTTTGCATAATACTGCGCGTGGTCACGGTTGCGGACGGCAAAAACGCTATCCAGCTCCTCAAGCGTGAGACTCTTAGTTTCGGGAAGGAAGAAATACGCGACCACGAAGCCGAAGACGTTCCACCCGGCGTACCAGAGGAAGGCCCCAGTGGCCGTGAAGCTTTCCATCATCATCGGCCACGTGAAGCTGATGATGAAGTTGAAGCCCCACGTTACGGCGGTGGCACTGCTCATTCCGATATCCTAAAAACTGACGTTAGCTCTGCTGCGGATCCTAAAGTACAGATTATTCCGACGCTGGGAATAAACGGAAGATGTAAATGCGTGACGAAAAAAATGTGGTGACTTGCCCGAATATGCAGCGGGAACGCCTCGGCACAATAAGTGAACGGTACTGGACCAGCTCCGGGCGAGTAGACAGCTGCAAAAAGGTAAATTCCGGTTGCGACACAGGCCAGCTGTCCAGTCCCTGCGGGGATATAAAAACTGAATGCTGTAAAGATCAAAGAGAGTGCCATCAACGGGAACGTGACCAGCAATAGGTTCCTGCGGCCGAATGTGTCGATCGTGTAGAAGGCGGGGAGTGCAAACAACCAATTGATCAGGCCCATTCCCATACTTGTAAGCAACGCCTCGTTTCTTTCAAAGCCGGCCTGTTCGAAGATCGCAGTGGAATAATACATACTTGGGCCTTTGTTAGCGCACATTTTGGGTGTCCTCGGGCGATACAATAGCTTACACGACATTGATCCCGCAGAACTGTTGCATGAACATGACGAAGTACGAGAAAGTGGCTGCCCGTCTGTTCCTACGAACCGTGAAGAACTCCTTCCAGCTATGGCCGCTCCTCGCTTTGGTCTCGACCTCAAGGAGCTTGTGCGCGTAGTACATGTCTCGCGTGGCTTGGATCGTGTGGCGACGCAGCCGCTGGACCGAGCGGAACGCCTTCGTATATTTGCCTTTCTCCATGTACCAGCGCGGGCTTTCGGGGCAGAAATAGACCTGTGCAACGTATACGCGGTTTAAGCAAAGTCCGCCGAAACACTGCGAGGAATCTCAGGGGTTAGCCTTACCTGTAGCATCACGATCAAGGGTGGGACGGAGGTGCTTGCCAGCATCCACCGCCATTGCGTGTTAGCACCAAGGAAGTCAGTGTTGCTAAAGGCCACCGAGACGATGAGACCCAGTGCGATTCCAAAAGCTACCACATGTTAGCAATACGAGGGTTTCTGCTCGTGAAAATCAGGGGGGCAAACACACCTGTCCACATCTGCCACATCATGGTCAAAGCACCACGAATAGCTTTTGGTGCACATTCCGCCGAGTATACTGATGTATAAAATTAGTATTTGTATTCTTGATCTGTTTTAATTTGGTCTGCCTCGTACCTGGTGTCGTGCTGCTCTTTGCGCCAACAGCAAGGCCGAGACCGAAGCGCGCAATCAAGAGATTGTACCAACTAGTTTGTAGTGATTAGTTGAGGAAATTTTAATTGAGAATGTGTGAGGACTCACGAGTCTGCTGCTGCCATCCAGAATCCGGTCACAACGGAGAAGAAACATGAGATAAAGATTGTGCCACGACGGCCCGTCCATTTGTTCAGAAATGGTGAGGTCCAGCACCCGAAAAGCGCAGAGAAAGCATAAGGCGCACCGTTCAGGAGCCCTGTACACATGTTAGAGAATCTTTCTCAATGGGACGCTGGGGAGTCGCGGACCTTGTATCTTCGTGTCCGTGATGTTGAAAGTGGCATAGTAGTATTCCTATTATCATAGATTAACTCTGTGCTCTGGATCCGACAACATCTGTCTGCGCGTACCTGGGCACCATTGACAGCGGTTTGGTCCATACCGTGCTATGTTTGTTAGCCAAAGGTATCAGTATATCAGGGGATGGGTTACATATCTGCACTATCGCCGAACCAGCACATAGCAGTCCAAGGAAGTAAAGCATGAAAGGCTGGTCCCAGCGATGGGTGACTTCTTTCCTGAGCGCAGCCTTCTCGTCTTCTGACAATTCGGCGATTTTCTCAAAACCATCAGGGGTATTGCTGACTTGGGCGACCAAGGCCCCTTTGCGAAAAGAATCGCGGTGCTCGCTCAGATCGTATTTCTCTGTGAAGGCGTCCACGTCTGCCATGAGCTGGCTATGAGAAAACCCCAGAAGCGGATTGCGCAACAGGGCGGCTGTAGAGATCTGGGCGGCCTTGTCTGAAGGGCCTTCATCACTCCCGGAAGTGCGCGTGCCCTCATTGATTCCCTTGTCCTCCGCTGGGGGAGACTCGATATCAACGTTAGCTGGAGGCATTGTAATGCACCAAGGATGGTTAACATGCAAAAGTTGACTAAGCCTGCAATCTGTGCGGAGCCCTTCTAGGGAAGTGATGTTGATTCGTGGGAAGAAAAAAAAAGGACGAGAGGAGATATGTGATCAGACCTCGCTCAAGAAGGCGAACGGTGTTTTTAAAGGTTGTGTGTCTGGGGCAATGGCTTTCACTAGATGGCCAACCAACAGACATATTGTGGGTCCGAAAAGATCATGGACGTCTGCTCGGTCCGATGACATTGACGTAACAGCGCTGGGCTATTCAATAGCCCCGTAAGCATACTCAAGAAGACTTGGGGGAGTGGAGCTCCCAAGAAATCAGAAGTCTGGAGATGCACAGGGGCACATGTGTGCGGTGGTCGGGCTGAGCACCTACGTGCAGCACGCAGTATCTGCCCAGCTGCACACAGTACAGTAGATTCGAAGATGATGTAGGGTACGAAATGGGTCTCTGAAAAGGCAACCTACCGTGAAAAGTCGTCTTGTAACGAAGGGCGGTTTGAATTCTTCCGTGCTCCCACAATAATTACACCCGTTTCCACGGACTTGGTGAGCTGGTATGCATCGCAGTGTTTGTCTGGAGGTCAAAATGAGTGCCCACTTCCCACTAGAATCATAAGAACTCTTAGTCTGAGATAATTTTGACCTTTCGTCCCCAGAAGGGCGGTGACAGACGAGTTGACAATCCTGTTTGTGGTTGAGGCAATGCTTCCATCCAAAGCCTTCCGCTTGGCCAATGCAGTCGGCATCGATCGATGCTGAAGGAAGCGTGGGAATGCTTGGAACAGTCCCAGCTAAAGATACACAGGACATAAGACCACCTTGCATGCATCTCATCCGAATGGGAACAGATGCAGCTATGAATGCACATGTAGCCTCCACTCTGCTCATGTACCTAGGTAGCGTGGCTAAACTATTGACATGTCGAAGCCACCCATTTTCTCCTTGCCAGCAAAATGACTCGACAAGGGAATGAAGAGGAATACAGCGAGATAAAATTTCCACTGGCCACTTGGAAAAAAGGTGTCCACCAAGGTTTGTTTACCATCCAACCCTTGAAATGCGGCCAAGGAGATACGGGCAGTACTCGGCTGATGATCGGCAGCGCGGCCAAGCGGGACGCGTCTCGGCGGCAACTTCTCCGTCACTGAGGATTGGAGTTGGCTGGGCGAGTCGACGCTCTCATCACAAAAACATCGGCAGAGTCAGGTCTCGGCGCTTGGCGCGGCGCGCGGCAAGCGGCACACACGAGGCTTGGGTGCTCACAAAGCCCAGAAAGTCATCCGTGAATTCCGTCATCTACCCTAGAGTCTTGCAAGTCGTCCACTCCCCCGAACTGGTCAGATTTGCTTATCCAGCTATGACTTCATACCAAGCCTTGCTCACCAAGGTCTCTCCCACCAGCCACTGTACGTAGTTACCTAGGTACTCATGTGGTTTCGCTTCTATTCCTTATACGTCCGAGGACATACACGGCGGCTTCATACGGTGGTAAACGCACAAAAAACCAGCGTTGAACAAAAACATACAATGTCGATAACAGTGGGAGAAACACGGTAGATCTTGGCATCCTTGATGATGAGAAACACAGGCCAGTACTTGTCATGGCGTGGTGTTGTAACACCACATGAGTGTTGTCAAGACTCCCTCCTAGCTGCCCACCGTGGTATCTGCCTATGAGAAAGACCTGCTCACAATGACAGATGATCGGTACAAAATCAAAGAGCTGGTTAGAACACGCCCAGCCACGTACGGAACTTCTGGTCCATGGCAACGACCGATCAAGACAATAAAAGCAGCCGGTACGCAAGTGTCAGGCAGTAGTAACTCTCATATATACTGACGCGTGGGAACATGCAGCTGGCCTTCGAGGCACTAGAAGCAGGAAGCTTCTGAATGTCAAAATCAATCAGAATAAACACTTTTCGGAACATTTACTGTATAACCTGGGCCTGGTGGATCGCCGTAGCCTCATCCACTCCTAGAACCCGTGGACAGCGGCTGGGTAGCGGCCCTGAGGGGTCCGGTGCTGAGGAAAAGGGCACCAGTGTTGTTGGGACAACAAAAGCCACTAATTAGGCACATGCCATAGTCTTCTACTCAAATTATCACTAAAAAGGCTTACTTAGAGGCTCTCACTAGCGCTGTAGGCTTATTAGATAGTATCTTTAAGTGCCTATCCCTTAACTCCCTACCTAGGTGCATGTAAGTCTTAAGTGTTTACTACTATATAAAGGCGCTATATATATTTTATACTACTTTTATAGAAGGCTATCTTATAGACTATTTTAAATAATAAGTATAATTATATAAATTTAATATAATTAGGTAGTTTTAATAGGAATAAAACTTATACTTTTTATATATATACCTATTATTACAATACTTTTTAAAAAGTTTTTAAAAATAATTATTAAACTATTCTTTTAATTATTAAAATATCTTTTTTAACTTTAAAGTAATACTTTATACCTTTTAATTATTTCCTTATTAATACTTTTTAATAATAACTATAAAGTATATTAATATCTTTCTTTAAGATTAGATTTTCTTTAAAATTAAAGGGTCCTTTAAAGACCTTCTCTTTCTTTAAAAGACCCCCTTTTCCTTTTTAAAAGTTTTAAAAGTTCCTTCTTTTAAAAGGGGAAGGAACTTAACTAAAGCTATCTAGGTAAGTAAAGTAAGTAGAGGGCTAGTTAAAGGTTTATTATAAAGAGGAAGACTACTAAAAGAATGGAAAAGGAATTCTCTCTTAACTAGTTTTTATACTAAAGTAAAAGCTTAATATTAAGGAATCTAAAGATTAAACTTTTTAAGACCTAATTTTTTCCCTAAAAACCTCCTTCTTACTTAGAGATTATTAAGGAAGGAAGGAACTATTAGTAGTTATAGCTGTTGCTAGACTGTAATAGGGTGGAGACGATTTTTAAAAACCCCTAGGGGTGCAGTACGGTAGGTATGTAGGTAAATAAGTACGTCAGCGGGCTGCCCCCCGCTTTGACCGTTGTACCATGAAACATGTCTAGACTAGATCATTTGTACCATAGGTAGGTTGAAACCCCGAAGCACCAAGTCATCGATCCTGAAGATGTGCGTCACCTTCCCGGAAGCAACTAGCTGTCAGGCACCCGGCAAATTTGTCTTTCCACCTCCCATCCACAGTCCCACGTATTACCAGCTCAAGATCAGGGACGTCCGAATGCTTTTTCCCATCGATCAGCGCGTCGATTTCCTCGAGCGTCTTGCCCCGGACTTCAACCCAGTACCATGCGATGAATGCGAACATGCCGATATTCCAAGCCCCGTTAATGATGTAAAGCTTCCAACCGATAATCTCCAGCGCGAAAAGAAATGCGAAGTTGCCCCAAATGCCTGTCACACAGATCACAAAGCTGAACATACTCATGCCCCAGGCACGAATGCTGAAGTTTAACATCTCAGCGGGTATGAGGAACAGAATGGGGATCCAACCGAAACCGAAACATGCGGTGAAGACGAAAATCATAGCCACTGATGCGTAAATACCAGGCTGGTAGTCTGTTTCCCCATAGGTCTTCGTCAAGGCACCGATTATGAACAAGCTGACGGTGAGCCCACCCGTTGAGACCAAAGCCGCCGACTTGGCTCCCAGCCTATCTGTATAGAAGCTGCCCATGATGGAAACGATCAGCGTGCAGCAGTTCAGACCCAAGTTGATGAGGAGCTGCTGTTTCGGGTCGGTAAGTCCGGCATGGTCCAGCACTTTCCCGATCTCGTAGGTCACAAGTGTATTTCCCATTACCATGGAGAACAGCGCACAGGTGCCGGTGATGATCAGCCTCTTTCTCGTGCCCCTATTCTTAAACATTCGGGTCCAAGGCATCGGGTTCCTCTCGTAATGGATCGTATCTACGATCTCGATGAATTGCAGTCGAACACGCTCGTCCTCCTCGTCACCGCCGGCGTTGATGCGCGCGAGCACAGTCAGCGCATCGTTGCCTCGGCCAACATCTACCAGCCATCTCGGGCTCTCGGGCATCCACGGGAGAAGTGCGATACACGCGATGCCCCAAGCGCCTTGGAGCAGGCTAGGCAGTCGCCACGCCCATGAGCCCTCGATCTGGGCCGTCCCGTACGTCACACCGGCGGCGGTCAGGGCTCCGACATAGAAGAGGTCGTCGAACAAGCCGAGGCCCCAGGCTCGCTGGTCCCAGGGGAGCGTCTCGGCGAGGTAGGCAGGGGCCGTGATGGCAGATGCCGTGGTGCCAAAGCCGATAATGATGCGCGCCGTACAGAACATGGCGATATCCTGTGCCGCTGCCTGTACAGCGGCCGCGGTGATGGTGATAACTGCAGCCCAGAAGAGGGCGACACGTCGGCCGTATTTGTCTGTGATCCAGCCCCAGAACAAGCAAGCGATGCACCCGCCGATATAGATGGTTGCGACATTGAGGGAACGTGTAGCAGTGGTCAACTGGAAGTAGTCTGTATACTGAGACATGATATTAAGGCCGCCCATCATCGCACCGTCATATCCTTGGGTCTGCGGAGGAGATCAGTTTGGTTTCAGACGGCACGCTCGTGCAACCTTAAAATTTCGCAAACGGCGCCATGGCATCTCTAGCCCGTGGAGGCTCACTTACTGCCGCCGTGATCACACAGCATGCGAGAAGGATGAATGTGTTGCCAGTTGCCGTTTTCGGGTACCATATTGGGGCATGAAACGGTAAAATACTACCCTGCCCGGCTTGACAGCCGATCGTCGGTGAGTCCACCATATTGGGAAACAACTGGGAATGAAGGGCATGCTCGGCCGAGAAGATCTTCCTCGCAGGAGAAGCCCACCAGCTACATAGGCACGAGTAGGTCGGGAGCGAAAATGCTCCGCCTTCGCCTACGTACAGAAGTCGCCACTGTTTCTTATAAAGCCCAAGGGCCTATTGCTATATCTTCCACCCAATGAAACTAGGCAAGGTAGCAATGACAGCGCACAGGGCAAAAGTCCCGAGAGTTTGATACCTAGGTAGCCAGCAGTCGGGTAGCTCGCCTAAGCCAATCTGAGATCTAGGCCGTGCAGATGCTCTGTTCGAGATCCAATATCACCACCCCGAAATTAATGGATGTGGCGAAACAAGCAGAGCCAAGATCGATTCCGAACATCTGTTTTTTCATGCCAAGGTGGGTCTAATCTGAGAGGGAGCGGAAAATTCTGGAAGAGTGCCTTTTTCAAGTCATCATTTGAAGGTTTGGCCGAGGAAGTCAAAACTCCCAGCCTCTGCATGTTCATCAATCATCCAGACTCTGCCGACATGTCATGGTTCCCTCGTCAAATCAAGTTCTATCAGAAGCAGGTCATGACTCGACAGAGCTGAACGCTGTTGCATCGCAAAGGGAGAGAGCGACGTCCGTCGATACAACCTTGTACGTACTATGTATTTGTTAGACTAGCCTGCTCGATTCTCTTAACCTATCATACCCAAGTAACTAGGTACCCTGGCCTGCTGTTGGCTTCGTACACCTCCACAGGGGTAATAAACGTTGTTTGGTGACCTCCCCACCGAAAGTCGCTTTTACTAGAAAGTTCGCCGAAGCGTGACCTGGTGGGTCCAGCCAACCAATAGCAAAAGATACAAGCTCAAACAACGTTTATTACCCCTGTGGAGGTGTAATGTTCCTCGGATCTTGCCAGGACACGTTCCCATGTATATTTTTTATTCACCAAAGTTCAGCTTAGCGTCCACGCTGATTGATGGCCAGACACACAGATCAGACCTATCATCTGTGTCGGTCTAAAATTAAGTCGTACAACATTAACTAACATCTGATCTTTGTCAAGCAGGGACTCTTTACCACTCGTGTAATATTATCTCCACAGATGTGCTCCTTGGGCTCTCATTTGCACCAGGACTCCTAATGCGTGGAGCCTGGAGACTAATAAATGGGATCGCAGCGCCGAAATGCCCTAATGAGTAGTGTCTTGACGTAGACCATTCACCCAAACCCAGTAACTACTACAGTACATTTGGTCCTAGCTACAGTTGGAATGGAGTGATATATGGACTGCAAGTGATACCAGACTGTGCGCCTACAGGTATCCCATGTTGTCATCTCGTGGATCCGTGTTCCTGGGTGTCTACATCTCATGACATCGATGAAGCCAAGTCTTTCTCCACAGCCGTCATCACCCGTTCTGCATTCTCCAAATAAGCTAACGCAGGCCGGCTTTTGACGCTAGGCTTGACTTCACCAAGACGACGCTTCCAGAATCCCCATCTCTCAGTACTTAGCCCTGGCATACCAGTCCACAGTTCATGACCACAGTATGCTCTCTTCTCTGCCTCACTAATATCTTCATTTAGCAAGGTCTCAACAAGAAGCTCTGGCCCTGCTTGAATGATCCACTCGCTAGCAACGGCGATCTTGCAATCATTTTCGTGTGAGTTAGGGCCAAGCTTCGTTTCCAAGCCCTCTCTCAACTGCCAAATAGCAAAGTTGTACCATCTTGTTGTCCCAAACAAACGAGCACAGTAGGAATTGAGGTTAAGCCACTCATCAGGAGTCAGGACCTCATCCTCGTTATGTCCGTCTTCCGTAGTGAATCCTGTACATGTGTATTAGAAAAGGATCTGTGATTCGGGGATGATATACTGCATGAAGACACCGCCGACGGCTTCGAGACAGCATTTAATTATACGGATTAAGAATGAAGGCACCCATCAGGAATGATGGAGAGTCTGGCTATGCTAATAACTTACCAATCCAGCCGTCCCTCATTTTCATGCCCAGTGCGCTTGGCCATCCATCACGCCATGCCTCCTCCGGTGAGATCTGAATCAGTTTGACAGTATGAACAAGTAGTTCCTGACCAATATGTCGACTTGGAACTTGCTGCGCAATACGCATAAAGAGCGAACACAGCTTCCCCAGAAAGAATGCATGCTCATTCTTATTCGCCGCCAGGGGTAAAATTATTTTGATTTCGGAAACCAGCGTTTGTGCTGCTTGCTGTACCGATACTGGCGAGGATGGCTGAGAAAGAGAATTCAGGCCGGCCTCAAAGGCGTCAACAATTTGTTCGGGCTCGTCGGCGGTAAATATTGGAAGGCGATCTCTAACAGTCTCTAGATCCGGTTGATCGTGGAAATAGCCGGTCTGAGTTAACTTTCGGATAGGGATTGCCATGACGGTTGAAGAACGGGGGTGAAAGAAAATGGAGAGTTAAGGAATTGTCAAGTGTAAGGGTGTGTAGGTGTCATCTAAGAGATATTTATCCCTGGTGCCCGCGAGTGGCGACCTGTTGGTGTGGGGGTTTTGTACTGTTCTAAATTGCTGCTGCCTAATAATTAATAAGTACCTAGGTGCCTAAGCAGTCTTCCAACTAATATTACAGGTCTAATGTAGAGCCTATCAACTATACTCTAAGTTTTTATTTTTACTTATAAATATACTATTTACTATAATAACAGATGTAATTTATTAATATCAGGGGATTCACGACCTGAAAAAGCCTGCTTGGCACGAAAGACGACGTCCATCGCTCATCACTGGTTGGTCTCACGATGAGCATCCGGCTGGCCCAGGCTTCGCAAGACAGGCTAATAAGGTCGTGTTGCCCACTCGAGGTGTCGCTAGCCTCAAAGTATGAGAGCTCTAGTTGGTTGCCAGACGCCCCCAACCGGTTGTAGAAGAGGTCCTTCGATAGGTCGAAGAGACCGCGGACCATGCGGCGCTGTACCCGGAGTACGAAGACAGGGAAGCTGTTGGCCATACCGTAGTACAAAGCTGACATCATGTGCTGTGGTGCAAGGGGGTTGATACTGTGTGGTTGCCCAGTAGTCTTATAGCGTGCACCAGCAGATAACGTCGCGGGTACTAGCTGCTTCGGAACCCCCTGCAAGGACAATACGACGGTCCATACGCCATAGCTGGAGAGTCTCAGCGACTGTAGCAGGACCTGCCTCGTCTAGGAAGAACTCGTTTGCAGTCTTTGTGAATTTTCGGACAAGTGGACTAGCGCCCACGTGGGTGGTGGAGAAGATGGCAGATCCTTTCCAGTAGATCTGCACCAGGAGTGCGTTGACGAGACCGCCCAGACTCTTGCCAGCCAGGGTGGCTCGAACAGACTCGTCCTGCAACTGCTTGTTTGGGTTATCAGTGCCATGGTCCATATCTTTGTCGTCCTCATCACCGTCATCGATGAAGTCGTTCGGGTTGGTATCGCCCTGGGGGGCTTCCCCAGAGGCTTGGGCAGCCAGCCCCTCCTCGATCAGGTTGATTATCTCTTGGACCAAAGGTAAGCGGCGCACCTGCATCAGGATCTCTCTACCGCAGGGAAAGTTGTCGATCTTGCCCAGGACAAAGAGGATGGCTGCAGCAGCACTCCCCTCTCTACACCACTTGGCGACATCTGTGTCGCTAGTCTCCGTGAACGAGGTGTAATGCGGGTCTGCTTCCCACTCGTCCTTGCCATGCTGTGAGCGCATAAACCCAAGCACAATGGCAGTCTCGACGTGCGGGGGATAATGGTGTATTGCAAGGAACTTGAAGTGGTGCTTGCATTGAACCCCGTCGAGGATGGTGAGGTACCGGTCATAGAAGACAGTAGTGGCTGCAATGGTTGGCGCTTGACAGGCGATCTTTCGATTTACAAAGGTCCGGGCGACAGAAAGGTGGCAATGAAATATGTCTTGCCTGTACCCGGAGGACCGAACATCAATAGTATACCACATGGTACGGACGAAGAGAACGCCCGGAACCTCTCCCTGGTATCAGTGTCAGGGATCATCTGCAAAAAGCGTCCCTTTTCACCAGGTGAGAGATGGGTCCAGAAGTCAACCTCTGAGTCCGGGACAGGCACAGACCGACCCAGTAGAAAGCCCTTCGTCAGTGGGCAAGTTGGGTCCCCTTGGCGCTTGATCTGGAGGCCATTGGCGGACCTTACCATCTCCAATAAAGGGTACTCCAAGCTTTCTGGGCTCTTCTCGATGCAATCGCCAATGTGGTCGCGAGGATCATTTGACACAAGATCTGACCAGCCAGCCTCAGAGGTCGTATCTCCGTCGTTCCGCGTGGCCCAGGTTGTTAACTTGGCCGATGTTCTTTTTCGTGCCAAACAGGCTGCGCTGGGCCGTGACTGTCCTGGTATTACCAAAGCAGAGATGACACAATTCCTGAAGGAGACATTCACCACGTGGACCAGCGACCGTTCCCACCAGAAGCCTGATGCCAATTCTATTACCACAGGTATGCACGACAAGACAATTGCTGTTGGTCGCCTTGACAAGGACCTCCCAACTGAGAAGGAGCTGGCGGAGGAGACAAAGCGCCGAGGCCTGTCCGCTACCTAGGTAAGCTGGTGAAGAGTCGCGCATACAAGCACCTACGCTCTACTCTGCTTGTGCAGACCGCAAACGTGCACCGTCGAGCTGGCGCCCAGGTCGGAATGAGGGCGTCTATCAAGAACGATACGCAGGTAAGTAATGTACATCTCGTGTTACCTTCTAAGGTCCCTATGCTTACATTCTGTAGGTCAAGTACGTTCACTTTGTGGATGAGCAAGGCAGGTTTCTGCCACTGATCTTCGACATGACCTGGTTCCCAGGTTATAATGAGCGCCGTGCCTCTTTTGAGGCGTTTGCCGCATTTGACAACTTTGAGCATGACAAGGTGAACAAATACAAACTCCGTGTCGCAATGTTCATTGCGCGCAATCGAATTACTAGCTGGGGAAATGGCTTCCTCCCCACCTTCCGCCCAATCAACGAGCCATTTGAATCCTTGACCCCCCTGAGCAAGATTCGCTCAAAGGCGGCTGGAATCCAGGGTGCCGCCATGAGTGCGGCCTACCAAGACCTCGTGGCCACTCCTGGCTACACTCTATACCCGGGAATCCCGACAGAGGATGTCCCCGTTCGGGCCGCCCCCGCCGACGGTGATGACGAGAGCGACGCCGACGGTGTTGACGAGCGCAACGCCGACGGTGTTGAAGAGGGGATGTGAACAGGAGATACCTTTCAATGTACCTAGGTAGATTCTTCTGCTCTCAATCCAGTCCGAATTTGTATTTCAGACATTATTGTCAGTAGAACAATCATGAGCTGTGAAGAGGCGGGATTATCCATATTATTGTAATTGGTGAAAAGGTTATTCCCCGCTCCAAATTGATGGTTTGACGATACATTTGCGACTCTCTTGAACAGCCATGCACAGATTCCTTGACCCATCCAAATTTGGCCCAGTCCAAATCGTCTGAGCCGCGGTAAGAGCAAAATAGACAGTGTCCTACACCGGGCAGCGCAGTGATGTATAAAGTGTCCGGATTCGTGTACCCTGGACTGCATGTCTCGTAACAATACGGGTCATCCACAAAGCATCCTTTGATGACGGAGAGTATCCCACAAACTTCGAGCTCACACAAGCCAAGCCCGGTCGTGAATGGCGGAAGATTCGTGTTTCAAAACAAAACATCCGCATGCCAAGGGAAGCTCCTGACGATCAAAGCTCGGCGGCGCCTTACTCAAGGTGCGGCCCTGTCCTCCAAAAGGCAATTTGGCCTGCATCGCCGGATTCGGCGGATCCCTTACCTGGGATGAACACAAGATTCACGATCAGCGACTGGGATGCGGCACTGATATGAACTCTAATGGAGACTCCTGCAATAACGAAGAAACTCTTGGTCCGAGGGGCGGGCACATCATGGATAGCTCCAGCATGCCTGGTTCGTTTATGGTTTGTTGCACGTGCAGTCTGTCGCCGTATGATGCTGCAATAAAAGAATATGAGGACAACCTGGCGCATCAGTAAACAGCGTTCTTCGTCACATCATGCCCTCGCTGTGCTGAGCCTCCCTTTCAAGCCACGCCAATCATACATATACCCGCCATGACGAGATTCTCCAAGATCGCTGCAGTGTCGGTGCTGGCCACCACGGCATACGCTCAGTGCGGCTCGGCGCCAGACGCCACTGTTGACGGGACAGAGGGCAGATACACGGCCACGGTTGGTGGGTCAGAGGTTTACTCCGGCAGTGACTACTACACTGCTATCACTACTTCCCTGGATGGAATATCGAGTGGTCAGACGGTTTCAATTCTAGCTTCTGGAAATATAGGTTCCAACACGATCAGCATTGACAGTGGCAAGACCTTTGAAGGCTGCGGGACTATTACCGCCTCCATCGCCAATGGAAAGGGGGCTATCGAGAGTTTGAACACCAAAGATGTCTCCATTCCGTACCTCAGTCTCACAGGAGAGGTTTACTTTGGCCTGCATTTCTATGGAACAACCGGCCTGACTCTGGGTGAAATCGATATGCAGCTTACTGCTGGAATTGGTATCCGATTCGACCGGGACGAGGCTGCCAACTCCAATGTGAAAATGGGCACCATCACCGTCACTGGAGCTAGCGTACGTCGCTTCACACTGTCCCTTCTGGCTTCTGAGGTTGTCTTGAATGATTGCTAACATCATGAACAGTCCCACGCAGTCGAGACTTGGAACATCGACGGCCTCACAATTGACAGTGTGATAGCCAAGGACGTTGGCGAGTGCGGTCTCCTCCTCCAGAAGACAACGAACGCTCGGGTTGGCCTCGTTCAAGGAGACAACGCTGGCTCCGGAACCGGTTACGCCACTCTGAGATTCGCGAACCAGAACGGCATGCTGAGCGACGGCAACTACGAGACCAACGTGGTCATCGACCGGGTTGTCTCGAGAGGTGGCGGCCGTGGGATATTTTGCGTTTCAGAGTCTGGCGGCGCGGAAATTGGCACCGTTGAGCTTTCGAACAACGAGAACAATGCCATCCTCATTGAGAACTGCTACAACGTGGCTATCAAGGGCGGCACTGTCCAGGGAGGTGGCGAGGTCCGCCTCGCAGCCCGTGACGAGTTTGCCATCACCCGCGATATCAGTCTCACCCTTGAGGTCAACGACAACTCGGTCAGGGAGTCTCCTTGCTCTGAGAACCCTACTTTCAGCATCACCGGTGACGCAACGCTGGATGTGTGCTAAGCGCATGGCTCGAGTAATGTTTAGCGGAGCGGTGCTGGGCAGCGTCTCAGATTCCTTTTCTAAAGATAGATGTTGCCAACTATTTTAAACAGTGTGTATATAAATCTATTGCTGTGTCCAACTCTTTTGCATAAACCTTTACTTGGTAATAGGAGTCCCAGACAAAGGGACGTGTTGACCTCGTCTCATTAATGCCGTTCCAAGTCTGGCGTCACCAACACACCCTACCATCACTGCTGTTCCTGTGTAGAGCAAATAACCAGGGCGCGCATTTACGGATGACGAGACATAATTCACTATCAGCTTCACTGGACCCAGGAACGATTGTGGATTAACTCGACGGACTGCCATGTGCGAGGCGTGAAATAACGTTCAGTGTTTATGTGGATGTGGGTCTCAACATCACATGAAACTTGAACGTTATACCATTTTATTCTCTGATGTATGCGACGAGCAAAAGCTCGTGATCCGTGAGAAAACTACCGGTACTGGTCGAACTAAGAGATCTTCCGTATCCAACGGCATTGGACATGTCACCGGGGGAAGAATCTAGATGTACTGTGTAATTCGCATGCCAAGCTGATTTTGCCAAGGATCTACATACCCTAAACTCCGTGGTGGGGACCTCGGGACTGCGTTATCGTGCAGCGGAACTCGCCGAGAGCACAACCTCATCTCGGCACGTTGAGGACGTGTTTATCGGGTTCGCAAGACCCACAACTTGACGATTGCTCCATGGACCAACAGGAAACAGCCTCGACTTCACACCAAGCACGCTCGAGCCTTTCCGCGCAGAAGAGTCCTCGGATCACAGGCGCCACCCAGCGTGGTGAGACTGCCGGCGATGCGGCGGGGGAACGGCCTTATCGGTCGCACCTCCGGCCGGCCTGCCAGGCATGCAGGCGGCGCAAGTCTCGCTGCAAGGTTGACGAGGGGGAGGAGAGAGGATGCATCATGTGCCGAGTGCATGGGACAAAGTGCGAGTTCCCAAGCACAACCTCAAAGACATCGACACAGCCGCGGAGAACTGCTGCGCCTCGCAAAAGGACCGAGCCGGCGGCGGCCCAGAAGTCCCGTGCAGGACCGCGATCCGGCCGAGCATCCTCGGAGACAGCAAGGCAGATTAGATCTCTAGATGAGCTACCTGACCCCCGGCCAGCACTGGCTCCCCAGGCCCAGACGGCCTCGTTGCGTTCGCATGGTCTGGCACGGGTGGGAGACAACAACGATGGCGCCGTCCAGCGTGCGACGACCCTCATCGCCGGCCTGGGGAGTCCCGAGGAGGAAGAGAGCCCACACATCCTCGGCCCCGTCGTGACGAGCGACACCCAGATCCTGGCGGAATACCTGCGCGCCGACCCCCACCACGGCGCAGGCCGGCGCCTGGCGCGGATCGTGAGGCCCGGCCGCGGTGGAGGCGGAGGCGGCGGCAGGGGCGGGGGTGGAGCAGCGGCCGGCCAGGGCAGCAGCTCCGTCATGTTCGCCAGGGTCCGCAGGCGGCCGATGGGCCAGACGCCGAACCAGTCGGTGGCATCGGGCAAATGCCTCATCATCGAGAGGATCATCGAGCCCTTTGGAGACGAGCTGATCGACACGTACTTCCGCAGGGCCAACGCGTGCTTCCCGCTGCTGGACGAGGGCTCGTTCCGGGACCAGTTCCGCCGGCAGCCGGCGCACATCTCATCTGCACTGCTGGCAAGCGTCTACGCCCACGCCCTGACCTTTTGGTCACAGCCACGCCGGGCGGCCGGGCGCCACTGCCCAGACAGCAGGTTTGTGTGGAACCAGGCCACCGACGCGCTGTACTCGGAGCTGCAGCTCTGCCCGGGCATGTCGACGGTGGTTGCGGTGCTGCTGGACGTTGGAGGCCGCCCGTCGACTTCCCTGATAGGCAACGGGGTCTTGATCGGGTCCGCGGTTTCGATAGCCCACGGCCTGGGCCTGCACCGTGACCCGAGCGACTGGGACATCTCCGAGCCGGAGAAGACGATCCGGGTACAGATATGGTGGGCTCTCCTGGTCCATGACAGGTGGTTCAGCCTCGCGTACGGGACGCCTCCGCACATTCAGGGGCAATTCCACGATGCCCCGAGGCCGAGGGCAGATGGCGGTGGGAACACAGTCTTCCTGGCGCTCGTCAGCCTGAGCGAAGTACTGGATGCGTTCCTAGTACACATCTACGCCCTCAAGCCGGACAGCCAAGGCACATCCGAGTTTGACCCGGGGGCTGCCCTGAGGCGATGGGAAGGGTCTCTCATCGGTGACATGCGCCGGCTCATCATCCAAGGCAGAGACCTCAGTGCCCCAGGGGCGAGTAACCTCCGCTTGTCGTATCTGTTCGTGCGGCTCCTCCAGCGGCGAATGGAACTGGACAGCAACACAGACAAAGGCCAGCACGCAGCCACGGATAACCTGTCAGCCCGCTACATTCACCTGCGCGAGGCTGCAGAAGACATCGTACGCCTGGCCCAGGCACTCCGAGCACCGCAGCTCAACGATTTCTGGCTTCCCACTGCCGCATTCATCTTCACCTCCACCATTGCCTTCCTGCTGCGAGTTGCCCTTGAGACGGAGAAGACAGGCAGCGGGCTTGGCGGGAGCGTCTCGCTGAGCCTCGCAAACGACCTGCTGGCTGCCTTGAAGGGCCATCAGCAGAACTTCGGGTGGGACCTGGGCGACGCTTGCATCGCCCAATATGCCGACGTCGTCGAGGAGCTGCGAAAGGCGACCCCGGTGGCTAGTAACGCTGGCCAAGGTGAGCAGGACACAGCTGTGTCCCTGGTAGACTGGCAAGACTTTGATATGTCAGGCTTGCCTGATGTCGACGAGTTGTTTCCGAATCTGTGGGACATGTTTGACAGTAACTATTAAGGGCATATCTGTACAGGTGCATGTGACTTGTTACAGTCCATCTACCGAAACCACCCATGCTGACTGGTGCTCGCAAGCTTATCCTGAGGTGAAAATGTGACTTGGACACCGGGACCTGAATGAACACACATGTTACATACCTGGTAACCAGAATGACATCTGAACCTCACCCAGCAATATTGTGCCCTGAACGCATTATCCGGACGCCCAGGTGCCACGACTCGGGCTGCCAATCATGACATGAATGAAGAGCAGAAACGTGGTTAATAGAGCCATTTCATTTAACCTTGTCTGATTAAGAGCATGCAAGTCGTCGCTGTAACGAGTAACCCAACCCCTTTTGCCCATTCAGGGGTCTTATCGACGCGACCCCACTTCTCCGAGTCTGGCGCATCTCAACGGTGCAACGTTAAGGTTAACAAGGGAGGGGAAGGGGCGATGCTCGCCACTGCGGGCAGATGGCTTGGGTGATTTCGAGATGGTCCATGTCACTCTGCTCTGCAGCTCTGCAGTCCTGCAGTGATAAGGTGAACCAAGCATCCTTTCCTCGTGTCAAGGTGCTGCGTCGCTGACTCCGGCCCGCAAGCAAGCCGTGCAAACCAGCCGACGCGTGAGAGCCAAACGAATAGTATTATCTAGGTATCGAGTATTGCCCTCGCTCACCACCCAGCATGGCTCGTCCAGGATGTTTGTGGCTCGCTGCCACCATTTTGTGTGGTCTGATTTCAACCGTCACATCACAGGATACGTGGTGCGGGAAGGTGTACAATGGGTAAGTCACTCTCACCACGGTGCCTCCATGGCTCCCTTGAGAATCGAGCGTTGAAACTGACTCTTCACATATCAGGTCGGCCATGATCATCCCTGGTGGCTTCATGACACAGCCAGAAGCAGCATCTAGTCCTCTGCTTGACGTTCAGATCGCCACTCGGCACAGCATCTACGTCGACAGCGAGACCACAGCGGACCTCATTGTCGATGCTGGCCTATCCCTCTACCACGGCGCCGTGTACTCCCCTCCCAGGCCTGCATCGGCCCCGGGAGGTGCGGCTGACAGCCTGCGTTTCACTGCCACGGTAGACGGCAACGTTCTCGTCACCGGGGAGGTGCCCGTCAACTCAACTGACAGCCTCTTCCCGTTCGACCTGACTGGGCTTACTTCAAGCACGTCGGCGTCTTACTCCATTGTTCTTACCGGAACCACGTCGAGCGGGGTCAACGTCACCGCGCAGACCGAGCTCTTCTACCTCCCTGAGAAGACCACCGGGAGTGTTGTCAAGGTCGACAGGCTGTATGGCTCGCTGCTGTACCGGAACGAAGCCTCGGGCGGCGTGTTCAAGCCCGTCTTCCCCTACGGGTACTACGGTAGCTATAGCGGGTACTTCAACGACACCGCCAACATCGCCGCCTTTGAGGCAGCAGGTTTCAACGCCGTCAACCCGGTTGCCGACTTTGCCGACTCTAACATGACGGACAGCATCGACGCCATGGACCGGGTCAACCTCCTCTTCCAGTACGACATGCGCAACTCGTTCCAGAACCTGACGTCTGTCGCGGAGCAGATCCCACTCGTAAAGGACCACCCCTCGCTGCTGACCTACTACACGGCCGACGAGCCAGACGGCTGGGGGTATACCTTCGAGTCGTCAGTAGACGCCTACAACCTGCTCGCGTCGCTGGACAAGTACCACCCGACGGCCCTCGTCCTGAACTGCCAGAACTACTACTTCAAGGAGTACACAGCCGGCGCCGACATCCTGATGGAAGACGCCTACCCGGTGGGGATCAATGCCACCTTCGCAGACAAGTGGGGCACCCCCTGCAACCTGACCTACGGCGACTGCGGGTGTGACAACTGCGTTGGCAGCCTGTTGGACGTGCCCTCGCGCATCGACGACTTCAACAAGTACGCCGCGTGGATCGGGGGCTCCGTGGCGACGCGGAAGCCCGTGTGGGCCGTGCCGCAGGCCTTCTCGGGCGAGGGCTACTGGGCGCGCGACCCGACCCCCGAGGAGACGTGGGTCATGGACCTGCTGGCGTTCAACCACGGCGCCATGGCCCGCCTGGCATGGATCTACCCGCCCTCGGACCTGCTCTCCAGCGCGACGGCGAAGCTCGCCAGCGTTGTCACGGTCGACCCCGTGGCGGGCTTCCTGACCGGTGCCAACCCCGTGCTGGTGGTGGACGGGCGGTCGGCGAAGGGGAGCCCAGATGTGGCTTACTGGGTGGCTGAGGATCAGAGCAAGGGGGTCTTGTTTGGCATCGTCAACCCGGAGAACTCGACTTCTGTGGCTCCTGTGCAGATCAACCTGCCGGAGGGGCTCAACGTGTCCAAGATTGCGTCGCAGCCGTGGGGCAGTGTGAGCTGGGACCTGCAGGGGTCGACCTTGGTAGCTGACGGAGGTCTGAAGGCACTTGATACCAGTTATGTGATACTTCAGTAGGGCCTACAGTAATATGCACCTGGTTCATATTTCTCGATAGCTGTCGACTCGAGGAGAGCTCGGATATGGCCAGCCGGTCCATGAGCCTGGGTTGATCTGGCAAGACTGTCATAACGCCGGGCGATGGATGAGACGGATAAAGGCATTTACGAGGTATGTAATGCTGCCCCAGGTCTGAAGGGCTGTATCAATTCCACCTGGGCAGTCACAAATAGCTCGAGGTCGCCTTTGCTTGACCAATGAGCTTACATGATGTGAAATTCGATGGCCCACACTCACACTCAGGTCTACCACCCCAGGCCACAGCATTCGAGTGTCACTGTTGGCATGTTGACGTCGGACGTATTTATCGTGACGACTCCATATATACGTATGTGCATCAATCGTCTGTGGTAGTTATGTGCTTGGCATGGATATTCACCACTATCGCAATGGCTTGCTCCCGACGACGCTCTTGGGCCACGGGAGAGGATCTCTCAATTTCCACGGCCGGGTATATCAAGACATATCAGCAATCTGGGCTCTGTCGTTCTTACATTGTTGCTCAAATTTGCAACCCTCAGACGCACGCCGTGCTCTCGCAGCTGAACTCATCAAGCCGGTGAACCACAAATGAGCCAAATTTCCATGTTGCCTTTTGACCACGCACACCTGGGCAATGAAACCCCCTGTGGTTTACGACAATCCGTGTATCAGGTTCTAGCGGCCGCAAGTACGGATACCTAGGTGCCCAGATGTGGAGTGCCGGGGTCGGTCCGCCGTCTAATAAACCTGCTAGACACCTGGGCAGCGTCACAGCCAAGGGGCGCGCACGTCCGCCGGAACCCCGCTCCAATTGCAGGAGGGTGTCGGTTGGCAGCTCTCACTTCCTTGTGTACACGAGTACAGGCACTCACTTACTTTGAGCGTCCTCTCAGCCCATATCCACACACACACCAGCTTTTGCCATGGCCTCACATCTACCCAACCCGGTGGTAGCACCCCCTCATGTCCACGAGCTGCTGGACCGGCTGCACGCCCGCTCGGCCGAGCAGGAGGCCAAGATCGACAGCGCCGTGTACAAGACGGCCGGGACGCCTGCCTTTGACGACCTCATGCGCGACAAGTTCGTCGCCCTGGACCAGGACAAGAGCCAGTTCGTGTACCAGGTGGCGCGCATGACTGGCGCCACCAGCGTCGTCGAGGCCGGCACGAGCTACGGCGTGAGCACCATCTACCTCGCGCTGGCCGTGGGGCAGAACGTCGCGGACGGCAGGCCGGGCCCCGGGAAGGTCATTGCTACCGAGAAGGAGCCGGAGAAGATCAAGCTCGCGAGGGCGCACTGGATGGAGGTCGGCCAGGAGGCTGAGCCCTATATTGAGCTGCGCGAGGGTGACCTGCTGCAGACCTTGGGCAAGGACTTGCCAGACGTTGACCTGCTTCTGCTTGATAGTAAGTGCATCTCCCTGGGTGCAAGTCCTCGATATGTCTCGCTGACCACCGCAAAGTATGGGCACCGCTGGCCCTCCCTACCTTAAAGCTCGTCCAGCCGAAGTTGAGGCCAGGGGCTGTGGTCATTGTCGATAACACAATATCCGGAGAGGAGCGATACAAGGATCTGTTACAGCACCTGAGAGATCCAGAAAGTGGTTTCAGTAACGTGACTGTCCCATATCACAACGGACTGGATGTCTCGGTTTACCATCCCAAGAAGTCTGCGTAGACTGAGTTGCCCAGGCGGGGTGATTCATGATACGGCTTTGTGGAAGTCCCAGGAGGCATCTGAAACTTGTTCAAAAGCGTATCAATAGATTTCTGGCCTGCCAATCATATTACTGTATCACGTATTCCACCAACTGGTTTCGCTTCTACTCCGCATACGCCCGAAGACATATATGGCGCAGTGATACAGTGTGGTAAACGCTCGAGATCCAGCGGTTAAAAATCATACAGGCTCAGACATTGACAGCATGGCATGTTCAAGACCAGGCAGTGTAGATCGTGCACAAGAGATTGAATGGTCCGCGTGTCATTTCGCGTGTCATGTAGTTGGTATGAAAAATTCAAAATTAGCTGCACTTCACTGTGCCCTGCATGCATTGTGTCTGAAATACAGTTGAAGTGCTGAATTGTTGGTACAAAGCCTTCACCACGTCATTCTTCAACATAGCAAAGTGACCCTTCTAAGCGCAACCCTCAATCAACTAGGCAATCGCATCATATGCTCACTCAACAATTCTCCGCATGTCAGCAAGCTCACATCTACTAGGGGAGAGGTGTTGACATGACTAGAACATAGGAAGTAACTAGATACTATTGAATACTTCTATAAGCATTTCCTACTACTAGTATATGGTTGTAGTGTTGCTTCTATTCCGTATATGTCCAAGGACATACATAGTGCCTACATACAGTGCTACTACTAGTGTACCTTTATATATTTTTTTACATCTTTTATATCATTAATATTTTATATTACATAAGCTTAGATTTTTAAAATATCTTTAAAAGTATTACACCTATTATAGATCTAAGCACGGATACCCTTCTAGAGTCTTTATAACTATAATTAAATGTGCTAGCTGTTGCGCCACACCCTTATTATAAGTAAGGGGCACATGAGACGGTAGGAATTCCGTTAACTGCCGGCACAACAGACCGCTCGGCTAAAAGACTATAATAACTAATTTAATAATTTATAACCCTAGTAGTTTATAAGCCCATACCTTCACAATATAAATAATATAAATATTAAAAAGATCGGAGATTTATAGGGCGAAAAATAAAAAGTATAAGGTAAGATATACCCCTAATATACTAACCTTAATCTACACTATTAATACACTATATATAACCGAAATTTACACTTATTTACTATATACTTCCTTATTAATTCTTAATTCCTTACCCTCTTATTATCGCTTCTAGTTTAGTGTTTTATTACTTTATTCCTCTTTGTCACCTAGGGCGCTCTAACGAGTACCTAAGCACTACAATCCACCTAGGTCTCCTTCTTATTACTAATAAGGTCCTCTACAGTTAGGTTAACCTGTAGTAGCTAGTTAATAGTCCTACAAGCCCTTGTATGGGGCTTCTTGGCTACTGGCCTAGGTATTGTTGGGTGGGTGAAGGAGGATTGGTAGGTCTATAGGTTAGGGTGTAAAAGGTATTTGGTTGGGGTGGTGTGGGTGGTGTGGTGAGGTTGAATAAAGCCCTCTAATTAGCTAGTGGTACTTCTTGCTCTGTACCCTCTGTTTTTCGCCCTGCAAATCTCTGATCTTATATTAAAACAGTATTTAAAGACATCCTAACTAGTGCATATACACTCCCCCACAATCCTTATATACCACAAATGTTTAAAAATGAAAAAAAAATATGGCTGATATGAGGACGGCCTGACCTATTCATTTGTTAGTATTAGACGCATTATAATGAGGATAGAAGGATTTCTCGCACTTGAACAGACAACCTTCTGGATTCTCCAGAGCTGGAATCAGACGCGCTACCGTTGCGCCACGTCCCCGATTACTAATACTTGGTGCGTTGGGGGACTGATGCTAAATTATAATCTATGTAATTTCACTTCTATTCTATATACATCTAAGGACATACATAGCACCTTTATATAATAGTAAGTACTTAAGACTTAGTACTTAAAAAGAATATATTTTAAAAATTAATTAATTATTCTTTAATTAATTAATATTTTCTTTTAATATTTTATAAATAAATAAACTAATAAATATATTTATTTTATTTATATTATATTTAAATAATTATAAATACTTTTTTATAATATTATTATTAAAATTATATACCTCTCCCTACTAAATATACAGCATAAGTTTTTAGTTGCCATCGAAGTGTGTATACACAACCCTGCCAGATAAAGAGTTACAATAGCTTCCGCTCCTCCGAGTATCAATCCGTGGCCAAATTCTACACAGCAGGTCCGTTGGCAAGGGAAAACTAAGATATGCGGGCCCTGCTTCTCAAGGGATCAGATGGCCCAGACAGTTACTACGAACTTTCGCGTTTTTGCTTAAGTTCAAAAGTCCTTGTTTCAAGCCCTTTCATACATATGAGAATGTGGGCAAACTAGCATCGTGCAATCCGATTTTATCGGCATTGCTGTCACCCAAAAAATGCTGCGACGCGTTGCGAAGGATTCGACGCATTTAGGGGTCAGAGATGCGCACCGGAACAACGGGGCCGTATGGGATAATCTCCTACCAGACAACCTCATAGAGGATAACCATGTAGGATGAGTGGTTTAGTATTGAACTGAGTACTTTAATATTCGAGTTATCTTACTTTTTGTTTGAGCCTTATTAGCCATTCTGCTTAGTTGGCCTTGTACAGGTGTACCCTGTGTTTGTACAAGTGCAAATCTCTGAACCACCTTTATGGCGAGACCGTCATCTGGGTAGACGCCGATGGTCCGCAGCCAACAGATGTGTGCTCAAGGGCGCTGTCTCGCATTCTCTGCATGAATCATCTTGAAGCTGTCGAGGTCTCAACGCCGGTTTTGAGGATTAGCCCGATTACCTAGAGCGCCAACCATCTGGCAAGCCTTTTCTAGGACAGCGGGCTCCTGTGGCAGCTCACTCTTACGGGGTACAACAGAAGCGAAGGACTACGAGAAGATTGGAAAGGACGGGCTCGGATATACACGATGCGAGAAGGCTGCACATGTGCGCAACATCTAACTGCATCTTTCTCACTATCACTGGGCTTTTATGGAGCTTGTGAACTTGAGATGAACCTCCAGCAGGAGAGGTACTTGAAGACTAACCTAAATCTCTATTGCTATACTTTGAAATCAGACCTATACGGAGGTCTTGTATCCCGGATGCCCACGGGACTATTGTTTTGCTTTCTGGATACTGAACAAAAATCGATGACTGATTGCATTTGGTCTCAACATCCATGATTTACCATACAAAATTGTCATCCTAGATTCAAGCAGTCAATTTTAGCATCGTCATGGTTCTATGGTTTGCATGTAGACATTGGGAACACAAGCTTTGCCCCGGTGCCCTATGGTTACAGCATCTACAGTGGGCTGCGTGTGGTACAAATCCCTGTGGGACACTCGGTCAGCCTTATATGTAGGCAATAGCTTTTATTGGAGAAAGTCTAGTATTAAATTGTTTTGTTCAAAACTTCCTACAGATCAACACAAAAGGTTAATAGTAAGCTATGAAATATTCCGCACGCAATGCTTGTGAAACATGGCAGCATTGCGGCAATGATACATGTGAAATTATTCTGTTCGAAGCTGGCTCGTCAGTCTTGTATCGGCCTTGTGAGCCGCACGAGCTGGTGGCTGAGTAAGGAATTCATGTTGAAACCTGGCTGCAACACTCGGAAACGGGCACGTCAGGTCATTACTGGTGACGTAAATATCAGTGGCAACATGGCACATGTTAGTAATATAGTTTGACACTTTTCTGCACCGCTGCGGGTAGGTAGGTGCAGATAATACGCTTCACATTTCACTTGACAGTTCACAAATATCTCAAGTCTTCTCAGACCAACGTCCACCAAGTGAGCATTAAATAGGGGCTAAGCTTGATGTCATTCACCAGCAGGCAACCAGATACGTGCCACATTCGAAGACTCGATGTCATTGCAGCACCCTACCATCGATCCATGTGAGCATTTGCTCAACACCACCCAACCACATTCGTGGTTTCTGAACTTCAGGCTTGAGTTAAATTTAAACCAGTTTGATGAACTCTTCGGTCATTTCATTCCAAAAGGTCTGGCCCAGGTCGAGCTGCCTATTTGTTGCTTTCTGCACGTATTTCCGGAGAACCTCTGGCGGTAAAGACGGGTAACTCCTCTTGACCACGAGTACTGCAACCATGATGACAGCGGGTCGATCATGCTTGTCGCGCATTCTGTAGATGTCTCCCAGCCTCTGGAGAACTTGGCGAACTGCCGGCGTTGAGTCCAAGGTCACCCTTCCAGTGAAATGTTCCCAGATACTGGGGCTGCCTCCCTTCCATCCATGAATATGACGAAAACTTGTTGTGAATGCCTTGACCTTTTGGAAGAGTTTATAGGGTTCATCAGGAAGTTTCTCTGCTGAGACAACGAGAATGTCGGCAAGAATGTGCTCAGAGACGCATGACCCCAGAAGCACAAGACAGTGTGCAGCGGCAGCGATTTCTTGCTGTTCTAGGCTGTTCCTGGGGGCTGGAGCAGAAGGGGGCCCTGAAACATCAATGAAGCCCAACAGCGAGTTGTACTTCAGAAGATTCCTGAATTTCCACTCCCAGACCTCGAAATCAGAGTCATAATCTAGCCTTGGGAGGGGCAGCGGGATGGGACGCCTTGGTGGGTCCCTGTCTGCGTACCATTCACGCTCAAGTTGTGAGAAACGAGTGGTGGAGCTCATTTGAAGAGCCTGAAGCCTTCAGTTGAGTCGAGGTGATTTTCCTTGGAGGTTTTCTGACTTCTAGATGTGGATATGGATCTATCCCAGGCTGAACTAGCACCCTGGCGTTTATATGTCTAGCTTTTACTGCCGAAAGTGGGACAATCCATGTGTGACTGTCGGTGCTGTGAGATGACAATTCTGCGGGTTTGATGAGTTATACGCTGGCTGGGAGGGAGCTGTTGTGATGCTGGCAAAAGGATGAGTCGGGCGCCAACATGACCGTGAGTACCTAGGTATGCTGTTGGACCAGGATTCTTCTCATTGTTTGCCGGTTGATTTCTGAAAGAGTTCAAACGTTGAGTAACGTCTGACTGAGCTTTTCTTCTTGAGCCACGGCTTCTGTAACCTCGCAAATTATTCACATTCGCTACCTGCATATGAGTAACTAAAATATGACCTGGGTCAACGTGCCACTGCACCATTCCGCACTCGGGCTGATCCACATGGCTTGCCGGCTATCATTTACACGTCTATTTCCTCTACTTCACAGGCGTCTATCCGTGTCTAAATTTCGGCGAGTCTTGTCTAAGCGCAGCGAACACAGTTGGCAGAGGGCATGACCTCGGGAACGACTGACTACAGGGCCAGCCCGGCTCACAGACGACTCTCCACCGCGACGGCCTCGCCCCCTGCCTCAAGCTCAGCTCTTGCCTGCTCGTTAAGCCTCTTCCACATGGCCTTCCTGAGCTCATGCCCGTCCATGAACAGCCGGAACCACCTCCTATCATACCTGGGCAGCCTCCTCCCCACCCCACCGGCGGGCTCCCCGGCAAGCTCCCTCACCGTCTCAAAATACTCTTCAAAGTCCGGGTGGATGGTGAGGAACCTGGGCCCTTCCCCCTTCTCCGCCACCCTCCCGGCCTCCCAGGCGCGCATCTCGGCCAGGCTGGGCAGCGTGCCCCTCCCGGCCAGCAGGCGCGCGGCGTAGACGGCCTGCCACTCGAAGATCTTGAACGTCAGGCCGGCGCCGACGCCCCCGACAAACAGCAGCGTGGGGTCCTCCTGCCACACGACGTGCTGGTACAGGCCCGGGACCCGGTTGTTGCGGACGGGGACCTGCGGGAGGAAGGGCAGGGTCCAGCTGTACCCCGTGCCGAAGATGAGGTGGTCGACGCCGCGGACCGCGGAGCCGTCGGCGAGGAAGACGGTGCGGGTCTCGGCGTCGACGCGTGCTATCGAGGGCTGCCTCTGTATGCGCGGGTGGTTGAAGGCCTCGTCGCCAAAGTAAGGGTTGAAGTTGTGGCCTATCACGACGGCGTGGACGGGGCCGTCTGTGGCTTTGCTCGAGGCCAGGTCGTATGCGATGTCGGCGGCTGACACGGAGGCGCCCACTGTCATCACACGCTGTTGGTCTCTTGTCAGCCTGTGCTCCAGCCATATGCCATATGGGCCCAGCTCGTCCCCCTGAGCCCGTGTGTGTCACTCACCTTCCCTCTGAAGCCGTCGCGGCCCCTGTACATCTTGCTGTGCAGCACGCTGCCCGGCCGCGACGACTCAAACTCGGCCAGCCCTTCGATGGGAGGTATCCACGGGACATTAAAGTGCCCCGACGCCACGACAACAGCATCGAATCTCTCGGCCCACCACTCATCCGCGCCGTCGCCGTCGCCCTCGCCCTCCCGCCGCAGCGTGACCTCCCACTCCCCGCCGACCTTGACCGCCCTCTCGACGGCAGTGTTGTACGACACGAGGTCCGCGTAGCCGTTGCGGCCCCACAGGCCCTCGACATAGCGCCGCAGGACCGTCCAGTGGCGGAACGGCGTGTCGGGGCCGTGCCTGGCAACGGACCACTCGCTCCGCTCGGCGGGGATGTCCTCGGCGCCGCCACCCGTGTAGCTCATGGCCACGTCGTCGACGTTGGTCTCGAGGTACGGGTAGATGGAGGACTCGGCGAAGCGGGGCTGGGCCGGCCGGGGAGCCCGAGCCGGGAGGGCCTCCGGGATGGGCACGGGCGGATCACCCTCGCGGCGGGCCAGCTCCGTGAGGTTTGTCAGGGGCGGCGGGGGTCTTGTGTCCCCTATCCTGTGCGAGTTGTGAGCGGTCATGGAACATGGTCAAGCAGAAGACGGGCTCCCTTCCCTGGGCTTACCAGCAGCCGCCGGGGCCTTCACGGCGCTCAAACACCTTTATCACGTCGAATGCCTTCTCCTGTGCCAAGGCGTCGACGGCGATGGCGCCAGCCGGGCCGGCGCCGATTACTGCCACTCGCTTGACGGGCATCTCGGCCACAGACTGCCGGTGTGTCTATGATCTCCAAGACTAGAACTATATATTGTGTGTCGAGCTGAGGTGGGCTACAGGTGAGGGATGCCAATGGCTGCTGTCATATCATCTCGGCCTGCTGTGAGCATCATCCACTATATAGTACGACTTTGTCAGACGGTTGTACTATGTATCTCCCACCCAGCAGTCCGGAAATATGAAATACGCAAAGTGGTTCCCACTGGATATGTGTCAGGACAAGGTGAGGTAGGCCATGTAAACCTTCATCCTTCGGCCGACCGGATGGTGTGAGATGGCGCCATCTGCTTAAGCCGGGATTAGCCAGTCTGCCGGTGCGCAATGGAGCACACCTATTGCTATGTGGATTGGTTTGTCCACCTGCACTGTTTATCAGTCTCTCTTTCCTTTTTTTTCCTTTTTTTTTCAACCTCATCGTTGCCTGTTGTCAATATTTGATATGCAATTTTGGTCAAGGGATATGACGATATGGTCTCGCTCAGATCATATGAAACGTGACGTGGGCGTCCAAGTAGATAGTCTGTCTACCAAGACCCTACGGTGTAGGGCCCACTGACGAACTCTGCATGGCATGGAAAAGCATATTGTTTGCAGCTCAAAAACACAGGGCCGCCCTTACAGCCTTATGGAGGCTGCTGGGTCGGCACTGACCACAACCGTCCAAGACATCAACCTTGAATTCTGGAAACCAGTGCCCATCATCCTGGCGCCTGCTATCATTGATGGAAGCCCATTTCTGCCCTGCTGATTCGTGATCTAGCCCATGTAATCCAAACGCCGGTCTATGCAGTATCATCAAGCCCTCACAACGCCATGCCAGCCAGCCAGCCAGCCTCTCCAAGCAGTTTGCCCGCACCGTGATGCCCCGCGGTTTGTCTCAGGCAAAATAACAGAGTTCGAACACAACCCTTCCTGCAGGCGCAGCATCATGAAGACGCCCCGTTCATCTTGACCATCTCATACTCGCCCGCGCCGTCTCTGCCCCTCCCCCGGCCCCTGCCTCTCGAAAACCCCTGCTCCTCATCGCCGTCCGCCGCCTGGCTGCTGCCCTCGCCTGCACCGCCGGCGGCGCTCCCATTCGCATTATTATTGTTGTTGCTGCTGCTGCCGTTGTTGCTGTTGTTATTTCTGCCAGCCCCGGAGGAGGCCCCCCCACCGCCACCAAAGAAGACGGGCCGTAGCTCCCTGTACTGGCACCCCCAGACGCCGAGGGAGACGCCGAGGGCGCTGGAGAGGGCCATGGCGACCCACCAGAAGACGTTGCGCGGGATCTGGCCGGCGTACAGGGACACGACGACGAGGTGGATAAAGTGGGTGGTGAGGCCGAAGTCGAGGACGAGCTTGGAGCGGATCACGATCATGACCATGGCGACGGCCCTGTGTGGGGCGGACGGAACGGGCAACATGTCAGCCAGCTCAGCAGAGGGAGGACCAGCCACCAGCCACCAGCCACCACCCACACCCGCCGGGGAATACTACTCACATGAACAAGCCCCCATCCAGTATCCACATGAAGGCGTTCAGCCAGCCCTGCGTCGTGTCCCCCCTGACTGCGGACCAGCCCAGCACCAGGTCGAGCGAGAACCCGCGCCCGGACACGAGGGCCGTGAAGAGCATCAGGACGAGGGCGGCGAAGTAGTAGAGGGCCTGCAGGGCGGCGATCTGGCCGAGGATGCGCAGCGGCGGCAGCTCCGTCAGGGCGCCCGAGCGCGGTGGTCTTCGTCTCCGCGCCATTTCCTTTTTGTGTTGGGGGGCGGGCTGCGACCCTCGTGGCAGGGTCTGTGGTGGTGGTGGTGGTGGTGGTGGTGGTGGTGTTGATGTTGTGGTCGGCACAGAAGAGGAGGAGGAGGAGGAGGAGGAGGAGGAGGAGGAGGAAGGGAGTGGTGCGCCGGAGGGGGCGTTCGTCGAGTCTCGTGGGCAGCTATATGCCTATCGGTTGTCGCAGGATGGCGGGTGGTCGCGTGTTGGTGTTGGCAACAAGGGTCGAGATCTTGAAGCTCTTTCTCAGAAGCGGTAAGGGAAGCAGGTTGGGGCGGCTGGATGATAGGGTATTCGGTACCTAGGCTAGGGGTGTGTGAGTGTGGTCGTCGCAATGACTCCTGTCCCTTGCTGCCCAGGTGGTTTCCCGTCCGCTAGGGACAGGTAGCCGAACCCTGCCTGCAGCTCTACCCCGGCAACCCGGAACACCACGGCAGTGCACCAAGCTCCCGGCACTGACGTACACTGCCCAGGCCCCTGGCCTGCACCCCTAGGCGAGGCCTGACCGCCCAAATAATTCTGCCACGGCGCCGCGAAGCTCTCGTGTGAGTGAGTGAGTGAGTGCGTGAGTGCATCATCCATCCATCCGTCCATTCAACACCAACCCGTACAGGGCCAATCTACCCCCACCCCCCTGCAGAACAAAAGGAAAATGGGCCTCACAGACTTCTGGAAGTCACCCACAGACAAGCGCGCCGACGAGGTCCGCAGCGGCGCCGTCGCCCCGACCCGCACGGAGCGCAGGAAGTGCTGGGAGAGCCGCGACGCCTACTTCGCATGCCTCGACCGCAACAGCATCCTCGACGCCATCAAGGACGACAAGGCCGCAGCTGCGCAGTGCGGCGGCCAGTCGGCCGCCTTCGAGAGGGACTGCGCCACCGAGTGGGTAAGCAACCAGCCTTCAGCCTTCAGCCTTCAGCCTTCATCAATATACCCTTCAACAACGTGGGCTTGGGACTGACCGCGCGGGGGGTGGCCGTTTGGCTTTCCTGCAGGTGACCTACTTCAAGAAGTGGCGGGTCGCAGAACACAACAAGAAGCAGAGGTTGGCCCAGCTGCAGGCCGAGGGCGCCCAGAGCGTCCAGATACAGACCGGGCCCGCCGGCTCATAAAAGGAAAATCCCAGCCTCGCAAGCTGCGTGTACATACCACACTGTATAAAGAGAAAGAAGATGGGCAAACACACCAAGGCATATATCACTTGGGACACCCAAGGGGGATTACAAGTCGCACTCTTTTACGAGTGGCCGTGGCGGGCGTTTAGGGGCGGGAGATCAAACTGTTTGTTTAATACCAGGAAACCATTCAACTCCAACCAATACCACTGACTCCCTTCACGTCAAGTGCAAACGAGTAGTCGTACAAGGCAAAAGGACAGAGGCTGCAAGGAGACCGACCTGAAGACCACCGGATCCGCCGCCGAGTCGTGGGCACAAAACACGCTTCCGGACGACCAGGCCAATGTTTCTCAATAGGCAGCAGCAGCATAGACAAGAGACAGAGCTCCAGTTCCGATGTTCATCCAATGTTAGTCTATGAGGTATCATTGAAGCTATATACAATGCCCCCAGCATGCAATAAGTCATCCAAAAACTTCCCCCTAGTCCCTTCAGTCAACTCATCTCCATGACCTCGGGGAGAGGCGGCGGTGAGGAACAGGGGATCAAGCCCATCCTGTATTTTGCTTTTCTCTTCCGGCGTGTTTTCATGACAATTGTGTAAAATCCCCCCCCCCCCAAAAAAAAAAAAGAGTGAGAAAGGGTGAGGGAAGGGCAAAAGGAGAAAAGTCCCGATTTAGTCTTCATTTTGAGATTTTTTGGCTGCTGGTGTTGTTGGTGTTGCTGAGGTTTGTTGTTTTATATCCATTCGTCGCGGGAGAGGGGTACCTGTCCACCTTTACTACCCTACTCGCTTCCACCCCAGAAGGGAGAAGAAACACCCCCAAACTTTCTTGTCTCTCCGCCTTCTCTTCCCATCTAAACCCGTCACACAAGAAACTCCGGTACAGAAACAGCAAACACCGTTTAAATTCGACCTGGCCAAATGAACGCAGGAACAAAGGAAAGGGAAAAAAGTGTAAATAAGCTGGATCGGTTCGACTGGGGTGGGCGTGTCAGTCGGAAGCCAAACCAAAAAAAAAAGAAGAAAAAAAGGTGGAGGAAGAAATGAAGCGATAGAAAGAAGACGAGAGATAAGCGGGTGGTCGTGTGGTCGAGAGTCAGGAGTGGGAAAGCTCAAGAAAAAAAGAGTATTGACAAGAAAGGTTTGATTCGATGCTTTCGATGCTGTGTAGTGGTATCATATCGTTCTTTGCGCGAATAAACAAAAATCAGCACCTTTCCCCAAGATGGGGAGAAGGGGTCCTGCTGCCTCGGATGTCTCTTCCTCATTATCGCCCCCTGCCTTGGCCGTTGCCACTTTGTCTTTGTCTCTTGTGGCCATGTGAAACCAGACCCTCGTTGTCTCCATCTCTGTCTGGCTGGCTCTTATCCTTTGCCGGGGTTTTCATTTACGCCGGCCCGTTGACGGCAGGCAGCGGGGGCAGGGCCTTATCCAAGCTGTCCCGGCTCATCTGCCCCTTGACGCCGCCCTTCTCGGAGAACTTTGATACTTGGCTCCCGCTTCTCGCCCGGCCCATCATCTCGTGCACGCCGATCCCGCTGTCGGCGCTCTCCGGCTTGGTGAGTCGCTTCCCGTGGCCAAATGCGCTGCCGTTGCCATTGCCTGCCATGCTGCCACTCGTCTTGGGCGGGGTTGGGGGCGCCCTGGACGGCTCACGCATGTTCGAAACCGCCGGGTTGCCCGATCCGGAAGGCGTCACTGGTCGGCCGTTCGGGCTGGCCATCCCGTTGCCTGATCTGTTTGCGCTGTGGTCATGCTCGCCGTTGGTGGAACCCTCGCTAGGCTCCTCCACAATGGGCAAGATTGCCTGGTTTGCTGTGTCATGGTTGTTTGAGATGGGGTTGCTGGTGCCCATCATTGAGGGAGCAGTAGCGGCCGCTATGGAGGGGAAGATGCCGCCGCTGGTCGTGCCAGTCGTCTTGATGACCCGCTCCGGGACTCCCTGCTCGGAATGGCCGTGCTTCTCCGCCTTGGACGCGACATGTTCAGCTCTCCGAATTGTCTCCTCCGCCTGAGGCGAGATGGCCCCGGAGCCGCGCCCCGGTGGCGGGGGAGGCTCGTGGGTTGGGGCGGCTGGGATGTTGTTACTACTTGACTTGCGGCCTGCACTGTTCCAGCTTGGCACACGCTGTTTTGACTTCTCGGCGGCTGCCACGGCCTCGGCATTCTGTCTCTCCTCGGCCTCCCGCTGTGCCTCCTCGGGAGACATGGTGATGCCGGTCATGAAGTTGAGGAATCGATCACCATACTGCTCTGGTGGCAAGGCTGAAATCTGCGTACGGTCGCTGGAGAGTCCTTTCCAGAAGTGTTCGATTTTTTTGATGACGCCATACTAGACCCAAGTTAGTGCTACCAAGTTCTCCCAGACAGGACATGGCCTTCCTTCTGGACTTACATGTGTCAAGCAATCGATCACTCCCAGGTAATAGATCTCTTCGCCGGGCGTGTTGTCTTCGTGGGTGGCGCGCATGCCGCCGTCGTCCGAGTAGAACAGCGAGTCAGACTTGGAATTGGCGACAGAGTCCTCCAGGACGTCGGGCATGCCAGACATGCTCTGTCCCATGGGCACCGGCCGTTCAGACTTGATCAGCTGCCGCATCTGGGCAGCACGGCGCTGGTTCTCGAGCTTGGAGGGCGTGCGCATCAGCACCTGATTGGGGTCCTCGGAGCCCTGGGCGCCGCCAGGGCTGAAGACCTGGAGGTTTTGAGCCCGCAGGTTCTCCTCGTTACCCTTGCGGGTGTCGTGCACGCCAATCAGGAGGGAGTAATCCATTATGTGAAGCTTCTGCATCAGCTTGACATCCTTCTGCAGCTGCTCCATGAAGAGCCGCTTCTTCTGGATGCCGAGTTCCAGGTGCCTCTGCCGCCTCAGCCAGTTCAGGTCCTTGAGCGTCGCGCGGGGGTTCTTCTCCAGGTCCTCCTCCTTGTAGTCTCTCCCAATAGTAGATCCTTTCAGGTCAAAGGTGGTGTGTATGTCCCGGTGTGGCGGGAACAGGTTGTTCATGACGACAAAGTGGATCTTCCTGCCCCAGGGCGTCTTGACCCGATGCAGGCCGTAAAACTGGGAGAGCAACGTGTTCGGGTTTTCGGTCACATGCTGGTAGTATTCCTTCAAAATCCTACGAAGAAACTTGTGCTCGCCATGGTGGATCGTCTTGATGATGAACCTGTAGTCCCTGGAGAAGTAGAAGAAGCTGCCGCTCTTTCCGGGTGACCCAAGCTCCGAGAGGATGTATTTTCCTGTCAGGGACATGAGGTAGTCGGCCGGGTCCAGGTGGAACAGCTGGCGCAGGTGTCGGAAAACCCAAGGCGCGTAGTCCTTAAACTTGAAGTCGTACTTTGCGGAGGGCACAAGCTCATTTCCGGTGCTGCAATTGCGGGACTGTTAGTGGCCGGGACATGGGATGCGGGTCTGTAAAGATGGCGAGGAGGGGGGGATGCTCCCGTGAGACTTACATATCGAATGTTGTTTTGGACTTAGCCTCAAAATCCGCGTCTGTCAACGGGCGATCCAGCTTGGCATTTGTGCGGGAAACGGCAACTCGGATGCCCGTCAGCATGTTGTAGGCCGTGACCCAGTTGGCATGCTTCTCGTCGACCTTGGTGCCGACCAGGACGCGGTCGTCATCCTCCTCTTCCTTCTTCTTCTTCTTGCTGGCCCTCTTCTGCCGGTATGCCTCTGCCCAGCGCATCGCGTCCTCGTCGGGGAAGGCCTCGTCGCGGGGGAAGTCGCTGTGCAATGAACGGGTGTTGCGCCTGACGAGGTTGATGGAGGCTCTCCTGGCACCGCTGGGGGCGGCATTGGTAGGCGAGAAGCGACCGCTGGTGACTGCAGTGTCTTGGCCGTCACGCGACCCGCGGGGCTGGCCGGGCCTGGGGACCTCTAGAGTGTGACGATGTTTCAGCCCTGGGTTTGCTGGGTGGAGATTGGGCGTGGATGAGTTGAGACTTGTGTTACCCGACATCTGGGCGGGAGAAGAGAAGCGCTGGGGGGGTGGAGGGTTGGGATCCAGGCTGGACCTCTGGTTTGCCGGGCTCGGGGATCGGATGCGGGAGCCCATGTCGCTGTTGGGGCCATTGAAGCTGCCGGCGGCGCCGTGTGCATCCCCCCTCTGGCCTTGGTGCATCGTCATGCCCGCCGGGGAGGGCTGGGCGGAGGTGGTGGTCGCAGAGGCCACTGATGTCCTTATCGAGGGCGGCTCCGCGTAGCTGTGGTACGAGGTGCGATCAGCTGTGCCGTTGGGCAGCTGTGGTCGGGGTGGAGCGGCTCGGTCTGGCGGAGAGACTGTGATGGGGGCAGGGCTGGACACGGGCGGCTTCTGGGGCCCGGCGGCGTGGGCGAAGCCATTCGTTGACGGCCAGTGGCAGTCCTCCCCGTCAATGGCTCCATTGTGGCCATTGGTTGTGCTCATAGTCGAGGTCCGGGTGTCGTTGCCGTTCATGTGGGTGGCGTCCGACGACTCGGAGATGTGTGTTGAGTGGGAGGAGCTGCCGTCAAAACTATCATTTGAGACGTGCGAAGAGTTGGCCGAGTGCGGGACGTGTCCATTGACCTTGATGTCAATGCTGGAGATGGCCTCGTGGTAGTGGCTGGGGCCGTTCAGATGGACGACTCCGGCGTTCTGGAAGTGGATTGGCGAGTTTTGGTCATTGAGGAACGATGGCATCTCGGAAGGAAAGAGAACAGAATACTAAATGAGCGATGATGGTCGGGAAAGCCGAGGGGGGGAGGACTGGGGAGGAGAGGTCGAAGGTCGATAGTCGAGGAACAGGCCAAGGGTGGTCGGGGGTCGGGGTCTGAAGCTGGTCCTGCCTTGGTCGAAAACCCACCCAAACAAGGGAGATGGTCCTGAGACTCTGTGCTCGCCCTACCCGAGGAGTCGATGAAAGGGTGGTGACGTCCTCAAGCAAGGCAAGGCGTGACGGTGATGATCGTGGAGTGTGGTTTTGGTGGTGTTTGCAAGGTGTGGTGGCAGCAGTAGTAGGAAGTGGTGGTGGTGGTGGTGGTGGTGGATTTGGGGAGCGAGTCGAGGAAGGATTTAGGGGATAACGAGACGGGCGAATCGCGTCGGCATTGCTTGTCAGGCAGTAGTAATCAATGGGGGGGCCGGGGGGGTGTGGTTTGCTGTGCTGATCTGAGTACGGGCCGGCTAGGATGGTGTGGTTGGTCCAAGGGGGCGGTCGCGTCTGGCACAGGCTGCTGTTTGTTGTATTGGCAAGCTTGGCTTGTCTGGAGGGGGCGGTCGGAAGGGTGAGGACAGGCCGTCGAGGTCGTCGATATGTAGGATGTGTGAGGATGAGGATGAGGGTGCAGGTAGTGCACGGCAATCAAGGCCAGAGAATTGAGTTCTGAAGGGGGGGACGTCGTCACTCTACTTCGAGATTGCGAGTTTTGCTGGGGCTGGAGCAGGAACTGGGCCTGGGACTGGGCCTGGGACTGGGCCTGGGGACTCGCGGAACTGGGCAGAATGCAACGTGCAGGCAGGCAGGCAGGCACAGGCAGGCAGGCAGGCAGGCACTGAGAGAGAGACACACAGACAGACAGACAGAGTCGAGAGAGGCTGGCAGGGCAGGGGGGGTTGGCGGACGGACAGAGAGACAAGAGAGGGAAAGGAGGTCCGGGTCGGGCTTTGGGGGGCACTAGGACTACCAGGGTATGGGGCTGGCTGGGCTGGCTGGGCGAGGGTGGGTAGCCGATCGGATTGGGCGGCTGAGCCACTGAGATGGGTCCCACCAGCTCCAATACAGCTGAAGTGCCCGTCCAGCCCGCCCAGCCCGTCCAGGGCTGCCAGCCCGTTCAAGCCGTCCTATTGTTAATAAATAACTCTGGCTCCCACGTTTTGCTGCGCGGGTAACAGACCCTGCCCGGGGCATCTCGGATAGGATACGACAGGGCCAATCATCCCACCAGACGCCCGAGGTGCCTGAGTGCTTGCAATCACGAGTGTACTGCAGCACAGCCTCTGACGGCCCGAGACCGAACTAACAATCAGGGACCTAGACAGATAATAATCAGATAGTTCAATCATATCGCGCGCGAATCACCAAAGCATGCTGATGTTCAAGACTAACTACGGAGTAGACAGACACTGCAATAAACTGACTCCTGTGCAACAAGAGCATGCACCTCGCCGTATCCACTGTTTCCTAGAATAACACCCTTGCAGATCCAACGACGCCAGCACGCGCAACCTCAGCAGACAGTCACGTACTGTGTAAACAAGGTTGGTGGAGTGGATGGATGAATGAATGTTCTGCGTCAGGGAAGACCAGAGAAACATCACCACCAATCAACCCACACCCGGTCGTTCGTCTCTGCCCCGACTTGCCCGACCAACAAGCATAATAAGCTGCTGCTACCTGGGCCAAAAACATGCAGGCAGACCTGTCACTGTCAGCCTGCCCAGCCTGCCCCAGTGCCACCCTGCTAGGGCTGCCAGGTACGGGGTACAGTACGGAGTACATACATAAATAGTGGGTAGTGCCACATACGGGCCCCCCTGTCGACGATCACCACCACCACCCCTAATCAATCTCCCAACGGTAATAATAAGCAGGTGAGAAAGCAGGTGAGAGGCGAGGAACCGAGAGAGAGGCCTGAGACCAGAAGGCCACATGTCAAACCGGGCGTGAATGAGGTCACAGCGTCGGATCATCCAGCCAGCCAGCCAGCCAGCCATCTGCCAGCCCTCCTCGCCCTCTCACCCTGAACTTCACTACATAAACAAAGAAAGAAAGAGAAGAAGAAGAAGAAGAAGAAGAAGAAAAAGACGACCTTGATCTGCACTTGAAACGACATGACAGCGAGCCATGTCCCAGGAAGGGGGTGACCCTTTCCACTTCCTACTCCTTTTCCTTTTGCCTTCCCTTCAATCCCGCAGTCGATCAGTCATTAGTCCACTCATGGGCTGGCTATATGGGACCCCTGTGAGGAGTATGCCTTTGAACGACCAAATACAGACGAGTATACACACAAACACTGTTGCCACAGTATCGACGCCCGCCTGATGTACGGGCACCACGCATAAGAACGCACCATAGCATATTATACTATGTAGCATGTTGGCAAAGCAAGCAAGACCCCCAAGACCCTGGCAGCGCATCCGCCTCACCAGCCCGAGTCCCGGCGCGGCGCACGCAACGGGTGCCAGCAGTGGGCAGCGAGGGTGGAAGCCCCACAATTCATCAAAGAGAGGGAAAAGGGGAGCAACGAGACAACAACCCAACAACCAGACAACCCAAATCTCGTGGCTCCGGGGACCCGCCCCCGCCAAGGCCACCAACGAGATGGGCAGTTGATCAAACCTGACAGGGACATCTTTAGTCACGCTTAATTACCCTGGTCGGGTCACGGAGCCGCGTGCCTTTATTTCCACGACGAAATAATAGTTGAGGCGGAGTAGAGAGTGAGTTGCGCGTGAGATTGCTTTGTGGTGTCAGGACTTGGATGGTAATTACCGTTCGGCCGTATCGAAAGTGCTGGGCTGCCTCTTCCTTCCCCCCCCGCCCCGGGCCCTCTTCTTTCAAATGAGATGACGGATGGGTCATTTGCTTCATTGGTGAATGCCACGTTCTGGAGCTGCAAATCCCTAGGCATGCCTGTGGTGTTGAAAGGTGATGAGCATCCCAGGTACATCGCCACCGTCCAGCCGGCATTGCGATGCCCACACGAGCCCGCTCAGAATACAGAATAGTCACACAACAACAACCTGTAAACCCCTTGCTTCCCACCCCTCCGTCGCCCGGAACGGAGTTGTCATCCTTGCCAACAAGCCACTGCCCGGTCAGAAGCACCGTTTTACCTAGGGTATCTATGCCCCGGCCACCACAGCCAGGCCGTCGTAGATCATCTTCTTAACCGCCCAGAACGTGCCACCCTGCTGCGGTGCCCCGGCGGCTGCCGGCACGCAGATGCTCTCCACCTCGATACGCCCCGTCGCGCTCTTCCTCACCGCGACCGCCCCGTCGATGAGCAGCGTGCCCTCGCCCCGGAACTCCGCCGTGTGGCCCGCCGTCTGCATCGCCCGCCGCAAGTCCGCGAGCCGCAAGTCGCCGACGTGTAGCGGCTGCGCCACCGACCGCGATGCCGACGCCATTGTTGTTGGCAGCACATCCAAAGTCGGCACCACTGGCACCGCCGGCACCAATGCTTTCCCGTCGGGCCCTTCTCCGGCTTCAGCCTCGCCCTCGGTCTTGAGCCGCTTGTGCGCCGCTTCTTCTTCTGCCGCCCCGGGCAGGTGCGGGTGTGTGTCGGCGTTGCCTTCCGCGCCCAGTAGCCGCGCCGTGACGGTGACGATCCCCAGGCCACGAACGTTTTGCCATTTGAGGCGTTTGACAAGTGGTTCGGCAAGTTTGACAACCCACGCATTCGTGTCTACACTGGCATCGACCGGCACGCCCACCCCTGGCGTCAGCACCTCGGCCGTCGTTGTGCCGTTGTCGGCGGTGGTGATCTCGGCGCCCAGGAGCTTTTTGCAGTCGGCCGCGAGAGCCATCGTCTCCTCCTCGCTGCCTGACACTAGGATGAGCTTCCGTGGCTCAATCAGAGGGATAAGCATGCTGAGGGATCGCTTGTCATGCAGGCCGCTGAAGTCAACGAACGCGATGCGGAGATTGATAGGGATGATCTCTTTCGTGACGACCAGTTTTGATGGGCCCAGGTTAGGCGCCTCTTCCTCTTCTCCGCCATCGAGCTCCTCGTCCACAGCTGTCGAACCCTCTGAAGGGGCGGTCATAGGCACGTCGTCAGATCCAGCTCTGTTCGGCTGTGGCCTCTTGTTGTTGGCGTTGGTCTTCTTGCCAAGGTCGTCCCACTTTCGCTTCTTGCCAATGCCCTCGGTTTCCTCCTTCTTCACAGCTCCTTGTTCCTGCCCGTCGTCCTCCCGCTCTTCTGCTTTGAGGAAGTCTTCTGGTCGTATAAGATCGCCAAACTCGTCGGCCCGTTTCCTTCGCACGGGAATGGGGAATATTCGCTCCCTGCCTCGCTTCCCACGTACATCGTAGTCATGTACGCCCGTCTTCTTGACCAGCACGTTGATACCCAGGTCTTCGTCCTTCAAAACCACCTTCTTCCGGCTTGCTTGTCCCATAGTCGTCGACACGTTCAGAGCTCTGCCTTGCTGTTCAGTCTCTGATTCTTCTGATTCCGTGGATGATTCGGATGAGGCATCGTCAACGCCATCCCCAACTGTCTCGAGGGCGGTTACTCCACCGGTCTGAAGTGTGGCCTGTAATTGCCTCTGTGTAGCAAGCCACTGCTGGTAAATTGTAAGATCGTTGCCTTCGAGAGGTACCCGTTGTGCCTCGGTGATCTCTAGCTCCCTCCCTCCCCCGTAAACCTGCTCAGCAGTCTCCCCGCTGCTCAGCTGTTCCGCCGCGACACCATCCCGACGCTCTTTCCACCACTCCCACAGAGTCCTGGATATCGACGGCGTGTCCAGTAGGCCGAGGTTTGGTTTCTCGGTAAGAACAACAAGGTTCTTCGGGTCCCGGGCAATGGATCTGAGGACATCTTTCGAGAAGCCCCATTCCATGCTCCGGTCGCTCGCGAGAACAACCATGCCCCGTGTCCAACCCTCCTCGGTCGACCTGCGAAGAAGACGCTCGACCTGTGTCTTCCGCTCCAGCAGTTTCAGGTGCTTAAAATCGAATGGGCCCGAGCTTTTACCCTTGTTTCCGTCACCATTGACGTTTTTGGAGCCGTCAGCGACGGCCTCGAACTCGCGCACGATGCTCTCATCCATCCACTCGAACATGCTCCTAGCATGGCGCAGGGTGCTGCTGATGTTCCTGGCTGCAAGATATAGATGGGCGCCACTAAGGCTGCCCGTGACATCCTTCCCCTTGGTCGCTTCCTCACGCCACGCGTGTTCCATGAGGTACGACAATTCAAGAACTCTGGCGCTGGAGTCGACCGGGATCAGGACCGTGCCGCCTTTGGCAACGCATGCGCGGATGTTATCAAGCAGTTGCTCGTCTCGTTTTGTGCGAGCCAGTGATGTTGGTGTTCTGCTACTGCATACAAGCGCGGTGGGCTTGCGCAGCTGCTCGATGACCTCGGCTCCTCCGTGCCCGCCTCCTAGCCACGCCGCGCCCGCAAACACGTTCTCTCGCGCCTGGTTCCAGTCGACAGCATAGACAATCGACTCCAATCCATGCTGAATGTGCCATATAGTGCCACCAAGCGTGTGTCCAGAGTTGTAGGCGGTAATGGTCAGGCCGTTGAGCGGGGGCGAGAAGGGAGACGGAAGGGGCTGGTGGGGTTGCGAGTATTTCAGGGGCTGGACGAGGGAGAAGTAACGGGCAATCTCTTCAGAGGTTGGGGCCTGGCGCAGGAAGTTGTCGTTGGGAGACGCTGGCTGGGTGTAGGCATACGAGGTCTCGGCAAGGGAGCCATGGTTGATAGTCGTGGCGGCTGCTGGAGTTGATGCGTACAAGTCCTGCAGCAGTGTTCTCCCGAGATCGATGACTGGCCTGGTGGCATAGACGGGGATCCGTGTGAACAGTGGAAAGTTCTTGCAGCAATGGGCAAAGGCCGCAAGGTGGGAGACCGTCGCGTGTGTAAGGAGGATCAAGGATAGCGTAGGGACTTGCCTGTGCCCATTTCCTGATTAGCGACGACAAGCGCGGGCAGCGGGAGGGATTGCGCCCGTGGAGGAGGGGAGCTCCGGCATACTTCTCGAGCTCCTTGAGCTTCTCGACGTCGAAGGACTCGTCCCAGCCGACGTCGATGAGGACCTTGACACCTCCGTCCAGCTCCAGCAACGACTGGGAGGTGGTGGACTCTGAGAGAGCCCCCTGGAGGGGGCAGAAGGTGAACATGGTCGCCCTGGTCAGGTACTATGTCGACATGCGCATCTTCTCCTACAATCTTCTGTTGCTTTGGATCGCGATAGGGAGATGCGGGCCGTTGGGACCCGTGGCGGGAAAACGGCGATCAGATCAAATGAACCTGACTCTGCTAGCCAGGCCTGATGGGCTTGGTAAGGACCGAAGAGTGTCGGAGAGTGTTTGTCGAAGAGTGTTGTTCAGGGAGTGTGTGCAGGGAAGATTTGGAGCTGGCTGTCCGATGCGTGCTGAGACACAAAGGACGAGAATCCCTGAATCCCTGACTGCAGAGACCTGACTCCAATTGACGTGCAGTGCTCCCCAGACTGCCAGAAAGTGATCAACACGAGGGGTGGTCCCGACCGGCAGGCAGTTCAAATGTTTGGGCTACCAGGGGGGGCATCGGGGTATCTAGGTACCTAGGCAGCTGGGGATTGAGCATGGATCCCTGTCTAGTGTTCCTGGTGTCACTTTTTGGAAAGGCCACCTTGAGCTTGACCATCTGGTGTGTAGCGACGATGCGGGCAAGGGCGTCCTCCCAATTCCCGTACCTATTTCTCAATACCCAATCACCCTGGTCCATTGGAGACACTCTCTTTTGAAATACATTCACGTCTGTGAACACACACATCTGATCCTCACCCATGGCCAGGCTGGTCTTTGTGCAAAGCCAATGAGCCTGTTCGCAACTCGCCTCACACTCTTCCCTCCCACTCCCTTGGCGCAAACACCAGCATCCTAGACGGGCCTCGGCCATCATCACCCACGACCACGCTGTCCCACGGCACCCACGCCTGACCTTGCCGACTTGCCCTCCACACACCCGCGCGAGCAGTCCTCTCGTGCAGACGGTCAAGATGGACCACGCCATGTACCATTCTCTTGGCATGGGCCAGCAAGATCCCAATGACCCAAACAACCAGTACAACCAGTCGAACCAGCCCGCACCAAACCAGTTCCAACCGCCCGTTGCTCCCAACCCATACGAGCAGCAGCAGCAGCAGCAGCAGCAGCAAGGTACTCCTCAGGGACAACAATACTATGGCACCCCTTCGCAGATGCAACCTGGCGGCCCCTCGCCACAGCCGACCCAGGGATACTTCCAAGGCCAGCCCCAGGCAGACCCAAATGATATCACAGCGCAGATGGCAGGCATGTCGCTTGGGGCCGAGGGACATCAGGTTGGCACGGGAAAACGGAAGAAGAAGGACAGGCACGCATACCACCAGGTCGAATCCACCGGCTCGTCTCAGGCCTTCAACGGCATCCCCCCAGCAGGCACACCTGCCACGGCTTTCCTGAACGCCGACCCCTCAGGAACCACCGGCTTCGTGGGCCAGCCAGGCTTCTCGCCCCAGCCGAACCAGGGCGCCTTCCCGGCTCCCCATTCCCCGTACACACCCGGTGGCGCTGCCTCCCCAGCGGACTTCGGCGCGAGGAATGGGTCTGCCGAGGCCGCTGTCGCGGCCGGAGGGCAGAACAAGGTCTCCCAGGACGAGCTTCCCAGCGTGCCCGCCGCCCGAGACGCTGCGCAACAGCACTATCTGACCAACATATACCCTACCTTCGAGAAGCATGTCCCGCCTCCTGCTTCTGTCTCCTTCGTCGCCTTTGACCAGGGCAACTCCTCGCCCAAGTTCGCCCGCCTAACCATGAACAACATCCCCGCCACCTCCGAGGCGCTACACACGACCGGGCTACCTCTAGGCCTCATGCTTCAGCCACTGGCCCGGGCTCAGGCAGGCGAGGCCGGGGTGCCCGTTCTAGACTTTGGCGACATTGGCCCGCCCCGCTGCAGGAGGTGTCGCGCATACATCAACCCTTTTATGATGTTCCGTTCGGGTGGCAACAAGTTTGTTTGCAACCTTTGCACATATCCCAATGATACCCCTCCAGAATATTTCTGCGCAACTTCACCCCAAGGCATTCGCGTCGACCGGGACCAGCGGCCGGAGCTGTGCCGTGGTACCGTCGAGTTTGTCTGCCCCAAGGAGTACTATAACAGGGAGCCCGTGGGCTTGCGATGGCTATTCGTCATCGATGTCACCCAGGAGGCCTATAACAAGGGCTACCTCGAGGCGTTCTGTGACGGCATTCTGGCCACTCTGTATGGTGTGGATGAAGCCGAGGAGAAGGATGAGAGCGGAGAGCCAAAAAGGAGACTACCGCCCAACTCGCGGGTTGGCTTTGTTACTTATGACAAGGAGGTGCATTTCTACAACTGCAGTGTAAGTAACTGAGGCCGTACTGTCTGTTCCTGAAGCTGACTAATAATTTCAGGCCGCATTGGAGCAAGCTCAGATGATGATCATGCCCGACATCGAGGATCCTTTCGTACCCCTGAGTGATGGGCTGTTTGTCGATCCCGTGGAGTCAAAGTAAGGACCGCCTCCTGACATTTCCTCACTCGAGAAAGAAGCGCTGACGATAGAATAGGGCCGTCATCTCGTCTCTGCTTACAAGATTACCACAGATGTTCTCCGCGATCAAGAACCCAGAACCCGCCCTGCTTTCCACCCTGAACTCTGCTGTGTCTGCTCTCGAGAAGACAGGAGGCAAGATCATCTGTTCCCTATCGGCCTTGCCAACATGGGGTCCCGGCCGCCTCTTCATGAGGGACGATGGCAAGCACCCGGGTGGTGAGATAGACAAAAAGCTGTTCACAACCGAGCACCCCGGCTGGAGGAAGCTGGCCGAGAGGATGGCTGCCGCTGGGGTCGGATCCGATTTCTTCCTTGCTGCACCCACTGGTGGCTATCTGGACATTGCCACAATCGGCTACGTCTCTGCCATCACCGGCGGCGAAACCTTCTACTACCCGAACTTCGTGAACGGAAGAGACAATGCCAAGCTATCCCTCGAGGTGAAGCATGCAGTCACTCGGGAGACGGGTTACGAAGCACTCATGAAAGTTAGGTGCTCCAATGGCTTGCAAGTCTCTGGGTACCACGGCAACTTCATCCAACATACGTTCGGGGCTGATCTCGAGATTGGAAGCATCGATGCGGACAGGGCAATCGGTGTCACTTTCAGCCACGACGGCAAGCTCGACTCGAAGCTGGATGCCCATTTCCAGTCCGCGCTGCTGTACACCACCGCAAACGGCGAGCGCCGGGTGCGCTGCTGCAACATTGTGGCCAGCGTGAGTGACAATGCCAAGGAGAGCATCAAGTTTGTAGACCAAGATGCCGTTGTCTCCATCATCGCCAAGGAAGCCGCGACAAAACTTGCGAGCACGTCAGCCTCATTGAAGGACATCAGGCTCGTCCTGCAGGAGAAGACCATCGACGTGATGGCGGGCTACAGAAAGCATTTCGTTTCGCAGTCGTACCCACCAGCACAGCTCGTCATGCCAGACAAGCTCAAGGAGCTCTGCATGTACATGCTTAGCATGATCAAGTGCAGGGCCTTCAAGGGTGGCAATGAGACCTCGGACAGACGCGTCCACGAGATGCGAATGATCCGGGGGATGGGCTGCCTAGAGATGAGTCTGTACCTCTACCCGCGCATGATAGCCTTGCACAATCTCCAGGAGACTGAGGGCTTCGCGGACCCTGCAACGGGCCAGCTCAAGCTGCCGCCCACGATGCGCAACACCTTCAGCAAAGTCGAACCAGGCGGTGTGTACCTGATGGACAATGGCCAGCAATGCATCCTGTGGTTCCATGCGCAGACTTCGCCGAATCTTATCCAGGACCTCTTCGGCGAGGACAAGACGACGCTGCAAAGCCTGGACGCGTACACGAGCGAGCTTCCTGTACTGGAGACGCTCCTCAGCGCGCAGGTGCGGAATATTATCGAGTTCTGGAAGACGCTCAGGGGTTCCAAGGGCTTCACTGTCCAGCTTGCAAGGCAAGGCATTGATGGCGCCGAGTACGAGTGGGCGCGCGGGCTTGTGGAGGACAGGTACGTAGCAAGACACGATCAGAACGAGGGACCACAAGCTAACATGACGATCAGGAATAACGAGGCGCAGTCATATGTGGACTGGCTAGTCAACATACACCGCATGGTGCAGCTCGAGCTCGCGGGCCAGCGAAAGAAGGAGGTCGAGTCGGAGAACTCGGCCCTGGGCACCTTTGCCGGTCTGAGGCCTGCCTACTGGTAGACCACTTAAAAAACACACGGTGCAAGGAGCCAGGGAGTTGCCGCGTCGAGGAGCCGCCGTCGCGTGTCGGGACCCAGAAGCCGGGGACGGCAGTTGCCGGTAGGCAGAGTCTTTGCATGGGAGAGAGAGGCGCTGAACATATGGAATGGTTTTTTTTTCCCGCACTTGGAGTTGAGCCCGTAGGGCCAAGATTATGCAAAGCGATGGTAATGTTCAATTGGAAGTATATGTTGTCGCATGGTGCAACTGGCAGTATGAAGATCCAAATCCAAATATTGCAAGATCTGTCTCAGCCCGGTCCCTGCTTGGGACCTCCGCCTCGCATTCAATGATGCATGTTGATAGAGCATAGCCATTGCCTATCTGAGAGGGCTGCAACATTCTGACTGTCGCGCTCGAGAAGAACAGCGTCTGCCTAACGCAGCAGTCACCCCACAGCCTGCAGGGGCCGGACATTGACGCAAGTTGTTCTTCTCTGGTGATGAGGGAGATGCGAGCCGACCGGCCAGGCAAAAGTGAGACGAGACAAATGATTGAGGGCTCCCGAGGTCGTTCCGGGCGGTGCCTGCGTGGACGAGCGAGTCGTTTTCCCGATCGGCAGAGAGGGGAGACCAGAGAGAAGAATCGGCTTCCCAAAAAAGTAAGTGCTTCGTACAAAAAGGGAAGCGGGATGGGAAATGATGGTCTGATACGGCACATACATGCATACAATATATGTACATATTGGTACATGACGTGCCCCCGTCGTGATGCGGGCTGCCGAGATCGATGGATCGCTCAGAGTACCCGTCCCCTACGTGCGTATTGCTCCTGCAGGAGACAAAACCAGGCAGAGGGTGAGAAAAGAAAATTCAACAATAATACAAGTCAGTCGGATGCTGAATGGGCGCCCACGTCGGGTAAGGGCCAGGATGAGAGAGGTTTTGCTGGCGTGGTGACGAGGGCGTCCCGTCTTGCATTGTCCATCTGCGTCTCGCCCTGTCATACATTACCATGCATTAGGCGACCGTTGGATGCTGTGGTTGTTCCGGCCTCTGGCGTTTTCTTTTGAATGTCTTAATCTCCGAGTGAGTGTCTGTCCCCCACCCTCTTGTCGACGTTGAGCTGCTACGTTGCACGGCAACGGCATCCAGGCTTGCACAGTGTATTGCTCGATGCCCAGTATTCTTTTGTGGCTCTGCTCTCAAGGTCAGTCCAATCCGGTGGTCTCTGTACCGTCATGTAGACTTGTCCTCTCTCCCATCCTCAACTCTCACCGCCCCTCCCTCTTATTCTCACGTGTCTCTCTCCGTCTCTCTCGCGCGCACACACACTTACACGCACACACACGTATAAGGAGCGTGTGCGTATGCTTCCTAGCTCCTAACGAGGCCCTGCCTGGCTCAGGAATGCATTGAGGCTTGATGCATGTGTCGCTTAGCCCTCTTCAGGCCGTAGGACCTGCCCGTCGTGCGACCTGACATGCACGATCGGTGCGACTCGATCTCATTCTTGCGTGACGTTCCGCTAGAACCACCGAGGATCCCCTTTCCTTTTTCTTTTCGTTCTGTGTCTTTTGTGAGGGGGGGAGGGGGCACACGAAGCGGTCGAGGGGTGGTGTCGTGTCGTGTCTCGTCTTGACGTGTTTCCCTGTCGTAGCGCTGGAGAATTATGTCAAGGCAAGCCACACTCTAATGTTCGGCACTTTTCCCACCACACTAGAGCCAGCCGGCCAGGCTGCCAGGCCAGCACAACACTATTGCACTGACATGAGGAATGTCTGTATATGCCTCACCGGGCTGTCGTGAGGAATGATATCCAGTCTTGTTACCTGTAGAGGTGAGAAACCCCTTTGCCCGACCCTCGCCTCCGTGGGTTGGACACAAATGTTCTCATGTCGCTTACAGACACAACACCTAGATGCCATTCGTGCTTATGGGAATGTGGATCTGTGGCCCGAGTGACGTCTCGGCAATCTGAGACAGTCGAGTACCATTTTCATGCCTTCACACCGCTTTGGGAGTCGTCTCCCCAATGTGTCGTGATCTGGGTCAGGTCTGGTCAACTGGTTCTATCACCTGGCATAGGCTCTGGGAACTCGACTGACAGAGAAAATGTGGGCTTGCAGGACATAGGAGAGGCTCCCTAAATGGAACTCTTTCTCTATACCTAGGTGGTTCAAGAAGAGGACCTGGATTTAAGCTCACTTGCGCTGGTTCATTGAAGAGCCAAACTAGTCACGTATGCCATTTTAAATGAACATCGGGCTGTGACTCGCATGATTCCGATTCTACCAGATCAATGTCTCAGTGCAGGGGGGCGTACAGCAAGCGGGTACTTGATGCTCGAGGCCGTCAATAAAATGTGCTTCGTCTGAGAAAGGTCTGGACTCTCTGCCTCATCTCCATTTCGTGTCTATTGATCGGCCTCGGTAAAGCTTTTCCTGATATTCACACCATTATTACATGCGCCCCGCTCTAGGGAAAAGCAACGCCATGCCACCGCCCGGCGATGTTGAGGCGTGGGGGTTTCCTTCTTCGCCCGGCGACTAGTGACGCGCATTTGCTTTTTGTATCATTATTTTGGGAGAGACGTTGCGGATGATATGCAGCACTGGATTTTTATTGTCTGATCCCGGCCATGCTGCCATGATATTTTTCCATATCCGTTGGGACGTGACAGACAATTGATTAAGTCAACCAACCACTCGTGTCAGCAGAGACAGCGCCCCTTTCCGCGACAGCAGTGCGAGACTCAGACAGAAAAGTGTGGGCCTTTGAAAATCGACACCAATTAGGCGAGGTCACATGAGCTATATCCGTCTCAGACGATTCAGCCTCCTTGGGTACACCGCATGAGCTGTCGAGGCTGGGGCGCTTCGGGTACGACGTCGTTCCGCATTCCTTAGACCACCACCACACACAGACACACACATAAGATGTCCTGAGACTCGCAGATCACAGATCTTGCATACGCCCTGCGCCATTGCTGCAGCCCTGGGAGCATGGGGTTGGGCAAGATGCTGACGTAGGCGGTGAAGCGTCCAGGGAGGTCCTGGGCCGGACACCGGAGAGACAGCCCGGATCGACATCGCGGTTGGGGATGGAGGGAAAAGGAAACACCTCTAATTTGGAAATTATTGTGTAAAAGTAATAGAGTAAAGTGACCTCAGACGGCCGGCCGGCCAGCCACCAGCCGGAGCAAATCTTTTTTGTTTTTTGAGAATCCCAGGAATCGAGTATCAAGACGAGAAACGAAGCTTCCTTTTACCAAGAGAACCAGACCTCCAGCACAATCCAAGATAGACGCCATCCTCCGTCAAAGTCCCATGACTGGACCGGCCAAAGTAAGCCACAAGCAGCCTCCGGCCGACTACCTCCCTGCTGTCTCCATTTGCTCATGTTTTGCCTAAGAGTAGGTAATGGTCTAACACACAAGGTTACCCAGTCCCATTCTTCCGTCGGGCTGCTGTGTGACTCTCTGGATCTCGGCTGGGTTGAAGACGCGTTCGAAGACGGCCATGTCCGTCGGGCAGACTGGGATCGAAGACGAGCCGGACGACTTTCCTTTCCCCTTGCTTGAGCTGCTGCTGCCGCCGCCGCCGCCGCCCGAGCCACCAGTACCACTGCTGCTGCCGCTGCCGCCCCTGTTCTTCTTGGCCGCTTCCTCGAGGATGAGGCGCATTGTGCTCTGAGACGGGTCCTCGAACACGAAGGCGACGTTCTCGATCCTGCCCCTGAGGTTCGTGTCCCATAGGAAGACCTCGCGCCATAGCTCGGCCATCTCTTGCGGCGGGTTGCGATACCAGTTGCCCAGGCCAAAGTCGCCGATGACGACGTTGCGTATGTCGTTGTAGGCGCAGATGCTAAGGGCCGCCCGCAGCTTGTTCTTGGCCATCTCGCGCTCGTCATCGAACGAGTACTTGGTCCCACCCTCCTTGAGCTTGGGGCGGCACATGGGCGTTACCGAGACCACGGGGAGCGCCCGCCAGTCCTCCAGTTTGCGCTCCTCGTACCTATCATGCGGGCCGCGGAAGACGACTACCCCATTCACAACAGCACCCGTTAGATGAGAGTGTCCCACGAATTTCTTCGGAGCAAGGGCTCTTGACTTACCAACTCTGTCAGAGTAGATGCCTCCCGCCCAGGGTAGAGGATAGTGGCCCCCAGACACGTATGACGCCGGGCCCGGCGTCGCGATCGTGGCGGATAGCGTGCTCCTCCGGCACAGGCGCTCCTCGTAGCCAACGACGCCCGTCTCCCAGTCCCCGCCGGGCCTTTTCTCGTTGGCGGCGCAGATGAACGCCACCCTTGTGTTGTTGTTCCGCGCTGACCAGTTCGTGGCCAGATCCACGGGATCATCCGTGTGGACCCCTACGATGCGTGTTAGTGAGACCATGCGGTACAACCAGGTACGACGTGTACCCAAAAAGCCGGGGCCCCGGTTGTGTAGACGCACAAAAGGTCGGGTTTGCAAGACCCATTGGCCGCTGAGGAAATTGATCTGGTGTGAAACTGAGTGGATTTGAAAAGAGGTAGGAGTACAGCGGCCATGTGTTGGCGTAGTTCTTGCGGATGTAAGGGATGGTGCTTCTCTTGGTCTGAGCTGCCACCTCCGAAGGTTTCGGCTTGGATGATCTGGATGAGCTACCAGGCGGCATTTTGTCAAGTGTCGTCTCCTTCGCAAAGACCGGCAGCGGCGAGCAGCGACCTGAAGAGAGAGGGAAAACGAGCCAGTGTGACAAGACTGGTCAGCCGCAGGCAGTGTGGACTGTGTGAACTGCGGGAGAAGGGGGGCAAAGCAACTGAATGAGAAGAAAAAAAGGAGTGTCCGTTGGTGTTGGAGGGCCAGATTGGGGGAATAGCACCGGGGGACGATTTGGGTCAGCCCATTATATAACTGAACAGCTTCAGACAGCTTGGGCATCAGATACAAACCGCGGGCGGGTGTGGTTGCAGATATGTCTTCGATTTTCGGCAGCAGTGGGCATGGAACGGGCAAGTACGGACCATCCCAAGCGAAAAATCAAAGACTGTCCAAGGCGGCGGTGTAACCAGAGTGCTTGAACATATCCACTCATGTCTTGAACATTCAATGGGAGGGCCAGGACTTGTGACGAGCCACGAGGGGAGTTGTTGAGATTTGTTTATACACTGGCTCTCTGGCCCGGGCTGCCTATCTCGTACGGCGCTCGCTATGGTGGGAACAAGAAGGCAGCCGATTGGTGTAGGACCACCTGATCCAAATTCATGGTTGGCGGGTTCAGAGAGCGATATGAAGGTTGCAGGCGGCCGTCCGCAACCTGCTACTGCAATCTGCCGTCTGTTACACCAGATCTGGATTTGGTTGCTTTGTGACCTGTTCCCTAGCGCCCATACGCCTCCTGCCTTGCCTCTCTGCAGGTCAACGATGCTATGAAACAATAGGAAACGGGACAGGCCTGGCGGCCGAGTGAGCGGCGGCTCTGGGCTATAGCATGAAGGGGCGCCTCGCAAGACTGATGTGGTTTAGTGACGAGCCACACAACGGTTTCTTGGTTCGGATCCTGACCTGAAAAACAAAAAGCGAGGAAATGGTCTGTGATTTTTCTGTTGGTAGTTGCTAGTGCCTCACCGCTTAGCAGCCCTCGACACGGAAAGCAAGAAGACAAGGTCCACAAGGCCATACCTTGAGAGAAACCTGGGCACCCAAGAGGCCAAGAGAGGAAGTTTGTTGCCCTCTGTTTGTGAGCCAAGGCCAGAGCTTGATTCCGACAGCCTGGAACGTCCCACAGTAACACATTGCAGTAGAGCCGCTGCAGGCCGAGTGTCAAACGACGAGGCCTTGCCCGCAGTCTGTGGCAGTCGCATCCAACGGTCCCGGCAGCTTGGGGCTGGATGGCCAACAGCACTGGTATGATTGTCCTGCCTCTTCTGCCTCCCCGGACAGCGTCGCCCGCGAGGCTTCGCAGCTACCGGTGGGCACAGCTGGGCAAGGCATAGGCAGCACCATCATCAGCACCAGCACGTACATCCAGCACGTACATCCAGTCCTTGATTGTCCGCAGAGGAATAAGACGAAGTCGACGCACAAGGCTTGGGCTTGCACTGCCTGACCAGGCACCATACACGGAGCATTTCCTGCCTGACAGGGCCGGTCCTGGCGTCATGGCTTGGCGGGTTGAGTCCGTGACCGGAAGAGACGATGGTCCTCTCCAGATGCTTGGTACTTTTGACACGCAATGCGCTCCGGAGGACTGAGGCACCGAGTACCCGTTTGCTCTTAGCCAAGTCGGACGGCAGGACCCAAGCTACTCACGCGGTGTTCGCGGAGCTGTGGCCCGCGCCGTTGGCAGATGCTGCCTTCCATGTGATATGTGACGGTGCAGAGTGTCAGACAAAGAGATGTGAAGACCATTTAGCAGGTGGAAAGGAGTCAGAAATGATCTGCGGCACTGGCAGTCCTCCTCCCAACACCAGGGCCAACGACAACGCTCTCGTCCTGATCGAGCCTGGCGTGACGCGGAGAGGGAGGTCATTCCACACGCACGAGTCTGAAACATACTGTAGGGATCACCTGAAGGCGTGGTCCCCGGATAGATGTCGACAGGTACTCTCGAGCTGGACAGGTTTGAGGCTGCTCACGGCTGGTGGTCGATGGGGGTTCAGACAGGCCTGTCCACGCTCGCAGCACAACTCTCTCCACCTCCGATGGTGTTTGGTGACAGCACAGCCCCTGGGCCCCAAGATGAGGAATGTCGAGACGTGCTCGGGTGCTCTTGACAGATGTGGGATCCGTTTGCCTGTTTACTTGAGTACTTCGGTACCTACTAGAGTCAAGCACGTACGAAGTACCAAGTATCCGTATCTAGTGGACAAACGGTCGGAGAAGTGGTCTGTGCGTATGTGCTTACATAATGCCCAAGTCGCCCAGTTCCTTTCGCGCTGAGCTGTGCCGGCACCTCGCAGCGGCCGAAGACGTCACTCGAGCAAATTATCATGTCGCCGAACGCGAGGCCGATATGATGCAGATCACGCCTCGGTGTCCTTGAAGTCTCGGCTCTTCTTTTTTTTATCTTGTATCTTGCTCTGCCTCAGTCCCACTGCCTGGCGGAGACATGCGCGCACCCCGCCTGGCACTAGCTGCTCGGCACCTGTCGTTGAGGAGCAAAGCATCCGTCGCGTCTCCTGCAGTGATAACGCTCCCAGCGCGTCGCTACGTGGCCAGTGGAGGTAGCAACGCCAGGCCCAGGCCCATTTCGAGGTTGCTGGAGTGGGAACCGCAGGAGGGGGCTCGCGATGTCGTCGTCAATGGCTTCATCCGATCCGTGCGGTCCATGAAGTCACGCTCCTTTGTCGCTCTTGGAGACGGCTCATCCCTTGCTTCTCTGCAGGCCCTCGTACCCTCGAGCCAGGCCGAAGGGTGCGTGTTCTTCTTCCATACACTGCTGTCTCGGGGCGATCCTTTGAACGCTGACGCTTCTCTGCTACGTAGTCTCGCCATCGGGGCGGCCGTTCGTCTGACCGGCTCCTGGGTTCCCTCCAAGGGCAGCGGACAATCCCATGAGCTGCAGGTGGACACCGTCCAAGTCTTGGGTCCTTCCGACCCAAAGGTGCATTGCCGTCCCGCTCATCTCTCTCTGCAATTGCTGGGACTCGGGCAAGCCTGACATGTCCTGCGCTGCGACTGACCATCTTCGCCTTCAGACATTTCCGATTCAGAAGAAGTACCAGACTCCTGAATACCTGCGTACCATACCTCATCTTCGGCCGAGAACCCCCTTCAACTCCGCCATCCTCAGGCTTCGGTCCGAAAGCATCGCATCTTTGAACCACTTCTTTGCCACTCGTGATTTCGTCCAGACTCACCCTCCCATCCTGTCCTCGTCTGACTGTGAGGGCGGTGGGGAGGTTTTCAAGGTCGCCCCTGCGCATCAGGACGACGGCGAGGACGCCGATGCGTTTTTTCGGGCACCCAAATACCTCACCGTGTCGACCCAGCTCCATCTTGAGGCACTCGCACAGGCCGTCGGGAATGTGTGGACCCTGTCCCCGACCTTTCGTGCAGAAAAGAGCGACACTTCGAGACATTTGAGCGAATTCTACATGCTCGAGGCCGAGATGGCCTTTGTAGATCACTTGGGTGGTGTCATGGACATTGTGGAAGAGATGCTGCGCCATCTGACCACAAGTCTCTACGAGTCTCGAGTTGCCCGGGAGCTTCGTTCCCCAGCCCAAGACAGGGCCTCTGGCGAGAGCGCCGCGGACAGGGCCACTCCAGAAGAAGTGGAGAGGAGATGGCAGGGGATGATGCAATCTTCCTGGCCGCGTGTGACCTATGCTGAAGCCATCGATGTCCTGGAGAGAGATGCCGGGCTCTTCAAGCAGCCGCCGTCTTGGGCCGCAGGGCTGCAGTCTGAGCACGAAAAATACATCGCTCACGTGGTCGGAGGTGGCAAGCCTGTCTTTGTTACGGACTACCCATCAGAGCTCAAACCTTTCTATATGCGTGCAACCCCGGAAACCGGCTCGCCAGGTCACCACACAGCCGACTGCTTCGACCTCCTGGTGCCAGAATATTGCGAGATTGCCGGCGGCTCGATGCGTGAACACCGCCTGCCAGAGCTCCTGGATTCCATGAAGAGGCACAACATGTCCACGCCTGCTCTCGATGGCGCTGGTCTTCCAGCTGCGGGGTCCGCGACGTCGCCCCCCGGTAGCCTGGATTGGTACGTTGACCTGCGACGTTGGGGGTGTCCTCCCCACGGGGGTTTCGGACTTGGCTTCGATCGTCTACTCGGTTATCTGTCTGGGGTTCAGAGCATCCGGGACACGGTGACCTTCCCCCGCTGGCACGGTCGATGTGACTGTTGAGCGGCACACAGGCACAATGGATCTAGATGATCTCGGGCACAGATCGGTCCATCTAGACAGCTCTCCATGCTGTGCTCGTCAAAGCTTACCTACTTGGGACGTCCAAGGCCGGATCGTGCTACCAACCACAATAAACAGGTCCTGCGACACGACGCCGGTCATGTCTCGCTGGCAATTAATCATGCAGCCTTCCTTACGAGGATTATGGAAGACCATTTCCTGGCCAGAGCACGGCTCCAAGGATGAGGCTTACGAATGACAGGTTTCGAGATGTTTTCCGGGCGACCTCCCGTGTGACATCTCTAGAAATTACGGCCGCACGTCCAATAAATCCTCGTAAGTAAGCGGCGCGACTGCACACTGCCGCCTCGCTCGCACGGGTTGAAAACGTTTCTAGCCGTCCTTTGTATGGATGCCCTCTCTAGGAGATGCTGCCACAATCTACTACCGAGCATATCAACCACACTCTCTCCCGTCGCAACCTATGTCCATCACGTACGATACTTTGATAGTGTACTCCTCGCCTCTTTTCTTGCTGTTGTCGTGCAGCTGGGCCGTTGTTCGTGGAGTCTTTTGTCCATGTTTCTCGCCATCGCGCCGAGTGGTTCACTTAAACTACAGGCTTGCTGGCAGTCCTGAACACCCCCTCCCCCTCCCCCGAGCATCCCATGTAACGGGTCGATGGATCAGCCTATTGTCCAAGAGAGCAGGTATCGGCTGGACGAAGCCGGGCTCGGCAGTTTGTTTCAGCCCGCAATCTGAGGCGCTGTCAATTCATCCCGTCTGAAGTTCTTTGCCCACGGCAGAAAGGCAGGATCTGCAAGAGTCATTCTAGCGATTACTAGGCGGGTCGTTGGCTTGCATCAAGTCGGAGGCATCGCAGTAGTTCTGCCTCGAACTCATCATGAGGTGCCGTCCTTGGAGCACGGGAGCATGCCGGTGTATGCTCTACGACTGATCCACAAGATATCAACATCGCCAAGTCAAACTCTATTGTGTGGTGGATAAGACCGCTTGTGAGAGGGGCTGGCAGTAAACCAGATACAGTGCCCTGGGCTGCGAAAGTGTGTTGATCTACGGCAATGAGTGGCGTGAAGCGACGCTATCTCTCCTCGCCTCGCAACGTCAACCAACTCACTGGGCGGCTTCCCATTCACTGGGCCCGCGAGAGCATCGCGTGCCAACAAGACTTTTGCACTGGGGCTACATGTGCCACAGGTGGAGCCGTCTTGAGTATTCTCACATCTAGCTCTACTGTCGTGCATTTGCCGCGAACTGGTGGCCGTTTACACGAATAACTCGCGGCTCGGCGGGCAATCACGCGTGTCAGCAATGGGTGCCCAACACACCCGATTGTTCGCAGCCGAACTGCAACTGCCAGCAGCGAGTCGAAGCCGATCTTCGGGAGCGCATCGCGGGTAATGGCTGTCTGCCAGGCAGGAATGGTGAAGACAAGCCGCCGTGGGTTCGCATTGGACAAACCCTACATCGGTAGTCTGTCTGGTGGAAAGTATTGAAAAATCAAATACAGAGGCCCGGACAGGGAAAACCTCGCAAAGGTCCACGTTCGCGGGTGTTGAAGCATGCCGGGGTGACTATTGCAAGCCGACCAGTTGGCTATGCTACTCGCACACGCAGGTGGCGGACACTTCGAGGGCCCGACGAGGGCGGTCAGTCAGGCAAAGGTGACGAGTGTCTGGGCAGCCGTCCACGTAGTCGGGCATCGTGGCCCTTCGGGATTGGGAGTTTCACGGACTCCGCAATCTAATAGGGCTAAGTCGTCCAAGATTTTGACCGCCGATGACAATACCGCAACTGGTTCATGCAATGCTTGGGCTATGAGTCGCCATCTCGGATCTGGAGCAGTGTTTTGTCTGTGCGTATTTTGCACCCACGCGAAGAAAAGTTTACGCATAGCATAGTTCACCGCAATCATCCCTTCGGCGACGGCGGGAGCTACCGCAGAAATAAACCTTGTCTTGGGTTGTTGGAACTCAGGCCGGCTCCTCCCCACACTTGATTGAGTTCATGACAAAGTTAAGCCTATGGTGTCACCGCCAGCCCTGTCTATTGAGCTGAATTAGCAACCCGCGCAATGCCCTGGCCATGCACAGGTATTTACGCGACAGCTAGGCATTGGCCGGCTTGTAGGAGAAATAGTGCGATAGTTTGCGTATGAGAACCCGAAATGCCAGGCGACCGCGCGCCCCTATCTAGGCTTCGTTCCCGACATGCATTACTTTGTTTGGCTTATGCTCCAGAAATGTGAAGTGATGAAGTCAGCCCGCTCTGCACACGAGTCGGGACGCCCCATAGGAGCTGTGCGCCTTATCGTCGATCACATTGGTCTTGAGACCTCTTATCAGCAACGAGAAGGCAGGTCGGTATAGTTAACGGCACGCGCGACTCCGATGAAAGAGGAGCAGCTAATAAGCAGAGGAATGAGCAATCGATGATCTGCGAACCAAGAAGCTTGGCGGTTCACTCGAAGAGCTAAACTCTTGGGAGAGGACCATCCGGAGGTTCCGCAGCCAAGACGAAAGGGGCTGTCTCGAGACTGGGGGAGATGGTGAGAGAGGATATGTGTCCCATGGCCCCGTGGGGACGCTAGGTTGGGATCAAACGGGTGAGCGACAGAGTTTAAACAAGCTCAGACGAAGATCAATCTTTTGACGCGGCTTGGTTTTGGCAGGCGTGGGCGGGCACAACCTATTGCTGCTGATCGGGGTTTGAGAACTGGGTTGTGGATATAGTGTAGGCCTGCCACTATACATGGGCAAGTTTGGCCCTGTCAACGTCTCACATGCTTCTGGAAAAGCTTCTCCCGCAGCTCTCCTTGGTGGAGCCATGGTGACGGCCTGCGACGGTGGTCCCTGACAAGATTTATGCAAAAGGCAAAAGGGAGGCAAATGGCAGTTTATAAGTACACTACTGGCCTTTGACTTTATGCAGGGCGAGCAGATTGGAGCAGAGCTTAATCTTATGCTGCACGATAGACGAGATTAATGTTCTGGGCAGATAGATGAAGGCGGCCGGCCCTGTGGAAACGTCCTCGTTTCGACCTTTAGTTCGGGCTCCCAACTGCCCTGGCATCCATGGATACTCGTATGGAAGGAAAAAGGAATTGCGGATTCCAAGGTTGCTCGAGGGTCTGCATAGCAAACCCTAAATTCGAACCCACCTCGGAACCCAGAAGCCTGGCCGAGATCTCTGGAAAGGGCCCGGTCCAACTGTTCAGGGCTCCCGAGCTTTCAGCCTCGAGCATTTCTACGCGTTGTATCTCAACCCGCGCCTTGAGTCACATGTCGATCGAGGAGGCATCTCGGTCGCTCGACATGCCCTGAAAGGGTATGCACGCCCGCAGGCTATCACGACACTTGGACAGCCCCCCACCTCCAGGAAGAGGTCCGTCGCATGGCAGCAATCTATACACTATCCTACCTATCAAGGTTGCATTTGAGGCGTCGCGAGGTGCCGGCTTTGGGCCCGCTGTCAAGTTAGGGCCAGCGCCGGTGGACCACAGACTGACCCGGACCCTACCGGAGGCTGGCTTTGGATCCTTTTTCCTCAAAGAGGGCCGCGTAAGCTTGAAGCTCTAGCGGCTCCGCTCGGTTGGGTACCCTTTCATCACACACACAAAGAGGCACCCACATGGCAATTGCCGCTTTTCCTGCTGGCTTGCTTCCTCTCTCTTTTTTTTTCTTCTTTGTCGCCAAGGACTTGTACCCGAGAACTTGGTACTGTGACAGCCACGCCTGGCGAGGGCCCCCCTGGTATCAGAGTGCTGCCATCCGGAAGCCGTCTCAAGCCACCGGCGATACGATGCTGACGCACTATATTTCCCCGTAACTACCTAGTGTAACTTACTTGGCCTCTGATAATGGACACGCCCAACCTGCACGATACCACAACGAGGACCTGTTTTGCCTTGTCACCGGTCCGGATATCCACTCAGGTGATGGGTGAGCGGCGCAAGAGGCAGCAGGACCAACACCGGAAAATATGCTGGCATGAAACCACATCGGATCATAGTGGAACCCTCTTCCCTCCTCTCAGTGTGGACACGTCCATGCACGCACATTGGCAGCTCCACTCTTGGCTCCGCGCTAAACAAGTCCTCGAATTAAGCTTGTTCTGCAAGTCGGGATTGGAGAGCGGCGGCAGATGCCATGGAATTAAAGACGCAGGCAAGGGGGGCAAAGGGGGGCCGGAGGGGGGGAGGAGCCTGAAAGCATGTCTGTCCTCAATGATCCCATCTCCACCGCACAGGTGAGATACGAAGGCTGGCTGGTGTCTGGTTGATGACAATCGACGCCTCGTCTCACACGCCCGACACAATTAGGTCGACGAGCGAAGGGCCCAAGACGACGAACTCACAGCCTGGCTTTGAGGCGTGCCACTGTACGCCGCCCCCCCCCCGCCCCCCCGTCAGATTTCCTTGGAAGGGAAAAATGGCGCCTTTGCACTCGAAGATCTAATGATACCAAGCACGTCCTGATGTCAGACCTGTCTCCAAGCGGCCCCTCGGCGTGAGCAGGTGAGCGAAGCCAATGGTTTGGCTTGCTTCCTTCCCTTCCATCGGCCAAGCCCAGACCACGAAGGGTCAGGCGATGGTGGCATCCTCCTTTTTTTTTTTTCTTGGTCTACACTAGGTCGAATGCGACCGTGAAGGAACTGGTGCCGGCTCGAGATCCATCCTCGGACACCCGGCACCATGACTACCTCCACCACCGCCTCTGGACGGCGTGTAAGCGGCTCGAAATTGGTAATTTATGCCAAGACCCCCGTATTGAGCAAGCGAACGAGCTTAAAAATTTTCTTGGGTTGAAGCGTTAAAACTTAAACTTGGCTGGTGCAGTGCGGGAGACACGTGCGGGTCCTACGGTACAACAGTACAGGTACTGTATATACCTCCTGGCCAAAGCCCCGAGGATTTTCCAGAATGCGAGCGAGGGTGTATCGGACCAAACGCGGTTGCGACTCTTGTGACGGCAGGCACTTGTGCGAGACGGAGCAGGGCCATCATTTCGTAACATTTGAGAATGTTATTTTCCCTCCACTTGACCACGATTCCGAGTCCCCAGCACAGTATGGGGGCCATTGTGCAGTCAGTAAGCTCCCTCTGTCACGGAAAGTGCCGGATTTCCTCGGACTCGTGCCAGGGTTCACTCGTGCCGTGAGCCGCAGGCTTCGTAAAAGACTGGCTAGTCGATTGCTTTCTCCGAGCCGAGAGCCTGACGCTCCGACATCGTACCACATCGAGACACACCATCCCAGTGCGGCGTCGTGGGAAGGGAGAGCTGTTGTTGCTTGGGCTCCTCCTCGGTCCTTGTGCCTCGACATGGTAAATGGCGACCTCGGGAGGCTTTGCTTACAGGTGCACGAGGATGCCGACCAAGGCCTCGGACCGTGTGTGAGATGCCAGACAGTATCACAGCAGCGCAAGGACTCGACCGCCCTGCCCTGGGTATTTTTAAAACAAGATGCACACCTGTGGTGTGTTGTTCAGACACCGCGGTGTCTCGAGTGTGGCCACACATCTTCACCCGCCCCCCTTCGCCTGCACATCAAGGCTCCAGGGCTGTCAGATCTCGAAGCCACAAGCGGAAGGTCAGCCCATTGGGCCCTGCCGCCTTGCTGCGTCTGTTGATTGCGCCGCACATGCAGACAACTGCAGTGGCTACATGTTGTATATGCACACGCACACACGCAAGCACACGCCATACGCCCCGAGCCATTTGATAAATCTGACAAAGCCGGCACATACATGCGAACGAACCAGCGCCGGTTCCGAGCCCTACCTACCCGCCTACGCCCCCGAGGCGACATGTGGTGTGACAATGAGGATCCAAATCTGACATGCATATGAGAAATCGTGACATGGCCGGCAACTTTATCTCATATCGTAGGGCTGCCCGCCTACGCCCCGTCTCTTGTGCAATGTTCTCTCATGTTTCTTCGTCTTATGTGCATGCCATACTTGTGTACCTAGGTAACAAGGTGCAATCACACCGGTCCAAAAAAGGCTCGTGTCACCATCCGCATCACCCATCTGAAAAGGGGCCCCCCGTCACGAGGCTGTATTGGGACCTGGGCGTGCATATGAGTTCGTAACGACATGTAGAAGAAGGCTCCCGGTTGCCCCCAAGGAAGGGCACCAAGGGCAGAAATACCTAGGTAGACAAGCAGGGAAAAGCAAAACCGTTGTAAGCCAGCCATCGTCATTCCCGCCCAAGATGCCGATCTGGTGGTCTCACAAGGGCGGCGGGAACACGCAGCGACACGATTCCGCGACCCCATGCGCAAATCTGATCGATATCAATACGCGGCTAGCCGAGACACGAGTGGACACTATCATGGGCACCCAGCTTGCGAGAAGTGGTGAGGGCAGGAATTACATGGCTCGCCTGTGTCGTGCGTTGTGACTGATCCCGCAGGCCAAGGAAGAGGGCGGACGCCACCATTGATTTCTTCAGCCACCCTGCCTTAGGCGAGGGTGGGGTGGGTACCGCGGCGTACGCGTATACAAGCACCAGGTCCCGGAGAAAGGGGCCGATGTGCTTTTCGGGCAAGTCGGGGCATTCTTGGACCACGAGCCGGACATCTGGGTCTTGGGTGAGATTGGTGAGATGATTGCGCGTGCGGTCCCGTGAGCCGCGGCGTGGTAGCCGATGCCATCCAACACAGCATCGTCGTGATGGCTGACGCCCAGGAGGGGGTCCGGCTCCCCGACTGGCGTGGCCATGTGTGCCATTGACACTCCGGATGGCACAATCAGTCCATGTTGGGATGCAACATCCTTGAGACACCCACCTGCCCACATGCCGATTGATTAAGAAAGGGAAAACGAAAACGCCAGCTGGAACAATAACCCCGTCTGGGGTAATATACTATTAGATGGGCTACCATGGGATTAAGCCTCCTCTGCCTGTTCAGGTCATGCACCCGCCGGCCGGATTTTCCTGTTTGGTCTGTTGCTGACCACCGACATCCCGGACATGATCGATTGCATATCACGGTGGCATCTCACCGCAGCAACTCCCACGAACAGCACATACAACATTGAGCACACGTGCGCATCCGACGCCCGGGGCGTGCCCAGGTGTGGGGGCTTTGATAAGCTGACCGCGTGGCCTCTCCTCCGGAGCCAGGAGGGAAGCCCGCGGACGGTGGGCGCGCCCGGATCGGACCCCGATTCCAATACCCAAGCAAGCAAGATGAAGAGCAACGTCAAGGAAAAGCTTGTCGGGCAATCCATTGAAGCCTATCCGGGTGCGGTGAGCGAACATGGCAGGGCATACCTACCCGGGCC